CGCTACTGAAGACCAAAGATCGAAACAAGCCGGAAAAGATCTTCTGCTTTAGGAGGTTAGGAGCAGGACCAAGATCCAAATTTTTCTCCAAGAGCTAGATTCTTGGCAAGACGCTAATTTTTTGGCGTCAAGACGCTAATTTTTTAGCGTCTACTGTCTTGTGTTGAAGATTGTCTAAACCTTGACCTGACCCACTCGCGCTATCAACACCCTGTCAATCCGCATGCCGGGTCGTGAGATGTGTACAGGACTCCAATCCGTTCGTGCATATTCGAGTTCGGGATTAGAGGAGCGGCGCTCAAGTTTCTCCTGACACAATGTGTTGAGTCCTCAGGTGTATTGCAAATCATAGCACAACTACCAGGCAGCTGCTAGACGAGTATTATTCGAAACTCTAACAGGCCTCACGACCAGGACAGTGAGATTGAGATATTAGACTCAACTTTGGTTCTTTAAATCGTCTAAAAAAATGTCTCCGGTGATTCTATTTTCTATCTAAAACCTGCTCCACGCCATACCCAGTGCTCCGCAAGGATCTATCTGCGTGCGGAAGCTTTTATCTATGGACCGCTCACAGAGCTTGTCCAAGGCGTCCAGGAAGCAGCAATACCACAATGGCGACACTTCGAAACACTTTATAGATGGAGTTTTTTCTTCTCCCAAAAGTATTTAATCTGGTGATGGTAAACATAAATGATTCTGATTCTCGTTCATAAGGATAGAATCTTGGGAGAACTAACATGATCGAGAAAAAACTACATCCACGTCCATAAATTTGATCAGACTGCCACCGAAAAGGAATTCGCATACTATCGGCAAAATATCCTCATCTAGGAAAACGAGGTTGCGGCCACTTTGTTTCGTTGCAACTTTGCTCTTCAACTTGATGTCGGAGTCGGGACCTGCAAAAAAACAATTTTGTGTGCAAGAAATTGAAATCAATATCTAGTTTCTGGAATATATGGAATATTCATTAAAATGTAGTACCGATAATCATACCTTTCCCGTTTGCAGCCCCTGTGCTCGACGTCGATCCTCCTTGTTGTTCTGTTCCTGCAGCTGGGACCAATTTCAGTTGCTCTGCTGCTTTTCGCTCTGCTATTTCCCCTACTGTGGCGCAAACACCATTCTCTATTCTTGGCCTCTCCAGTAGTTAGAGCTTCCCGATATTCATCCTGAAGAGCATCTTGGTAGCCGTTTCTCCTTACAAAACCCTTCCGAGATGCCTCGTAAGATCAAAATTATGAGGAAGCCGAAGCCTTAAAGTAACCAATTGTGCCTTTGGAGCATGGCTTTGCGGATCAAGGCTTTCCTGTCCGTCACATGCGTTTCGGGTCCCTGGGACCCGAATACGTTGCCCATCTTTTTTGTGGAGTCAACAAGCCACGACAGCTAACTTGTACCTAATCCTTTTCAATATTTTAAGCTTAACTACTCCTGTATACTTAAAACAAAACTACGACTTCGTCCTCTGCTGTTGACTGTTCCTAAATACTACATTGCTGTGTTTCTCTGCTCTCCCTGTCGATGTTGATATTCCTCTTCTTGGCAAGTGATTCGTCGTTCCAGACTACAGGTTAGCTATGTGATGTATAAGGCTAAGTACTTGTCATACTTTGTATTTCTTGTCACAATCTAAGCTATGCGGTTCTGCTCTTTTCCATTTTGGCAAGTTGTATCTCGAGGGGGTCGCTACATGTAGTCTTTATCAGGCACTGCATGTAGTTTTTATCCGCCACGACCGATTTTTTGAACACATCGGATTGGTTCCACCTTACTTGAGGAGGAGGCAACATGCATTTCTACTAGGGTTTCTTTTTCAATATCACGTAGAAGAGGGTAGGTGGGCAGTTCTTTGTGTGTGTGTTTATCTTGCGTAAAGAGAAGCATAAAATATATCGGTGGAGCCAGCCTCACTAGGAAAAAACTTGCGGAAAGAGAACGATAAATGTAGTAACATAATGTTTTCTTCTTGTCTCAATCACTAGGAACTACAGGTATCACACGGACCCATTTCGTTTTGGTCTTCTTCTGGCCTGTTTTGTTTGATGGTCCGTTGCCTTTATCTGGAGGTAGAGGACATCTTTCTAGTGGTGGAGGCGGACGAGAGCTTTTATTCTGTTCAACGGCACCACGAGGGACGAGACCAATATCAGTAGCGGAGTCATTATTGGCATTTTCCCTCTCGACCACAATAGCGACTTGATGTTCGAATTTTTTCCCAGTTGTCGAGTCCTCCGAACGAATTTTTGTGCCTTCATTCGTCTGGTCCCCATCCGTGGTTCCACCTCTGTCCTGCGGCAAAGAGCCGCCGCCACTCTCCTCCAACATGATGCTCTTTATTTTTCCCGCTTCTTTTAGCGGTTACGGAGTTACATTCTTCGGAACATCCTTGACCCTTTTCCTACTGGAAAACGAGGGAAGGATGGTAGTGAAGAATGCAATGTCGAAACCCTTAATTCTTTCTTACTAGCCAGCATAGACCTTCGTTCTACCGACTCTACCTCCTCACAATAGGGCTCAGGATTCTCTTCCAAAGCAGCACCTACTAACGCCGAGAAAGCATCACAATTCAGTGCGCCACAACTGCACAGGCGTTTGAGGCCGTCGAAGAGTCGCTGATGCCGTTTCTGGTTTTCTCTACGATCATCCGCCGCCTCTGCATGATCTGCGCCCTCGAGACGACGTACCATTTTCTTCAGGTTCAGAGAACATGAACAACAACTCAATTATCAAGAAGTAGGTAGCGAATTAGTCTAGTGCTCAAAAACTTAGTGTTGAGTTTGCCATATTAAGGCTTTGAATTTAATGACAAGGCGAAGTAGCTACAACTACATGATGTCATACTTTGACCAACACCAAGCAGAATATGGTGAACTCATACTGGATACTGCTAGTGCGAAGTCATATTATAGAGGGAGAGGAAGCGTCTGAAGGAGAAAAAGGCTACTACACGAATCAACTCTCTAGTGTCAGTCAACTTCGAGGATGCATGAACAGGGTGCGCGGGAAAAAGCGGTTTCAGTGAAAATTTCAAGAAGGGGATCCATTTTCTGGTGGAAGGGTAGACAGAATATATTTTTGCATTCAAACTTGTTTACAGTTACACCGAATGCATCAACATTCCAGACATTTTCACATTTCCAAGAGCTGGCTCTCGCGACTAGAAAAAGAAGAATCAGGAGGACACGGAGAATTCGTATAGAAAAGACAAGAATCATCTTTGATTCTTATTTAGTCATAGTCTTAGTGTGCAGGAAAAAGACAATACTCGTTTTGATAGCATATTTGAATTGAATGAAAAAGAATTTACGCTTGAATAAAACTGTGCTCTTAATCTTAACGTACGGGTGGACAACGACAGGAGATTCGACGACATGTTTGCAGTGCGAATGTTTTTAGCTTATAATTTGAAAGTATGAATCTCAGAATTCGAAAGTACGAATCTCATGTTTTTTCGTTTTGAATCAATATCTAGAACTGACATAAAATGATAATCTATCTAAATCTGTAGCTGTTTCAGTTTCCAGGAGAGGTCTGTATAATACACGACACATCTCCTCTAAGATTTGCTGCATCGTTTGGACCTCCTCGAGATCTCTATTGTTACACGGGGATGAACATGAAACATAAGAAAATGGGATTTTTCATTAAGTATGTGTGGGAACAAAACTGAAAAATTTCAAATTGAATCTAAAAGAAATCGCCGAAATTCGCAAAAATATGTAGGACTTGCTGAACATAGTCTTTCTCTTCGTTGTGTCACTACTTCTAACAAGGAGCAGTGGCTTCAACTAGTAAAAATGCTCATTAGAAGATATGTGTCTACAACAATTATTCAATTCGTTACTGAGTTAACGACGATGACCGGAAATGTATCTTTTCACCTCTATCTTCTTTGACTTCTATCGACATAGAAATGCACTCTTTTTCGTATCTACAACAGGAGTAGAGACATCACACTTTTTTTAGATTTCAGATTTGCACTTATCTATCAACAATAGAAAGGTCACAATGTCAGACCTTTCAATGTCTTTTAGAATCTCCTATGTTTTGTGAATGGTTGAGAGAGAAAGGCTGTCATCTGCTATGTTCACCAGGTAGGCTACTAATATACTTTTCGACCAACAAGTTCTTTCGTTTCAACTGCAAGTACACTCGTTCAACTGCCTTATAATCCTTTCCTTTTTCCTTATCCTCGTTCACTTTCCTCCTTCCTTATCCTTTCCACCACTCGCTGCAGCGCTCGCATAAGCGCCCTTGAACCGGAAGTGGATCTTCTTTGCCAACATGCGATGCTTCTTGGTCTTCGCGTGCCACTGAGCGTCGTGGCCATGGTTGTCAGTCTGGTCTACGTCTGGATCGTACTGTAGGATCAGAAAATGGCACAAATTCTCCTTTCCTTTCGACGCTGCCCAATGCAACAAGGTTTGTCCCTTGTTCGGCCACTTGTTTTCCATGGCTTTCCAACCTTGGTTGTTCAAAATCTTGAAGCACTTCTTATACTCCTTGGGACACATCTCCTCAGCCTCAAAGGGGCTCATGATGTCACTAGCCTTCACGAGAAAAAAGTCCGCTCCAGCAACGTCGTCCGGAATAATGGACGAGGAAGTGGCGCGCTGTTCATTTCCTCCTGCCACGTCAGCTCCGTCTGCTCCACCATTAGAATTCTTCAAAACTCCTCCTCGCTTTCCTTTTCCACCAGTAGGAGTGCCACCATTGCGAAGAGCTTGGTACTTGGCTTCTTTAGCATCACTCTCGGGATTTGGAGCTGGAACTCTGGCCATCAGAGTTGCTAATTCGGCATGAAGGCTGTCCTTCTTTTTCGGAGAAGCTAGATCAATCGCTTTCTTCCCGAATTCGTCGATGCCGTGGATCTGAGTGGACGAGTGATGAGGTTGAACTATTGAACTAGTCAAATTATAGAAATGGTTGAGGGCCAGAAAAGTAGCCCAACATCTCTTATTATTAAGTATCAGTCTTCACCTAAAGCCTCGATCTCTAGTACTTCTATACCTGTTTCTCCAACAATCCTTCTTGCTGACACAAAAAGTCCAACAGTGGCTTATTCCCCTTCTTCGCTGCGTAATGGAAGAACGTGTGATTGCCCTTGTAGCCCTTGTACTCTGCAAACCCTTGTTCCTTTGCTTCGAGAAACATTCTACCGTAAAAGGCACACAAACCGAAGTTCTTTCCTTTCTCTTTCGCCACTGGAGCGGCTTTTTCAGTAGTGGTCTTGGAAGGCTGTTTATTTCTGGCTATGATCTTGACGTTGTTGTTGATATTGTAGTAGAGTGGAGTAGTATCATCGTCCTGAAAACTGTCATGGACTACGCCGAATTGGTCAACCGGCACTGGGACCTTCGGATTCAGTTGTGGGATGCCGCGAGGAGCTGGTTCGTACTGATACAGCGACTTGTTGTTGTACGAGTAAGGCTGCTGCTGCTGCTGCTGATGATGAGTATATTAGAGCTACCGCAGTCGCAGCCTTGAGACGGGCATCCCCGCTTTCTTTTTCCTCTTGAAAGAAAAAGGGACCAAGGATGATGCTGAGGATGCCTTGGCCGTCTAGCCATAAGTAAAAGCGCTTTCGGCAGGAGTTCTATACGACTGCGGAAGAAGATGTTGTTGTTTATGGGCCCTCACTGGTTCCCATTCTTCGTCGTCTCCGAAATAGTTCTTCAGACCTTGATACTCTTCTGCATGTTGCCCACCATTGCTGGTCCAATATGGCCCATAATTCAACTTACCGAAAGCATCTTCGTTGTTGTTGGGGTTAGAGATATGGAGCAAGATGGAATTGGGAGGAGCAACAAATGTACTTAGTTAGTAGTACTTAGTTAGTACTTATAGTTAGTACTTATAGTTAGTACTTGTAGTTAGTACTTATACATAGTTAGTACTTAGTTAGTAGTCAGTGATTAGTTTAGTTTTATACTACTTAGTTAGCACAAATCGTACTTAGTTAGTACTTCGTTAGTAGTCAGTGATGAGTTTAGTTTTAGTACTACTTAGTTAGCGGTTAGTGAAGGAAATGGAGCATAATAAAATTGTCAAAATTGATCGTGTTCTGCTCATCCACGGTCGATAGTCCGCGTACAGGGGAGCCCGGCGCTTGCGTCGACGGCGTCCGCGGGTAGCTTTCGTACAAGTACGGGGCAAGGTTCAGAGGCATGCTCATCTTGTTCCCTAGCTTTGGAGGAGGAGCACTGTCGTGGCCGAAGTGGCGAGCGTCCAGGGTTCCCAGAGTGGGCGCTGCCATACGAGGAACCGGACTGGACCCGGGAAAACTCATCTTTTTGTTGGTTTTTCTTTGTCTTCCGAGTGAGTTACTTGAAGAGGGTTCTTAGTCTTATTTTTCTTGGTGTAGCTAGTTACAACTTCTACCTAAGGAGGACGTGAAGATGAAAAGGTTATACTGTGAATTTGTAAAGGTGAAGAACGTCTTGGATACTGAATTCGATGGCTTTAAACTTTTCTTGGTACCTAGTACCACGACTTAGTAACTTTGTTTTTCTAGTAGAGTATCAGACTCTATCAGATACCTGTCTCAAAAGAGTGATCAATCTCCGTTTTTTTTGTAACTAGATTCTTTCTTACACAGTGACAGTGGCTAAATAGACGTAACTAATTTCCTGTGTGATGTTTGAAGGCGACTTATTGTAAAATGTATGTGAATCTAAATCATTCTTACGGACTACAGCACAAGATTGGATATCGGCTTAGAATCCGTATCCAAATACCAGTTTACAACGTGAAAAACGTGAACATGATGTTTTAGTAGTAGATCAGTAAGCTTACCTTTAACTTCTATCCACTTTCTTCATTGTGAGGGATGAAAATGCAATCCTGGCAGAAAATTCTACTCCTTTACAAGATCATTAGTGGATGATAGTACTCACACCATTCGAATTTCAGAAAGAACTTACTAGTAAAATAACTAAATGATTTCAACGATACAAATAAGGTACACACTCACATGACCTTTACAGTCTTTTCTGCTCCCTGAGTCGTTTAGAGAACGAGCTTCTTGGGGATAGCAGTAAGTAGCGTGGTCGTTTGAATTGCCTATGGCTTCTAGAAGTATAGAACAAAGGACTCACGTCCGTCATTATGGTTGCGTTTTTTGCTTATCAAAGAATGAGCTCTAAAAGTCTTTGATAATGCTTGATCGAAGAGATGTGCGAGGACTTTTTATCTAATGCTCTAAAAGTCCTCGTACGTCCACTCGTTCGGAACACTGTTTTCACTCCAAATCACCTGACGGTGACGTCTCTCAACGACAATCCTTCTATAAAAATCCCAAACTCTCGGCGTCACATCTCAGTGACGCTCTTCAGTGAGTGCAGCATGCAGAAAACATCATAAGACACTCTTGAACCCTCTCTTCGCTGTAGGTTTTCGTTCCTTCTAGGTAGAAGGAAACACATCATTGTAGTTTTGTCATCATGTGACGAAACTTTATTTGTCGTCAGAACACAACATCAAAGCCCGCCTTTGATACAACTATGACATGATCAGCAGGGTTGTGTTTATACGATGTCTATAGCGTCGTATTTTTCAAAAAGCAACGAGCAACTGCCTCTGGCGGAGAGCAGCGGGATACAAAAATGCAATATCTGTCAGGACGATTGGAGGAAGGTTGATTATTGGGAAGGAAGAGGGAAGATGTGGATGATGTGGGGAAACAATAGAAAGGATATGCATTTACGCAGAGTGAAGACGGCAGAACTAGAAGTATTTAGGTAAAACAAACAACCCAGTAGGCTTGTATAGTGAGACAAGGGGGGTCAAAAATACAACAAGTAAAATCAAAAAGGGGTCTAGTTACTAGCACCTTCTCTGACACTGTTGGTTTATCTTTCCGCAGCAGGAGTAGGTTGTAGCGGTCGACGTTCGGTTGTATCTTTATAAAGTTTGATCCCTGGCGTCGTGTCAAGCGCTCCTTCTCTATCAGCATCAGTCCGCTCTTCTTTTTAGAAGATTTGGCTACCATGATCCATCTTTTGCGCCATCTGTGTCCACATCATTACTATTTGAAAGCAGATCGTTACTATTTGAAAACAGCTGCATCCAGATGAGCCCAAAGATGGATTAAGTGAGACCTTAATCATCTTTACTACTCTGTCCACCTTTGCTTCCAGCTGGAGAGCTTATCTGGGAAGCAAAGACCGACCACAAAAAGTTGACAAAGCAGAGATAGGGTATGTGCAGCTTTTCGGGTACGAGATAATACTTGCAAAGGAAAATTGCGGGTGTCGATAAAAAGCCGGCTTGGAAAAGCAGAGCGCCAGAGTTAGAGTGAGAAGGGAGTATGGTTCCTGGTTAGTCCATTTTTCTTTTACGCATTCGTCTTGCTTGTTGTTGTTCGTGTCGTTCTTGGCTAGCACTAGCACGACTACCTCGACTTTGTTCTTGTTCCAACATCAAAACGTCAGGAGTCCGGCTACGATCTCACTAGGCTATGGTGTCAGTCAAGCATCATATTCAAAAAAAATCGACTTCGTTCCATAACTTCCTCATCAAAGATTCTTTCTCGCAAAGGCTTCATGTTGGGTAAAAGAAGCCCCGTTCCGGTCAGAAATAAGAGACAGTACAGCGGGTTCAAGAACAGGGTCGTTAATGTCGTTTTCAGAAGAATGGCACTCGAGCGGAAAGATTAGATGAGGTAGTACGCATAATACTTTTACTTCCGTGAAAGACAAATAGTACATGTTAGGTAGTACGCATAATACTTCCGTGGAAGACAAATACATGTTAGGTAGTACGCATAATACTTTTACTTCCGTGGAAGACAAATACATGTTGTCATTGATAAAGCTTGGAGTGTGTCTGGTAGAGGAATTCATAAGTCACAGGTCTGCCATGCACTAGCTCTGCTGGGAACAGACGGTTCATTCCCTCTACCCACAACTGCAGAAACCCGCCTACCCAAACCACGTTTATGAAGGGCATAGCGATCAGGCGCTGCGGGTCCCAGGAACCAGGGATTGTGCCTGTTGGAGAGAAAGAGGAACTACTGGTACTGTTTGTACTTGGACTTGCCCTTGTTGTGGGTGTTTCACTTGGAGTAGTTGTAGGATGGAGTAGGATGCTGGTGTTACCAGTACTATCTGTTGGTGTAAATTGATTCCCGCCAATGGATTCTAAAGATGGAGACGCATCAGGCTCGTGGTCAGTACAACAATCTCCACCAGCACTCCCACCAGGTGACGATGTGACGCTAGTTTTGCTATTACTATTTCGTGTTCCCTCAAATTGCACCACAGCTTCTCCCAATAGAGCTACAAAAGCGCCCATTGCGCATTTCGTTAGAGTCAACAGCTTTTATCCATCTAACGAAGGAGTATTGCCACATCAATTACGTTATCGTTGCTTCTCATCTTCTTCCAAAAGGTAGAAGAGTCGGAGTCCCCTTCTCTGGACCCCTCTACTACGTACCCTTGTAATTATAGTTAGTTCGTAGCGGGAAAATACAGGGGAAAAAAAAGGTATTCAGAAGATGCTGAGAACGAGTTAGGGTACGAAGATGCTTAGGGTACCAAGATGCTCAGGGTACCAAGATGCTTAAGGTACCAAGATGCTTAAGGTACCAAGATGCTTAGGGTACCAAGATGCTTAGGGTACCAAGATGCTTAGGGCACCAAGATGCTTAAGGATAAAAAAGCTGACCATAATTTCGTTAGGAATGGACTTCTGCGATCCACCATTTCATAGCGGTTGACCAGCGATTGAAACCATGACTCCTCAGGTTGCAGCGTGAAGCCGTAGTGAGGGCAGTTGACGACGCGGAGAGGTCGTTGGAACACTGTAGTTGTGGTTTGAAGGGTCGATGTGGTGAACACGATGTAGTTTGTATGTGATGTTTGTAGAAAACTTCCGAATAGTGAATGAGCCTTTCGACAAATAATCGTATGTTTCAGTTCCAGTTCTTACATTCATACATAGAATCTTCTGGAGACGAATCTTTTGGAGACCACGACGTCTTCGACTTCGTTCCAGCAACAACAACAAAAACTGTCATCATGATTGTTCTAACGTCGTCATTCTAAAGAGTTTGATGATGTCTGTTACGATGAACAAGAACATCAACACTCTAGTAGGGAGCATACGTCCTCTAGCTCCTTTCTGAGCATCAGCAAGGACTCGTCGTACGGTTTCAAGGAACATCTCTGGACAGGAGATTGTTCGCTCCCTCAACACTATGCCCTCGAGAGGACACGTGACTGCGTCGATCCGAATTCGAGCAGGTCTACTTAAACTGTTGAGAAAGCTCGCAAAGCTACGAGTCGTGGCGGTCCGTACTCTACTGCTTTTCTCGGTTGTGAAAGACCATGGATGTTGAAAATCTTCTGGCGTTGCGGAGGAAAAATACCTACTTCTACTTGTCGCAGTTCTAAAGAATTCCGATCCATTGTGGGCAACTACTGAGCCTTTATGCAGGAGTCCTCGTCTTTGAGGGGGAAGCGCAAAGGCGGCAAGAACGCCTTGATTACCTGAAGCCTCAAAGTAATCTTGTAGTACGTGTCGTCGCGCTGTTGCTGTCTGAGCTTGTTGATAGACTTGAACACTAGTGCTTTTGTAACTTCTAGCGGGATTATGTCTAAACTTGTTTCTAAGAGTGGTTAATCGCAACATCTGCTTGGTAGTTCCTTCGGAAACCAAAAGGCCTCGACAGAAGTTGTTTCAAACCGGTCTAGTTGACGTCGATGACCACGTTGATTCCTCTCGTGTCCGTGTTGTGCTCTGCTTCTCTGCTACAATGAATTATTGCGTCGTTGCAGTCGCTGTAGCGGTTCCCATGTCATTTTCTGGTGACAACTCGGTCATCTTCGTCATTGTTCATTTATTTTGGAGCGTACTAGCACATCATAGGAGCACGTCTTCCTTCTCTGTTTTCATCCTGGTGACTCACGTTATCCATAATCGATGGAGAGAGTCACATCTGCACGTTGTGAGCAAAAGTAATGAATAAAGACACTCAAAACGTCAACAGCTTTAATCATTCTGAAAAACCACGTAAGCGAGATGAAGGGTAAAAATAGGCACTCACTCAGACTTAGGATTAGGATTAGGATTAGGATTCAGTCCGCCGTCCACAGTCTTACCTGCATACTCGAGCGGATCAACGCAGCCGTAGAAGATGAAAAACGAGATGAAGGATAATTTTGAAGATTCTTGAAATACTGCTTTCCTCCACACTCTCCCGAAAAATCATATTCGATGTGTGCTCTCCTCATGCATACTAAAGGCAACAACATTGAGGAAACCGGAGAAAAGAACAGCCTCAACAAAAGTGGAATTTTCACTCTCACCTTCCATGATGTTCAAGCAGGTGCGTGATCGTGGAGGTCGTTTAGGTTCGGTTAGGTGCTCATGGTCGTGTCAAATTGATAATCATAATGACAATGACGGGTGTCCTGTATGTCGCCTCGGACCTCGGACCGGTTTTTTTTTGCGTCAGGACTATATGCGGTGTCCCTTTTAAACAATTAACTTAATCGATTATAATCACTTACAGACTGGGGAAGCATAAGGCCGTATATTCGGCCGACAATTCTACAACTATCGGTGCTCTTCTCGGGGTGTGTGTCTTTGCGTCGATCAACATTGAGTGCACAGAACAAGACTGTTCTCTAGAGGAGTGACTGTCTTATCGTTATCACTAGGCATTCAGGTGTGGTTGTAAGTTTCTGTGCAGACTTGTTAATCTTGATGTTGATTGATCGAGCATCGTGGTAAGTAACTCCGGTCATTCTTGAAATTCAATCAGCTAATTTCATATTCACGAAGGAGGAGTTAAGCATGTAGCTCCAACGCAGTATACTCACTTCGAAAAATTATATGTATTTACGCACCTTTAAGGTCTAAAAACTGCAATAAATCGTCAAAAACAGCTTGCGGAATTAGTCATTAGGTATTTGATTTTTTTTGAATTGAGAAAATGGACGAAGAGGGCTTCTTCTTAGGATCATCCGTTTGACGTTCTGACTTACGGGGACGCTGCTGCTGCTCACGGTCGTCTTGCTGAGAAAATGGAGTAAGCACCTCATCGTTTTGAAAGAAAGAGAAAGATGGATAATAACGTAAAGCCACCTCATCCTACTAAAAAACTAGAACATGGTGCATCATTAGCCTCTAGTTTTTTAAGAAGATCATGAAAAGTGAGGTTATATTCATCATCACCCGTTCCTCATAATATAGGGTTCCTGAGAATGGATCTGGAGGACCCACGCTGCATACTCATGCGTGTGTCTATGACTGAGCATAGTTCTCTGAGAGACAAGTACTTATTTCTTCTTTTTCTCCTTAGGAGCTTTCTTCTCTTTCTTTTCTCCTTTCTCCTTGCCCTTTTTCTTCTCCACTTTTTCCGCCTTCTTTTCTGCCTTGGGTGTGTTAGAGAGGTTACAGAGACGAGGTTACAGAAGTTCCAAACAGTGTATGACGAGATAAGTACGAGAGCCATGACGTTGACGTTGGCTAATATAGCCTGGTGTTGGATCATTGTCCATAACTTTTCCCTTTTCCTCCTTCTTTCCTTGAGTCTTTATCTTTTCCTCTTTCTTTTCTTGAGTCTTTATCTTTTCCTCTTTCTTTTCTTGAGTCTTTATCTTTTCCTCTTTCTTTTCTTCTACTTTCTTCTCCGAAGCCACCTTCTGCTCAGAAGCCACCTTTTCCTTCTCCGATTTTTGCAGCGCAAGTTAGAAAGACATGAAGATACGTAGACACGACACCTTCACGACAAGAAGACACGACAACAACACCTTCTAGTTACACAACAAGTGCTCAGGAAGAACAGATGTCACGTCATGATACCCATATTACGTCTTTGTCTAACGATGTAATTAGAGGCCGTTCAGTCATCCTGAAGAGCAAAAAGGTCAATCTACTCTGAATACTTGATTCTTCACCTGCCTGGAGGATGAGATCAGAGATTAGGTGCAACGGGTAACAGCAGACTCCACAGTGGGTAAAGGCCTCCACAGCGATATAAGCTATATATTACAACGGTGGATAGTAATGTGGAATGAATAATAGCATTTTAATTCATTCCATTTTCATCCACCTCCAAGGATTCCAACCACATCTACTGTGTTATCAAATCTACTCTATCATAAATGACACTCGGCATGTAAGCATCTTCCTTGATGTTATTGTAGACCAGCGTTTTGAACCGGTGAAAGTCCACCTTTTGTGCTCCGCCTGATGTTAGAAAGAAAGACCACACGGAGAGGGCGACGATGATGATATACTAAAAAAAAACAAAAAAAAGTTGTTGTCCGTGATGTTGGCCGTCTTTTTGCTGAGAGAATCATCCAGAGTTGTCCATCAAAGATAGAGTCTTCTAAGTAGAGAAGTCTGAGCCTTTAGGCGTAACCGCGCTAGAGCTGTTACTGGCAACGCCTAGCACACCGCGCGCCGCTGGTCTGTCAGTGCCTTGAAAGTACGTACTGTATACTTTTCAGTACGTAGTTCTTGATACTGTTCTAGTTCTAGGTGTAACAACACAACCCTGCACAATTGTAACTACAAGACCACAAGGTGTAAATTTCCACAAGGTGTAACTACAAGACCACAAGGTGTAACTACAAGACCACTAGGTGTAACAAGTACACACTTCGCCATAAGATCAATTCCGCGATTTCATTGGCGTTCAATTCCTCCTCTACAACAGCATCTCCCTTTTTCCTGTGCATTTTCAGAGTTTCTTTCAAGCTCTCTGTCGTTACAAATCCTTCTTGCTTGGCATCCTCGAACCGCTTGAAGATTTCACGGACGATTAGAGCATAGAAACTAGAAGCTATCGACTTTATTGCCTTAGAATCTTCTACCGTAGCCATTTTGGCTCAAGGACGCTAGAGTTTTTTCCTTCTTATCCTCAGCTAGAGGCGTGCGGCAGATCTTCTCTTGCTGGGTTTTCACCTTTTAGGTGAAGGTTTAGGTTCCGCGACGCTCAAAGCACTAAGTAAAACAGCCGGTCAGTTTTCACCTCTAAAAATCTAAGTTTATCCCGTGCAAGAACAAAACCTATTATAGTAAAGCAAAACTTCCATCAACATAACAAATGTCCTTCATCGATTTTCACTTTTTTCTCCAGCAGAGCGCCAATAAAATCGCGATAGTTTAACCCAATTTGCAATGCGGTATCCTTCACGTTGGTCCCTGGTGCATGCAATGCAAAAAGAGTCTGCTCTAGTTCTCGTTTTGAAACGTTTACTGAGGTTAGAGAGGGAATGTTCTTTTTATAAATTTCTAATTTTCCGACGCCGACGACTATTCGTAACTTCGCATTCCCAGCTCCTGCTTTCAAAAAGACTGACCCTACAACTTGTCAATGAAAATAGTAAGTAACTGTGAAATAAGCAAGCAACTACTCAGAATAAGCGAGATACTGAAAGAAGAGCATCGTAAAAATGGCCTTCTTATTTCAGTCAGCTACTCGCTTATTTTCACGTTTCGAATAATAGACTACACTAGTTAGTAAATAACGAATAGGGACGAGGTCATAACTTCGCGTTCCCCGCTGCCTTCAGAACCTCTTCTAGGGACACGATGCCGTCACCGTCTTTATCTAACAGCGTGAACTGCATCTTGAGCTGTTCAATCTCATCTTCTGATACCTCCTTGGCCAGAAGACGGAGGACAGCTTGTTTCAGCTTACCGTATTTCACAAAGGAGACCACGTTTTCGACAGTGGAGTTGCGAGGTATTAGAGAATAATTAATTTACACTGACTTGGGATATGATTGGCTTTGGCATCATCCTAGTTGTACCAAATCTAGGAAGGCTACAAATTCAGGCAAAAATATCATGGCATGGCTCTTCTACTTCTAGGTGCAGCTCATGGCCTCAGTACTAGTATCTTACAAATTATATCCATACGCTGCACTCTACCATCTGCAACCAGGTGCTTCCACCGAAGCCTTAAAAGTGTTTCTGTGTTTTCGATTTTGAGCGCCGACTCAAACCACTTGTGTTTTAACGCATCGAAAGAGCTGAGCCTGTCGTCAGGATCGCACGCCAACATTTGTTCGGTGATTTGTTTCCCCAATGGCGAGACGTCGTTTCGGTTTAGAGCTTGACGCTTCTTTAATCTTCAACATAATGATGTTGGGCATCTTCCGTAGATAAGGAGGTGCTAGTTTCTTTTCTCTTTCGAAAGGACACTACGATGTCAGCGTCTTCGCAAGCGGAAATTGTCGTCCTTCAGCTTCACCACAGATCAGATGGATAATTGTGTCCTTAACCACAGATCGGAGGGATAATCCACTTTGCCCACTACGATTTTCATCCTGGCAGTATCCGCATTATCTTTTCCTGGAATGAAGAAAGGATGAACCGTCGTCAGCATCTGATAAAGCATCACCCCACATGCAAAGACGTCAGCTTTGGATTAGACAGGATAGGATGGGATAGGATGGGATAGGGGTGGATCTCCACCTAAAAAAGGACACTGGATTAGACAGGATAGGATAGGTGTGGATCAACCTAAAAAAGGACACGCGAGCTACAGGGTCTTGTCCACTTTACTTCTAATCACAATTAAAAGTAACCTCATTTTTTTTTTATTTTTGATCAGGAAGTTCCGCCCATCAAGATCAACAAAGCCATAATTATAATCATACCACGCACGATGGTGCATTTCTGCAGGCATGTAATGCGGCGTTCCCGCTTTAGCCATGACCTTTCGAATCAACGGATTGCTCTTGTCCGATTTAAACCCAATAGTTCGGCGAAGGTCGTCGTTGGCACTTAGAAGAAATTCCTCGAGGATATTGAGAAGATTCATCTCTGATGAGACTCTGAGAGGTATCATTAAGAGAAAGCGAATCCACCCTGTTCTATTTTCATCCAGTAGGTACTCAAAATGCAGCATTCACTTCTATCCTGTAGCCGAATATCTATAGAGCAGATTGATCCACAAAAAGTCATAAGATTTTTTCCTTGTCGGGATTTATTTTCACTGTTTTTGCTGCCTTCTCGATCTTATCCATGAAGTCCGAGAGACCCAAATCGCAAACTTTCACTGTCGAATTTGCACTGGTCCTTAGAGGAAGGACAAGGTAGGTCCTTCTGATGATAATAAATTACGAAAGTCATGTCATGTCATGGCACCTCGTCATCTCTAGGCCAGTGTCACGTCATGATGATAAACTACGAAAGTGAAGGACTCTGATAAACTACGAAGGTTACGGACCACCTGATTCCATTCCACGTCCACCATTCTTATTTACACTAACAAAAAGAGTTTCAGATTCTGATGATAAAGATAAACTACTAAGGCTAATTTGTTTCAGAATTATCGTTCCATGAAGATTCTTAACTTGCTCACAAAGAGGACATTATCCGGTTTAATATCCCGATGGACGATCTTCATCGAGTGACAGTAGGCCAGAGCTTGGAGAGTTTCCTGAATGTACCTAGCGCTCTGCTTTTCAGACATCGGCTTCTTCAGTTGTCTCGTGTGGAAGGCGAGCCTGTCGTGTAGGGGGTGGACAAGGATGTGTGAGTGTGTTCTTGTTGTCAATTGTTATTAGAGAATTCGATCGTTATTGGAGAAAGAAGGGGGAGTTGCATAGACTAGAAACCCTCGAGGAATTCGATTTCCAACTCCAAACTACTAGTACCTGTCAAAGAGGCTTCCACCGTTGCACAACTCTGTCACCAGGAAGACTTGGGCATCGCCGTCATAATATGTCTCGTACAACCGTAGGATGTTTGGATGATCCACCGACTTCAAAACTATGAAAAGAGACAAGATGATCCAGGGAGCTAGGAAGATTATCTATGTCAGAATCTTAGACAGATATGCCTTGGAATTCTTTTGCTTTCATGTATATTATTATTGCGAGTAGGATAGATTGCTTTCTTGTAGTCCTCAACTTCTAGTGCGTATCTTATTTCCACTACTACAGCATGAGCATAATGATAATTATATATGACTTAGGGCTGGACGGCGCCCCCCCCTGTGGTCTGGTCTGTGGTGGCGCGCGCGCGCGCTTTTCCGCGCGCATTTCGGCGCGGAATCTAGTGGGGGAAGGCGTCCAAACTTGGCGCGGGCCTCCCCTTGGGCCTCTCAGCCGGTTCCTCCGGGACCTCCTGGCCTCTGCTGACCCTCGCAGGCGGGAGGTCTCCGGGGTAAAAGGCCGCCGAGGGCGGCCACGGTCGCAAGAACAGGCAAGCCAATGATTTGACCAAGGGCCCGGAGGGAACAAGCAGCACGGCTCAGGGGGTCCAGCCCCTCGGCTTTTGCCGCCTTCAAAGGCCTGCCACCTCCTTACGTTGGAGGCCTCTAGGGAGAGCCAAGCACCTGGAAGAGCGAAGGCGGCCACTTGGCCCCCTTTTGAGGCCTTCCACCCCCGGCAGACGCCTCCCAAAGGGGTCCGGGGCTGCCGGTACCCCCCCCTACGCTAGGAGGGGGGTACCGGCAGCGACAAGCCCTGGATCATATATAAGAGTGATCTCGGTATCCACTTGTTCCTGTCATAATGAGAGTGATCTCGGTATCCACCAATTCTTTCATCTCTTTATCCGGCATCGCGATCGCCTTGCAGGCTCTAAGGATGCCCGACCGCTTGTGCTTGACCGTGTTCACTTTGCCGAATGCTCCCTCACCTTTCTTCTCCATGAACGTGTAGTCCTCCATCACTTGTGGGGATTAGAATCATGGGAACACAAACGGGTAGTGCTTCTTCATCACCTGTGGTGATGAGAATACTACCTACGGAATTACGCGGAATTAAGCTTCCCTAACATCACTTGTAGGCTTGGATTAGAATATTCTTAGTTTGGATGTTGGGAACAATCTCTGAGATGAGTATCTAGTTGTTGTCTACTTATGATTACTGTTGTACTATTCAGTAACAAAATGATCCATACTTGCCACCTATAACCTTACCATAGTACTATCACACAGGGTGACCGCTGCTAACCTCTGACTGTTGCTGTTCTGTCTGTACTATTCACTAACAAAATGATCAACCTTGCTCCTCTATTCTTGCCAAATCTATTGCTAACAAAATGATCAACCTGAACCTCCACCTGAAACTCTTCTCATAGTGTTTTCCTGTGTATACTGGCACTACCACCTGCGGCATGATGTGTATGGCCTCTACAGCACCGTTGTCAGCTGATTTCTTTGCTGGTGCCTTCTTGTTGCTCTTGTCGCTGTCGGTGTCGGTGGCGGTTGATTTCTTTGCTGGTGCCTTCTTGTTGCACTTGTCGCTGTCGGTGTCGGTGGACACCGCACGGATGTTAGAAAAATCTCTAAGAGAATAAACCGAGAACTGCATATACTGTGCTAACCCTGTTCTCGAAGTAAGATAAGAAGAGCAAACAAAAAAAGAAACATCAGAAGTAGTTGTAGATCATGCAGATGTCTACTAGTTGTAGATGCTAAGAGATGAGTAGTCTTCCAAAAGAAACATCAGAAGTAGTTGTAGTTGCAGATGCTAGTTTTATAAGCCTTTAATGAAGTATCTGAAAACTGTAACTGACTAAGGGAATCATGGTTACAAGAAGGCGCTCGTTATCGTTCGGTACTAAGAAATATCTGAAACAAGACATAATAACTGCCTTTTTCCCGGACTTTTTCTTCGACTCTGGCTTCGTAGAAGTTAGAAGAAGTAGCATGATATAGTCACTACAACCACAGATTGACAGTCTATGGCTTCACCTCCAACAAGCTCCTCCTTAGTATTAGTTAGCAGTAGTTGGTAAAACTACGCACAGACTTAATCGAGACTCGCGTTGATGACTTGTATTACTCTCCTCATTTTTCTTCTTTCTTTCATGTAGTATGTAGTCTATAGTCATCTACTTAAATGATACTTACACGGAAGTTCTCTACGTAGATGAAAAAGCTGTGGTCATAATTTCAGCTCGTTTGGGTCTTCATCCGGCGCGGCTTTGATTGCGTCAGAAGTGAATTTGTCTGGTCTCGCCTTCATTTTAGAGGACCTCAATGGTAGGAGGGCAATTCTTCTAAGATGTACTTCTGAAGATGGATTAGGGGAGAACAGTTCCTCCAAAAAGATGGACTTCAGAAGATGGGCTTCCGAGATGTACTTCTAAAGATGGGCCATTACTCTGAACCAAGGTTTCTGAAGATGGGCCATTGCTCTGAACCAAGGTTTCTGAAGATGGGCCATTGCTCTGAACCAAGGTTTCTGAAGATGGACCATTACTCTGAACCAAGGTTTCTGAAGATGGACCATTACTCGAAACAAAAGTAGGGCACTTGTGAAGCAAGCGTAGTACAACTTTTAGCATATTTTTACAGTACTTGGCACCATTTTTAGCATATTAGGATACATCTGAAGCCGTAATTATCCGCTTGGAGAGGTATTGGCGAATGATCTCGCACCATGCTTCGGTAGAGATAGTGCCGTCCCCTTTCTTATCGAAGTTCGTGAAAGCCAATTGACTCCAATGCGCACTAGGTCCAATGCCTTCTAAATCGTCAACAGAGGATATTAGAAATCAACAGAGGATGTTAGAACAATAGTTATTCTTGAGGTATTTGTAGACTACAACAATTTACAGCCTCCCAGAATCTTCGTTTATCTAAACGCATCGCAAACAAAAACTTTCGCTTGTCTGCTTTCGTTAATGGAAACTCTCTTCGTTCCTACAAGAGCTACAACGTAGAAGCATAACATGAAAATTCTTCGAATTCCGCTCGTTGCTTGCTCTTTGTTCAAGCGCCCATCTCCGTCCACATCTTAGAGAAAGAACCAACCCCTCACACTCCACAGCTCAATGTTACGAGCACTAGTGGTGCCACAGTTTATCCGCAACGAGTGCCGCTCCTTACCCGTAAGTTCCGATAAGAGAGAGGAATCCGTGGTGAGTGCTGTTCTAAAGTACTGCACATACTGAGTGGCCTTTGGATGCTGTTCTATAGTACTGCACATACGGAGTGGCCTTAAGGATCGATATCCTTTAATATTCTCTTTGCTGCGGGATTCATTTTCTTCGCCAGAGCGTCCATATCCAGGTCCCCGTCTTTGGCTTCACCTTCACCCCGCACCCTCAGCAGATTCTTCACTCTCTTTCGAGGTTGTCGCGACCTTTTGCATTCCTCAGGAGATCCTTGACTTGTTTCCATTCATTCATTCGCATCCCAAGTAGTCCTTCAAGCCTACCTGCGGGATGATACAGTTCTTCCAACAGTATGTCCAAAGGTATAAAGAGTCAAGAATGGTAGAAGTGAAGAATGCAAAAATGTGGTAATTCTTATTTTATTTGTTGTCTTCCACAGTCTTGGTTGTGCAGATGATCTGCTGACGCTTGTTTTTCTCCTGCTCTCCTTCTGCTCTCCCAATATCTTCTCAACATCCAACATCACTTGTTCAGCAGCATCCACCCGGTTGTTTCCGACTGTTGACATCTCATCTTCCGTAGGAGTTACAGTAGCTGGTTTTGCACCTGCCGGTCTTGGAGGAGAACGCAGCACAGCTGCTTGCTCCGCTACTGGTTGGTCTTCTCGTAAGTTAGAAGTAAAAGTATAGATATTTGGACTACTTGATTCTTTTGGTTTTTTTGTTTCCTAGTTAGGTGTGCTCCACCGATAGTATATTACATGAGAGATGCAGTCAGATTGATAAGATTCAGAAAACCAATACCTAGATGCGTTTTCTTTTTCCTTATAGCAGGTGGTCCTGGAGGTCATCGAAGACATTCTAATTCAGCGAGGTCGCAGCAATGTACTTACAACGCTAACCTCAAGCTCAACGTCCTCGTCAACCACTTGCATTTTCATCCATAATAATTATCACTCTAGCTCCACCAGTCCGCTGTCTTTCATCCGATCGACCTTCTATTCCGTCCACATTCATCATCATCGAGGAAGAAGAAGATCCTCCTGCCATCGCAGCACCTGATGCGGACGCTGGAGGTCTGTAGGTTTGTAGCTCGTCTTGTTCCCCAGGTCTTCTCTCACGCATTCTTTGAGGCTCTTCTACGGTAGGAAGTGCGTCACCATATTCCATTCCCCGTCCATCGTTGGATACCTCGTCGTCCTCTTTCTCGCGTGAGATGAAAAAAGGAGACTCTATTTTGAACTGGTAAATTGAAGCTCCTTCGTTCCTAGTACAGGTACAACGGGCTAGAGTTTACGATTTTACGCTGAAGAATTTTAGTCTTACTGAAATCTACGACTTATTTACGAACAAAAGATAAGAGTTATCGGATATTCTAAGCAATTTCCCATCCTGTTCCCATGGATAGCTACTCATGATGAGAGATTTGTATCCTGTCCCGATACTGTAGTAATCGGATCGCTACTTATCCACAAAGAAATGATTTTCTTAGAACATCATGATCCGTCGTTTCTCCTCCAATAGGATAGCTACTTATGAGAGATTTTCATCCTGTTTCTTTTCATCCTGTTCGTGTTCCAGCAGCCATAATGTAGTAATAAAAGTTTCTCCGCACTGCAAATGCGGTTTGGTTCACGCTGTTCGTGACCATCGAGGACGAGCTTTGCTGGGACGCTAGCAATTTGGCCATCTTGGATGCTGCGAAGTGGACGTGACTTAGACATTCCTTGAGTACTTGAATGCGTCTCGTCAGTGGTCATCCCTGTATCGTTTCATCCCTGTTTCGTTTCACCTCTTTAGAATAAACGGGACGACCAAGAACAAGGTGCTCTTGGGAAAGACGGACTTTCAAAGGCCTTAAGTTACCTGTCAGTCTGCCTCGATCTGTCTTCACCGCTCGTAGATTCACGTCCGCAGCAGTGGCTGGGATGTGCTTTACGTCGTCCAGGTATGAACTTTTTCATGCTGCAGAAACTTGAGCAGTAGCATGCTCACTAAACTGCTGAGCGGAAGTAGTATGCTCATTAAACTGCTAAGGGAAACTTCCTCTAACAGTCTACTTCCTCTAACAGTCTCTCTAACAGTCTACTGCTCACTAAACAGTCTACTTCCTCTAACGATGTTTAAAGACGATGAGGACTCACTTGATTTGCCATATAATATTTTCCTCGAACGAGGACACCATCGTACTCGTACCAGTACTATTGTTCTTATTCTTCATCTCCATCTCCGCATCTGCAAAGGATTCTTCTGCGCGATCTATAGCATCGATAAGGGTTCTCCGTTCCACGCGTTTGTTCTTGGTGAACTTCGAATGCAGGTATTCCACATGGTTTTCTAGAATGTCCATGATAGCGTCATAGTCTAAAAATCCACGCCGGTCTGCGTGATCGGCTAAAGATTTTTCGAACCAGGAGTCTGGGGGTAAGGGAGCGTTTGCTAGCTTTTGGGATTAGATGATGAAGAGAGTTGAACTATTTATCTAGGATTTAGACCTTGTTCGCCTGACTAGTAGAACTACATCTTCTACTTTGCCTTTCTTTTTTCACATTTACATTTTACTATTAGACCATCAGCAGTTAATCAGTGTTGAAGGAAAGGAACAAGCCCAAAACGGTGTTGCTGATAGATACAACTATGGCAGACGCAGAGTTCTTCTTCGGGATTCAGCTGCTTACCACTATTCCCCGTCCCTTTATTTTCACGCAAGGCAACGCCCCAGTCATTACTGATTCTTCGTACTGATACGCAGAAAGTCTAAGCTGCCGTTACTGATTCTTCGTACAACCGGTTGCCATAATCAAAAACCAAAAGCAAGCAAGTTTTGCTCTGCGTCCGGTTCAGCAGTCCTAGAGACTCACTGTCCACGAACTCAAAACTTCCCCATGCTGTATCCCGCAGCCACTGCGAGAAACTTCTTGTGTCGCCAAGCAAATCGCTTCCAAAACCTTCATAGTTATGCAACGGCGCTCCACATTTCTCGCGTACGGAAGCGAGAGTTAGAGACAGAGGATATGCGTCTACCTGCTCTTCCTACTGAACTTATTCTGACAACTCTAACATATATTTTTATAACTTCATATATACTTTTCCTACTTAACTGTTCTTATCTTTATTATAACTGCAGCGTGCTCATTCTTCTGATATTATGTATAAGTAGTTGCAGATATAATAGAGCACCCATAACGCTAGTGACCTCCGATGCCCGAAATGCAAGGCGGTGTATGTGCTACTCGCAGACGTTCTGGTTCCCTTCATGTTCGGCGAGTTGTAACTACGTTTTGTTAAAGGTTGCAGCATTACATTCTTCAGAACATCCCTCACCTCTTTCCTACTGGAAAAACAGTGAGGAATGGTTGTGGGGGATGTAATTGGTTAACCCTTAATTTTGGAGACCGAGAAGTCGGAGATGAACTCCTGTTCTTGTTTGTCGGGTGCCTACTTCTGCTACGTGGGTCATCCTCTTCATGAATCTCCTCCAATGCTCTGATCGCTTCAACGGTGCCTCTCTTGACTGGGATCTCTTCTTCTTCTACTAGAAGTTCATGTTTCTCCTGTTCTGTCTGGTTCTTCTTTCCTGCTTCCATTAATATTGGTTGTCCTCCTAATATTCCTTTTCCTAATCCTATTCCTGCCTCAGCACTCCTAACACCGCCATTCTGACCAAGCAAAAGTGATCCGGTCTGTAGCAATGCACCTCCCGTCCGTGTGCTTATGGGTACTGCAGAACCAGAACCTCCGGAAAGAAGGTTTCTAGGAGGCGATAAACCCCTAATGGTAGTCGTAGTAGTAGCAGTACTAGTGCCGTTGCCGTGATTAAAACCACCTAGTCCAACAGCTTGATGTTCTGTGCGTCCGGTTTGATGCGTGGTGCTTCCTGATTCGTGCAGACCATCTAGTTCTCTCTGTTGATGTTGTTCTGGTCCTGGAGTTTCGTCCGGTACGTCAAAGTAAGGATCATAGTCGTACAAGGTCATGTAGGAATCGAGGTACTGCAGACAGATCTCGAGGATCTCCGATAGACCGAGAAGTGGAGAATGAAGGAGAGCAGGTAAGGGTTACTTTTTCACAATGATCGAGGTGGAGCCAGTCTATTTTTTCACAGCGACGCCAAAAACTAACCTCTTCCCATGACTAGATTTGACAATGCATGTCCATGTGTAAAGGAGTTCTTCCACCGTATGCCGATGTCATTATGTCTTTCATACTTGGATGATCATGAGATTTGACAACGCAGAAAAAAAATTCTCCTTATTTCATAAGGCACTCCAGCATGCTTTTGCGTAAAATTACGCCAGACTGCGTTAAACCATTCTGAATTTGGTGGGGCTACGTGAAGCCTTTTTAGCACATCCAGCATCACTTGGACAAAAGCCGTGTAGTCAACTCGCATCTCCTCCTCTTCGGGGTCAGGGTTCCAGCCGTCTTGGTTTTCGTTTCTGGAGGTGGACTTAGAGTTAGAAGATATGTGTTGGAAAACCGTGGTAAAAAATGAAGATGACGATGAAGGACGACGTAAAAGTGGCCTTAATCTTCATGGTGGCTGCAGGCGAAGACGGCGCACTGCTACCTTCCTCAAGGTCTTCCGACGATGTTGAAGATCTCTCTTCCTTGAACAACCCATCGAAGCCTAAACCCACCTCTTCCAGCATCAGAACGGGCGCATCTTAGAGGTAGGTTTTTGGTGCTCGCGGGTTCCCCCGCTTGTTATGCCTTTCTCATCCTAAGGGAGAGAGGCATAAAAAGCGGTAAGAAAAGCACCTTTAACCTACCCTTAAGCATCGTCGTCAACTTGGACTTCTTTCTTGATCCTTTCTTGTTCTTCCGACAATTTCAATTCCATCTTCTCGATGTATCTCAGTCTACTAGACTCGTTGATAGACTTTCTTTGTAATTTGGCAGTTTCATCCAAAACTTTTGTGCCTTGTTGGCCTTGACCACCTTCGGCGTAGCTTCTGCCGTCTGTAAGGAGTATCATGCCACCTTGCTGTTCGGGATTTGGAGGCACCTCATCATCTTCGAGAAAGCGCTTACCTTTTTGAGCGCGCTCTATTTGAGTACCACCAGAAACAAGACCTCCTGTGGCACGACTAGCACTAGAAGAAGAATCTTGATCTTCATCGTCATCAGAGTTGTCTTCAGCATCGGCTAGTCCCTCGTCCTGTGCTGCTGCAGTATTTTTGAAGTTAGAGTATAAGAAACAAGCAAACGAACTAAGGAGTCTCTTGTGTACAACCATGGTACTATAATCGCAGTCTCTAATTATATATTATAATCATTTACTACGACGCTCCTGGCTCCTACGAAATCATTTAGAATTTCAATGGAAAATTCTAGGCAATATACATCTAGAGGTATCTTTATCTCATAACCGCAGATGATGTGCTTGAAGATATTGCACCTGCTGTGGCTTTTTCTCGAGTGTTATCTTCCGCATCCGCTTCTGCCAGTATTTCATCTACAACTTCGATAACGTCTTCCCTGCTATGACTACGCTCCTCCTCCTCCACGTCGTCGCTCACGACTAGTTTGCTTGATGGTCGCTGTATCTTAATTAGACCCTCTCACGACACTGAGACGTGCATCCTGAGACCACGATGCATCTGGAAGATGCCGTATTTTCTCCTCTATGTCGGTTACTTTGCGTGCTGTCTCAATATCTATAGAGCCTCTCAATCTCAAGATAGATTCATTAGAATAAGCCTTAATTTGAAATCATGTTGTGTTCTGCTCGCACGTTCATGTGCTGAAATTTCTTGTCCTGCGTGGAGTCGGAGCGCAGGATACCTCTTAGCCCAGACGATTCGGAGGACATCTTCGACCTCTTCTTCGCCTAGACCTGCTGGCATCTTGTTGGTCGCAAGTGCTAGAGGACCGCTAGGCACGCTACCGCCCTCTGCATCAGTGAATCAGAATGAATCCGATGCCGCAACACGGACTAGAAGGTGGCTAGAATTGTTGTACTTGGAAGTACTTGTGCAGCATTATGCTTCTGAGACTCACGAGTTGCCACAATGCCTACGTACCGCGTCAAGGTTAGGTCAGGTGTGGGTCCACTAGATAAACCAGCAGACGCTAGTGGCTACTGAAGAGCCAAAAACACGACTACGACCTACAGCTGGTAATGCTACACTACTTTCTACCTTTTTCTTGTGAGGACGAGTGAGTGTTAGTCTGCACGCTCTTGCGCATGGACCTATGTATTTCGCACTTCCTAGCACGGTCCCTATGTATTACAACTTTCTGCTTTTTTCACCTTTTAGACCAACAACAGGTCGTTGCAAGAACAGCAATCGAGGGGGCAATTTTCAAAGCAAGAACGCAACCGTTGGCAGTTCGCCAGCTGTTGGTGGTGAGTGTTTTATGCTTGTCTCCTTCGTATCTTCATGCTTCGGTTTCCTTACGAAAAGATGACTGAGATAGCTTATTCTTTTTCGCTACTGTGTTAAAAAAGCCCGTTGAAGATGAGGACTTCATCAGCACTGTGCAGATAGTGTGAGGTTTTCCATTTTTCGTAAAAAAATACGACTTGGACTTACGTGTGAAAATGACTGAAAATAACGAGTCCTGAAGTGGACTCCTGAAAAATGAGGGTGATAAAACCTTAACCATGCCAGCGGGAGAGAAATGAAACCACAACCAAACTATCCAAGGTACTTGTAATCGTATTTCCATAAGGAGCAATGTTCTTCAGGGACTAATCTCCAAGCAACGTACGAGTATACGTAAAAATAGTTAATTTCTGAGAGGTAACGCTTGTTCGGTTTCTTGGTCTCATATATCGAAACAAACAATAGAAAACAGAAAATTCTTGTTACGATCACTTTACATTCATGAAGAAAAGAAAATTCTTACAAGTCTACTTTACACAAAGCAAGTGCAAGATTCATCCAGTATAGGAAAAGTCTTGTCAGTCACGCAGTTTTTCTACAGTAACTTTAGTTGTCAGCTGTGCGGTCCGACCGGGTCGCTCGATATTCACAAAAAAACATCAATTGATCGGAGGTCAACATTTATGTATCTCCTATCTAGGAGATACTAGGAGTTGTTCTCTCTGTACTAGGTACTTGCTTTGTCCTTTATGATAAAGGCTTTCTCTGTTTTATTCGAGTAAATGGCTTTGTGATGGATATCTTCAGATCTTAAGCGAAATTTATGCTAAGTAGTAATGGGACCATGACTTCAAATGATCATCTGCATGCAAAAAATTATTCTCCCGAGACTCATCATGGACGTCGAAGACTCAACCTCTACGAAAAGAAGGATAGGATAGGATAGGAGTGGGCTCACTTGTGACGGAGTGAGCGTATAGGCTAGATATGCCGTCAAAGCGACTGACCAGTTTCTCACGACTTTTCCTGACTAGTTCCTCAATTCTCCCGAGTAGGTTAAGTCCAAAAACGCTTGGAAGTTGATCTTCTTAGAGCGGACCCTAATCCATCCTGAAGATCATCGTAGGAGCTTTTTCCCCTTGAAAAGCTTCCCTACTAGAATGCTTCACGAAATGGATTAGGGGAAGCCCTAGTCTTGGCATCCTTTGGCATGAAAGCATCGATACCAGACATCTCCGTCTGCGCGATGTCGCCACCACTGGCAGCCGCAGTCCGCTTGTTCGTTTTCAGCGCTTCCTTCAGGGATGGGGATTAGAAGAAAAATTTTCTGAAATAGTACAGCGAGTCGTCCGTTCAGTTCTAGCTAGTATATCCATCAAAACAACTACAACTCCATTAAAGCTACTGTTATACTACAACTACTCCATCAAAACAACTCCATAATACTACAACTCCAAGGATCCTACAATGATGAATGATCTCAATCCCGCCAGGCTCAGATTAACAACAAGTACAAGATGAATCCCAAATTTTTCTGTGAGTTACACCGCAAGTACAATTCCAAATGAAAAAGGTCATAATTTGCAGTCATGTATCCAGGGCAAGCTGGGTCTTCGAATCGTCGGAAGATTTCCTGCAAGTGTCCTCTTTCGACTGCTATTTTTTTTTCGATCAATGCTGCGATGAAATCTCGATAATTGAGACCTAGTTCAAGTTTTCCCTCACTCACTCCTGGAGCATGCAAAGCGAAAATGCACTGTTCCAACTCCGTTCGGTTCACACGGATGCCGCAGTCTGAAGTAAAGTCAAGAATAAGCTGTGCAATGAGGTTCGTCCTCAGGACAAGGACAAAGGCAAACAAGAACAAGAAAGCGTTATCAGCAATAATACCTACTCTTTCTGTATTAATACAGAATAAGGTAGTTGAGCAGGGTCCACCTAGTACTCTTTCTGTAATATGGAAGTAAAATAGATACCTTCAGCAATCGTTTGATCACTTCCTTATCAAACACAAACGTGAGAACTACGTGTAGGAGTAAAAATACTTTCAGCAACTTTGACAACTTCTTCGAAGGTGACGATTCCACTCCCATCTTGATCTAGCGCAGAGAACTGCTCCTTCAGCACCGCTATTGTATCCTCATCGACTTCTTTTGCTAGGGGAATTAGATAGAGTCATCTTTCATTTTCCTTCGACTTCTTTTGCTAGGGGAATTAGTTAGAGTCATCTTCGAATGAATGAATGTACTTACCTTATCCCGTCTGATGTCTCGCGTCTCGAAAAAATTTCAAGCTACGATAATATACAGAGCTGTACGAAATGGCCACCCGTCGTTCTGCGTGTCTTTTTATTCACACATGACAACAATACTATGCATGGTGTGAAGAGAGAATACAGGTAAGGCATGACTCTTCCTTCACACATCAAAACTTACAGCCTCTTTACTTACATGTCAAAACCTGTAGTCTCTTATAGATCATTTTCGTGTCTTCCTACTCCAAAATGAAAGCCTACTAAACCAGAACCAGAGCCTTAAGAGACGCAACACCGCTTGTTTAAGTTTGTTGTGCTGCTGAAAGCGCAGCAAGGAGTCCACCACACTAGGCCTCAGATCGGTCTCCACTTTCTTTGAAGAGTTGAACCATTTGTGTGGAGATTAGAGGGTCGTAGGTTCGATTTGGGATGGAACAATTGGCATCCTTGTAGATGGATTTTCTTGAGGGGGCCTTCAGGAAGATCCAATATTTTGATTTTCGACAATAGCTGCCATAACTCAATGCTTCTACACTGCCTAGCCGCTTCTTCGGGTCTTCTTCTAGCAACTGCTGCGTCATTTGCTTTGCTAGAGGCGAGACATTGTTCCAAATATCTGCGGGATAATCCACGCGACAAAGAACGATCTTCTGTTTAGCGGTCTCTGCATTATCTCTGCCAGGTATGAAGAAGGGATGGATTCCGGTCAACATCTGGTACAACATAACCCCAACGGCGAAAGTGTCTGCTTTCTCGTCATACCTGGGAAGCAGAAAGTTATATAGAGAGAGAGTTGCCCAGTCGTAGTCCCTTATCTTCGGTGTCATCATGGTACAATCCTTGCCAAGGGGACCACAACAAATCAACAACACGTGTGAGTCCTCTACACCAAACTATGATGCACCATCATGTCAAGATGATTTATAGGCTACAAGCGATCATTAATGCATCGTAGGAGCTTTTTCCCCTTGAAAAGCTTCCCTAGGATGCTTCACGAGATGATGGATTAGGGGAAGAAGCCCTAATCTTGGCATCCTTTGGCATGAAAGCATCGATACCAGACATCGTGGAAGGAACGAAATGCTTAAGGTAGTGGAAGGAACGAAGGAACGAAAGAGTATAGTACCAAGCTTTATGATGCATCTCTGGTGGCATGTAATGAGGTGTTCCAGCTTTAGGCATCACCTTTCGCAACAGGGGATCCGTTGCGCCGGGTATTGCGACTCCTAACGACCTTCGGATGCCTTCTTTAGAGCTCAAAACAATGCATCGCTTAGGTTCATTTTCTCAGTATTCCAAGAAGTACCCAACTAGAGAAAATATCCTTGGGGCTATGTAGTTGTCCTTGGACGCGCATTCTTTTTCTTCGTGATGAAAAAGAGGCCAAGGATCATGACATTGTAGGGATGCTTTTTCGGTCGTTCTTGCCTTAACTTCTGCTATTTTCTCCTTATCCTTGTTGATTCGAACCGTCTTGGCAGCTGCCTCAATCTTGTCCAGGAAATCGGATAGACCGAAATCAATAACCTTCACAGAGGAATCGGATTTTCGAGAATTAGAGCAGAGACGTTGAGAGACGTTGCAAGGCGGGCTTTTTTAGCGGCCGGGTTTACTTACACGACAAGATGAAAGCACCCAAAACTACTGTAACTACCGTTTGGTTGGCATCTCGTATTGACAACAACTACAATACTTTTGTGCTGGTAGTTGTCATAAGATTCACAAACAGCACGTTATCTGGTTTAATATCTCGATGCACGATCTTCATTGCGTGGCAGTAAGAAAGAGCTTGAAGTATCTGCTGCGTGTAACGGCCACTCTGTCGCTCCGACATAGGCCGCTTCAGCGAGCGCGTGTGGTAAATCAACCTGGACGAGACAAGAAAAATCGTCAGGACAATACGAAGCCATTTTTGGCTCTTCTTCATGATTGAAGATACTTCTCGTTCTCCCCTTGCTGTTCGTGTCTATCTTTGAGGGTGATAACACCAAATAAGTTGTTTATAATGAAGCAGGTTAAGACCACACCCACACCACTCCAGCCCATACCAAAAGATATTTAAAAATCACAAACAAGAGACCACGAAGTAAGTAATTGATACCTATCAAACAAGCTGCCTCCGTTACAGATTTCGGTGATGAGGTAGATGGTCGTATCTCCGTCATAGTAGGCTTCGAATAGGCGCATGATATTGGGATGATCCAACTGTTTTAGTAGAGAAATCTCCGTATCCACCAACTTTTGTTGGTCCTTGCCTTTCAGCACGATGGACTTGCACACTCGAGTAATACCTGTTCGCTTATGCGTTGCGACGTGGACCTGAATTCAGGGATAATCGATAAGAGGGGAAATTACGCAGTTGTACCTTTCATCCAATTGCAAATGCACTACATTGAAAACAGATATTACAACGTAAGCTAGCAGAAGCAGAAAAAATAAACAATATAAGAAAAATTATAGTTCCAATTATCAACAATTTGGAAAGGGTACTTTCCCAGAAAAAACAATAAGAAAAATTCTAGTTCCGTTGTACCTTTCCAAACGCACCCTCACCCAACTTTTTCCCCATTTCATAGTCGTCAAAGAGTTTCATCTTTCCAGAATAAGTTGGTGTGATGACATGTTGCCCAATCGCTACGGCTTCTAATGCTCCACCAGGCGCTCTGTAATCGCCACCATCGCCTCCACCCCCTCCCCTGCCTCCGTCTACTATGCGCCCATGCTTGAAATTCTCGGGCCATTGATCTGGGAGAGAACAGATTCTTCAAAGAGATTCCTCTCTTTCTGTAAGAATGAAATAATTCCTGTAAGAATGAATAGAAGAGATGGTAAACAGCAGATGCAGATTGTGAAATATGTAGGGAAGAAGAGGATAATCTTGAGATTCCTCTCTTTCCTGTGTGTAAGAATGAAATAATAATAAAGCATCCTAATCGTGATCTTCATCTTGGAGGTATTTAGATGCCTAACAACAAAGAAAAGCAGAAGGGTACTCAATTTCTTCCAGCAATATTGTCGCACAATCTCGCACCAGCTTTCTATTGGAATTTCTCCCGCCTTCTTCAGATCGAAATTGGTGAATGCGTCTTTGCACTAAGTATGAAAAGGGGAGTAGCAGCATACTTATTCGGGTCGTGGATGCGTCTTTGCATGAAAAGACCGAGGAAAGGAAATGATCGGGAGCACGCAGGTCCCATCGAATAAAAACCCAAAGCTTCACATGCGAAAGCTTCAAACCCATTCAACTCAACATAACATCTTGAACTGGGACATCTCCCTAGATCCGGCACCGCTTTCCAGAGCTTTTTGATCGCTGATACACTCTTGTCCTGGTCCAACATCCCGCTGTTGCCTGGATCCAGAGAAGGGAGATTAGAAGATTCGGAGAGGGGGGGATTACCAGCCTCCTCACTTATTAGCAAGAAGAGTTGGCGTTCTTACTTGAACGATCGCTATAGGTTGTAGAGAATGAACCTGTTGCGCAGATTCCTAGGTTGTCAAGTAAAATCCACGTCCACATCAGGACGAAACGTGAGGATGTGGATTTGTACTCATGTTGTCCCTTCCTTTGCGACTCATGTAGTGTCCACTTCCACTGAACACTACATGAGTTGCCACGTTGATGATGTGAGTCGGTTCGGAATTGTCCTACGACTTCCCTGAATCTCTTCTGAGCTTTGCGGATTTCTCTGATGTTGAAACTGTTGCGTTGAAGATGTTGATACTGTCATAACAAATATATCTTTTGCTGCTCTCAGCAATTTCCCTTCTAAAGTTGCCGTCTTCGCACCGCCGCCGGCTGGAGCACTCACTACAGATTTGTCCTTCGACGCGACGGCTATGCCTTTCTTCCTCAAAATGTCTACATGCTGTTCTAAGATGTCCACCACGCAATCGAATTTTAGAAAGCCTTCCTTGTCCACATCGAAATTGGTGAAAGCGTCCGCAAACCAGTTGTCTGTTGAAGAAGATATTCATATTCATATTTATGACGTCAAGAACATGAATTATAGAAGCCTATGTTCTTGCTGGAGAGGTAAATGTTACTGTAGTATCATAAATGTACTGCATTGAATCTACTTACTGGTAGAAAAAAAGTTTCTGTACCCACACCAGCAAAAATACACATGTACCCCTGGTGGAAGTCTGCTGCATGTAAATTATAATATTAATATACCCGCCGGCGTTGTGACATTCGTCAGTTTTTCGAACACTTGGGTCAAACACGTCTTCATCTGGGCTCGGTTTAGCCTTCCTATGTGTTCCACATCGTGCAGCTGGAAGGCTGCATGACACGTATCCCTGAGCCATTTTGAGAAGCTCTTCCCGTCTGTCCCCCCACCGTCTACGTTGTGCTTGCTCTTGGGTTTGCCGTTAGAAGTTGTTGTGCTTTTGTTCTCTGTAATAGGACAAGGTAAGGAACACAAGGTAAAGAACACCAGTAACCCCATAGCTATAGGAGGAAATGTGGTGTTAAAGAACACCAGTAACCCCATAGCTATAGGAGGAAATGTGGTGTAACTTTTGTCTTCTATAATATAGTAACTTGCTGTAGTTGGAGGTTCACGGTACAGGAGGGAGCTTCGATAGTAACTAGTGATCCACCTGAATCATGATACTGCTGCTGGTTCACACAATAATTATTAGATTTTTACTCGTAGTTGTAGATTACAACCACGATAACTAAAAACCAGCATCCATACTGCTGCTTCCCACACTGCTGCTGGTCTTTGTGTTTAGTTTCAGGTACGCGTTGACGTACTGCACGCATATGTCTTTAGAGCTACCCTCAACCCATCCCGTTAAGGTACCCGGCTCAGTACTTGCCTCAGTAGACAGTGCGAGAATCCACCAGGCACTACCGGCGCAGTACTTTCACTTATTATAGTACACACTACCACGCTCTACTCACGTGGAGAAGTGGACGCTCTACTCACTGGAGCCTTAATGTCTGCGACGTCGCTCTTGGAGATCCAGCCGTCTTTGTCCAGATCGAAATTCTGGAAAGCTGCTGTGTACCATTCTGCGTTCGGTGGGGCGATCGACAACTTCTTCAAGGCATCGGATAAGATGGTGGAAGAGATTAGAGACGTAGATGTACCTCTCAACAACAGAAGAAAAGTGTTGTACTAGTACTGCGATAGTAGGATTTCCGTTTTCCTGGGGACATACCTTAGGACTAAATGTCCTTAGAAGTACCTCTGATGTTGTCAGAATCGAGGTTCGTGACTGTGATGATTTGGTTCACCTCCTCAGACACTCATTGTTCATTCAGTCGGCGACGTCGGCTATCCTCTTTCGGGCGTACTCTTTTTTTTTCGTTAGGACTATATGCGGCATCGCCCTTGACATATCATTTAAGATTATAAGAATTGTTGTTCCTGTTGTTGCTCACAAATCAGTCTACTCAGTCGGACACCATCACCATGTGGACATAAAAACTGCTGTTGATTAGCCTGCCCAGTGCTGTCGCCAACGCGTTTTGTCCAGACGAGACGCAACGCATCCTCCACGTCCTCATTCTCTCGCGCCAGCTTTGGCATGCCTCATCTGCTAGGTGGCCTTCAGAAGAATTTGTTTCTACTTCTACCTCATGCAACAACATTCAGCAAGCCTTATTCGTGGAGGAGAGTATCTTCATCATGATCGTTCTTTGTCGAGCTTGAGCAGCAGGCTTTTTTGATTCTTCAACTTGTGATTATAGATTCAGAGCTAGAAGCCGCGGAAACTCGAAACGAGGAGCAGAGGGGGAAGCTAAGCAATGCTTAGAATTGTCTCGGACAGAGCAGAGGGCTCAGTATCGTTCTACGGTGCCAACAAGGACATTTGAGAAGACGTTCTTCTTGTAATACACATCAGCTTGTCTACGCAACGTCCGAGGAGCAGCTCGACTCGGCGATGCCCCTGCGTCCCAGGGTTGTGGCATTTTTTTTGCCGTTCGATTTTCAAGATGACACACGTATCGTAAAAGAAAGATGGAATACGTAATATAGGAATAGGCTTTCGGGACTTCTCATAAAGGAAAGGTGGAATAATACGTGTAGGTGAGATCTATCCTCCAAACTTATTAGTTAGTGTCGTGAGACTTTCTTTTGCAGGATTTTGAGGATGCTCTAGTACTGGGGAAGCTGAACTAGAATCTACAGTTCAACTAGAGGTAGAACTAGAAACACTATATGAAATGTGCGTCTACTTCAAATACTAACGCGCCACTTCAAACTCGGGTTGAATCACTGTATTTCGGGGTCTCACTCGCAATTTTGTGACGCCTCTCTATTTTTTACATCTTCAACGTGAATCAGAGACACACGCAGTCTGCTCTTAGTCTTAATCCCACTCTAACCAGTCCTTTGATAATGATGATGTACTGTCAGGACGCTAATTTAGAGTCTGTCCCAAGAACGCATAATAAGGCAGGTCCACCGACGCGAAACTCCATGACTCTTCTTGTGTGAGAAATCAAATTGTTTGAGCATTCCTTTGCCTTTCGCTATGTGCGTACTTGGTACAAAGCTATTTGTATGGATTCCTCTGGAAGTCCATATCCTCGTCTTCATGAGTGGTCGTCGTGTGAGAATCTTCAGTACCACGATGAATGAATGAATGAATTCGCCTAACTTGAGGTGATGCATTGTTTTCTTCTTCATCAAGTGGTGAGCAGTACTGTAGGTGGAGGAGAAAGAAAACGAAGAGCTCCTAGTCCTACACGACTACATCGAGAAGAACTATAATGAATCAATTAGCTGTAGTTCACTGGCCAAGGCACAGCGAGCGTACGAACATTTTTTGATTCCAAGTGAGGAATATATCTGCAATATGTGATCTGCTGAAGATAATATGTGATCGGCTGAAGATGACGATGTGTTCAGTATGTAACGTACGGACATGAAGAACAATAGTTAGATTAGTACGATTGGCGACATATTAACGATAAATGAAAGATATCTCTCAGAGATGTAGATGAATATAGTTGAAAATTGAAAAATGTCTGAGTAAAAAAATAGGCACCGGAGGTAAGAGCGAAAGGGAAAGGGCTAACCGGGTCAAATACAAATACTCATACGGGGAATCTAGAAATATCTCGTACATTGTCATTCTAATTTTTCACATATTACTTAGGTTACTTAGTTAGGATCATCATCAAATTTAACTGACACGAAACAATAATAGCAGGTTGTTCTCGTCACACTTGAAGGCTCACGACGAGAGTCTTCACAGGTTTTTGTCTGTTTTCTCATCCTGCGGTCTTTGACATACAGTAGACCAACAACTTTTCTTCATCCTCGTTTACCTCCTCGTCCTCTAGTAGCACCAGAACTAGTACTAGCTCTGGTACCTCCAGAGCTAGTCCTCGTACCGGCATCCGTCGTCAGCCACTCGTGTGCTAGCGCATCTTTCGCGGATAGCCTATCTTAGGAGCTAACTAGTCACTGATTCTGAGTACAAGATGATTCTGATGACTCTGACAAGACCTCCTCCTACACAGCTTTTATTTTTTCCCTTACACTTCATTTTTCCCCTGTAATTTTCTCTCCCGGGGTTCGCCCCGTCTTCGAAGAGATGTCAGTGACTCCCCTCTTCAGTGACCAATGAAGTCCGTCGAGTCTTAACTTTCCTTCGGATCTTTTTTCAATAAAGCTCTGGTGAAGTAAAGCGCTTCGTCTGAGAGTGTGCTCCAAGCAGTTTCGGCGTAGGATGGTCTACATACGCAGATTCTTTATGAATGGTGCTTATTCCATCTGGGCAGACCATCACGGCTATCCCTTTCCCCGTAAAAATGTATTTATAGCCTTAAGGGGAGCCTCGATGGTCTGAAAGATGAAAAAAACATCATCCATATCCTTGCTCGCGCACTGTTCGCCTTGTCTTTCCGTGGTGTGAAAAACGGATGCGCGTTACTGAGCATGTGATAGAGAATCACGCCACAAGCGAACAAGTCCGCTTTGAAGTCGTACCAGGCTTTTTCATGCATTTCGGGTGACATGTAATGCGGCGTGCCTGCTTTGGCGGCGATCCTCATCCACGCAGACCCATCCTTGGAGTCTATGAAATATTGGGAGGAAGGATCTTTTTGTTGGACGACTGGAGACGGTTGGGCAGGTTGATTTGACGGCACTATTGGAGAGGGTCGGGCAGGTTGATTTGTCGGTACTATTGGAGAAGGCTGGGCAGTTTGTACTTGAGCAGGTTGTAATACTGGTGGATTAGGTTGTGCAGCTGCAGTAGCAGTTGCTTGATGTATTAGCGCTCCTCCTGCAGTAGCTCCTCCTTCTTGTGCTGGCCTACCACCAGCAGCAGCGCCATTTTGACGTGTCCCTTGAGCTTGACGCGGAGTATTGGACGAGGAAACTGGAGAACAAGCAGTATTGCGGTTAATATGTCTGGAAGTTCGTTCTTGTGCAGCTGCTGCTACAGGACTACCTCCCTTAATATGAAGGCTGTTGTTCTTGGGTGAAGCAGAAGAAGCCCTCGTCTTGGCATCGTCCTGGTGCTGTCCTTGATCTTGTCCTGAAGCAGAAGGTTCTTCTCGCCGCTGAAGTTGATATGGTACAACTTCTTTGTGACCACCAGCTCGTCCTCGATCATCATGACCCTGTACTGCCACCTTGTTCCCGTTGGCACCAGGAGTATCATTCCCTCCGCCAGCACCAGCCGCACCAGCACTCAAAGAAGCCTTATTCTTCCTTGTGCCCACAACAGGCGTAGCTGTTGTACGTATGTTAGAGAATGCACTTCTATTTTTTTGTCCATGGCTAGCTCACGGCCACGTCCTCGTATAATATCCAGCACAGCTAAGTATTTACATTCACATACGAACTAAAAAATCATATTCATGTTCATGATCCTTAATAGAAGTAGTAGAGGAATTCTTCATCTCATTCGGCCTGACCCGCACCACTTTCGCTGAAGCCCTTATGTTCGCCAGGAAGTCTGACAAGCCGAAATCAATCAGTTTCAAGACTGCATCGCTCTTTCTGGTCTCGAACAGGATGTTGTCTGGCTTCACGTCGCGATGTAGAATGCTTGAATTAGACTACAACTGGCTTACACCCTCACCCTTTTCTTCCAACAGATTCTGGGAGTTTTTTCCGATCCTCTTACAACAGAGGAGGGAAAGACAACTTGAGCTCCAAGATCAAGATGTACTATCGTGCCAAAATCAAAATGGCAGAGAACTACAGAAGAAACCGGCCTTAACTAAACTATGGCAATAGGCCAACGCAGATAGGATCTGTCGAATATACAGTTTCGCTTGTCGTTCGGACATTGGTCTCCGTAGGGCGTTTGTGTGGTACAGCAGACGGTCGAAAAGGCACCCACCGTTGCAGAGCTCTAGGATCAAATAGACCATGTTCGGCCCTTTTTTGCTTGAAGAAGTACTATGTTGATGATCGCTTCTCTTAGAAGAGGGATGGCGTAGGTGTATTAGTATTATTTGCAGTACCTCGAGGCAAAGGCAATGAGAAAGAAAAAGAAATACTATTACGCATGCTTACTAGATGATTGAGTTGTAGCTTTGTAAAGTAGAGATTGAGATTCATCATTTATTAGTATCCGAATAGATCGTCATAAGTGTACTATCCCTTGCTTCGTAGTGCACCTCGTGCAAGACCAGAATGTTGTCTTGTCCTGCCAACAATTTCATGACGTTGATTTCCGTCTTTACCAAGTTCGTTTGGTTTTTTTAGAATAGAACGATATACGGTAGACTTTGATCATTGTTTGAAGATTGACATCAGTCAAAAAAAATGAGTTCTATGTTGTAAAGGAGATGAGAGGAGCTTCGAGAAAGTCTACTTCGCTTTCCTCCTTAAGTGAACAAGATGAATTGAAATTGATATGAAATCGAGAGCCCCCTCTTAACTTTTGTTTTTGAGCGCTATGCTTTTGCAAGCCTTGAAAACACCAGATCGACGATCTTGTACCATGGTAACTTTACCGAAAGCGCCCTGTCCTTTCACGTCGAGAAAGCTATACCACTCGTGTACTTTCATTAGCGCTCTCCCATATCCATCTTGAGACTCCTCTTTGAGACTGTTTCGCCTTTTATGGAACATGCTTGAGATGCTTCTGGAGATGGATTAGGGGAAGCCTTAATTTCACCGGCTCTTTGGTTCCTCTATAGATGCTGATGTTGCTCTTGGGTACAACTTGTGCATTTGATGCTGGGTCTGAGTGAAGCTGAGTTTGATGCTGGTGAAAAGCTCGTTCCAGCTGCTGCTGATTATGTGTTTGATCTCCATGCGTTTGACCTCGTAGTTCCCGTCTAACAAGCTGCTGCTGATTGTGTGTTTGATCTCCATGCGTTTGAGCTCGACGAGTGGTGTCCTTGCTTGTTTTCTCATCCGCAGTCGCATGTTGGCTTCGAAACACTCGACTCTTGCCAGGCATGAAAATTGTCAATGGGGTGAAATTATAGGGTGGCCAAATGACAACGTCCAGGCTTTCGCTTGTCTCTGCAACCACCGCTCCTGTGTGGCCTCCTGTGTTCTGTGCATCTATTAGAGCAGGGAGAATCAATGTTGTTGTAAAAAAAGGCTTCACAAGCGATTATTATCAAGGCTAGTTGTGTCAACTACTTTAAGTTGTGTAAGAAATGAGGTGTCAATTATAATGTTCCTTGACACAACTCCCTCGAACAGCATGCTTGGCAATGACTATGATGAAAAATACAGTTGAAACTTGGCACAGCATTTCTCCAATAGATACACAATCAAATTCGGCGGACGCAGCCATAATCTTCCCACGGGCGCATGATTACGAGGTACGGCGGAGCTTCTTGCTATCATCTCGGCATTCCTCTCCTCGAGGATCTTCGTCAGCCTTTTTTAGATGTCTATTTTTCCATAATGCTCATAACTACTTCCTGTTCCTGTGTTTTCAATATCTATAACATAAGTATCTGGTGTGAGTAGAATCACAATCAATCCCCTTCCCCCGCGCCAGGGGGATTATTGAATACCCCTAAGAATGAATCTCCAATTAACTTCTAGAACCCGTCCTTAACTTTGCACCAAGAACTGGCGTACTATTTCGCAGAAGGAGTCGACAGATATAAAACCGCCTTTACGAGCGTCAAAATTCTCGGTTGCGTCTCTGCACCACTGAGTGCTCGGAGCTGGACCAACGATGCGACGTAACTCTCCGGACAATGACATTTCGTACTCTATGTTAGAAGAAGGCAAAGAAAGTAAGACTGTCCTCCAATTGTCATGTATCTTTTCTAAGTACAGAAATAAATCTTGGCTTGGTCGTTTATTTGCCTTTTAGTCAGAGGTTTCCCTCAAGTACTATAATTTATTACACATCTGATCTCGTGTCCCTTTTAATTCTTACCGAGAAAAACCAAAGCCAAAGGTCGTTCTTGTCCTCATACATACAATTAGAAATACATCAATGATAGGAGCTTGTGGCTCTTAACTATTGTCTGCAGACTAATAGCATGGTCTTGAAAACGTTGACGGTTTTGTCCAGTCGGATCGTAACCGATGTCTTGAGTATTCTGGGGTGTTTCCACCCTAGTAGATGAAGACGAAGTTGCTGGACTTGTTCTACGTCGAAGAGGATAGTGTCCACCTTCTTTAGTAGAAGTTGACACAGTACTTGTCACCGGTGCGAGAAAATCTTCTAGGCTTTGCGCTGGCAAACTAGGCGATGTTGATACTTCTTTCGATGATGAAGTAGATGTTGACACTCCTACAGCTGCATGAGTCTGTCTCGTTCGTTCGACCACGCTCTCCTTCGAAGTTGGCGGAACTTGCTTTCGTCCTGTGCTTTCTGACGTACTTGTCTGTTGAGCTCCTGACGTACTTTGTTGTTGTCTTACTACGAGATGCTGTGGCTGTCCTAGACGTGGATCCTGCTGTCGAGGAGGTGTTGCTTGCAGCACTCGTGGTTCCTGCTGACGACAGCCCTCTTTTCTTCCACCTCCGACAGGAATTGCACCTCCCGGCGACGATTAGAGGCCACCGTAATCCATCTCGAAGTCCATCCTGAGACTGTTTCCCACTTGAAAACGTCGCGAAGATGCCTCCGAAGTCCGAAGATGGATCATTGGTGCAAGCCTTAAGACGAAGACGTTTTCCACTTCAGATGTTCGTGCAATAGTTGAAAGAAGTCTCGCAATGCAGCCACAGCGTCTGCTGTACTGAGGAAATACCTCAGCTGCTGGGAGTGCATAGTAGAACGATCATTAACATTAAGCTTAAGACCAGTTGTGTCACAGTCCTCACCAGTGTGTTTCTCTTTCTCCATTAAGCCACCTCGTACTGGGTCTCCTAGTCTATTCCTCATAGCAATACCTCCGTGGTCCCCTGTAGTGTGTGGTCCTCGCTCTAGAAGCCTATCCCCCAACGCATCTCTCGCTGCTGAGTGTAATGCTGTCATTAGTCGACATCGCAAGTCTCGCTGTCTGCTCGTTTTTGGTCGTGATGTTCCTTGAAGATGCACCAGATCTTGATGTAGATCCCGTTGCAGATGTTGCTGTTGCTCCTGCAGTTGTGCAAACAATGGTTAGAACAGGAGGAGGAAAATTGGAAGCATCTCAACATCGAAACCGACGACATCGGCAAGACAGACCACGAGGATACCGATCTACTTGTCTATTTAATTATCTCGAAAAACTGAAATAAGCGAGTAACAGACGAGAATAACCTAGATACTGTTGAACAAGGAAGGGTAGCCTTAAATCAAGCTACCTCCCTTATTTCAGTCAGTAACTCGGTTATTTTGAGTTTTCGAATATCTCGAAAAAATAAAGTGAGGGCCTAATTAGCCTCAGCACTTTCTCCTTGAAAGAAGACCAAGGAGTAATTAGCGAAGCAGAATCAAGCACCAATCATGTGGAAACTCTTAAAATAGGCTTTCTTCCCGCTCGAAATCAGTCCATGGTAAAATCGTCCCACTTTTTGTCAAAACACGGTCTAACGCTGAGACAAAGAGTTCAGGCGAAAAGCCATGATGCTGCTCAAGAAGTTTATTAGGATCTCCATTTCTTGGTGGATTGTAGTCTTTATACTGCTGTCCTTCTCCTCCCCTTTGTGCACCTCGTCCTGCTCCATTTCGACGACGGTAAAACTGCTCCTGTTGTTCGTCATGATGTTCCTTGCCCGCGAGGAGTAGGTGCTGATGCAAAATTTCTGAGACGTCTAAGAAGGTCAGTCCTTGTCGTCTGCTATCGAAATTCTGGAACGCGTTATAGAACCAGGACCGTGAAGGCAAAGCTAATTGGGCACAACCGCTTTCGCACAAAAGAAGGAAAACGTAAGGGATTAGAAGTTTCGTTCTGGCTGGTTCGTTCCAGATACTCAAATTCATCGAATCAACAAAGAAAACAAAAAATTCTGCTAAATAGTACTAGCTCAACAATGACAAATGTAGAGGGCAATCTCTTCGACATAAACTCAGAGCATCGCGCAACGTTTGAGAGTCTGTTATTTCGCCGACCCAGCTGCATGCATGATGGCAAAGCCAATCTAGATGCGCACTATGGCCCGCGGTTGGGGAGAAACCTGAAGAATTTTGTTGGTCTCTTGCTGCTGCAAGTGGTCTAAGTGTATTATTACTACTTTGCTGATGTAAAAAAGAAGTCTCCCCTTGTCTGGCTGTGGTCAGTTGCTGTTGTTGTTGTTGTTGTTGTGGTATCCTAGCGGTTCCGTGTTGTGTGTTTCCAGCACCTCCCATATCACCCTGATTACAACCAAGTGAACGGGGTACTCGTGGAACACCTTCGTCTATTCGCGATAGCCGGCCGCCACGACGCTGTAAGGGCTGTTGGCTTTGATGTGGTTGGCTTTGGTACTGATGATTCGAAGCCTCTCCTCGAGTCCCTGGTCTAGCTGTTGAGGACGATGACCCTCCGACTTGGTGAGAACCAGCGCCGGTCGTGCTAAAATTTTGTAGTCTTCCCGACGACTGCGCAGTTACTTGTGTTTGACCCGATTTCGTGTTTGCCGGCCCTGAAGCTGAAGACTTATTTCTTGTACTAGAGGAGGTTGCGCTTCTTGCACGCTGTTCTTCGCAGTGAGAGAGCATCTGGAATCCAATGTCCAATAAATCCTCGACTCCCAACTGAAGCTTGCGTTTTTTAGAGTTTTTTATAAGGTTGGAATGAGATTCTTAATTGATATAGAGTCCTCATGTTCTTAACTGTAATAGGATCCTGCGAAGCGAAGTTCAGAAAAGCCTGAGTGAACCAAGTCCCTTTAGGGATTATCGGTATCACGTTTCTTGGCATTCGCATCAGGGCATTCCGTAGAGCACTCTCGAAAAGTTCGAGCGTCAGTTGAATAGCAGGTGGCTCTCGTGCTGGTGCTTGGAGTGTCGATGGCTGTAGTCTTGATGATGATGTTTGTAATGTGCTTGGGCCATCTACCATTAGAGCTATCGCAATTGGAGGGTCCTTTTTTTCCTTATTGTTCCTGGGTAGCATAGTTGCTTGGCTTCTTTTTCAGCTAGTTGAAGAAGGAGAAGAAGAAGAAGAAGAAGAAGCCAACAAGGTTTAATGTGTGCAAGAAATGTTTGATTTCTGAGGTATGTAAACTAGGTATGTGCGAAAGATGTTCTAGGTCCTCACGAATTGGGAACGCGAACCTTTGTGTTTTCTCTTTAATCCTTTGAGCCCGAAGAGAGTCTGAGAGAAGCCCGACATTTAAAATGGGCGATCTCTTTTTCTAGTTGAAGAAGAAGCCAACAAGGTTTAATATGCTGCAGGGTTTAGGTAGTTTATTTGCTTACTTGCCTTAAATGATCTTCGAGTCTTGATCTTCTGACGATATTGCATTGTTTCCTCGCTTCCTCACATAGATAGCGGTGTAGCTGGTCCTCAGCATTTTCGGAGACCGCAGCATTTTGTATTTCACGCAAATTATTTTTTGCCACGACGTTTGTAGCTTCATTTGGTTCTTTTCCCAGGTCCACAACTGATGCAGTAGTCACATCATTTGCATCATCCTTTCGGGTCTTAGCTTCTCCCACTGTCATCTCCAACTTATCCTGCTCATGTTGTTGCATCTTCTGCGCTTGACGTTGTGAAGATGAAGCCTTGTAGTGCAGCTCAGTCTTTTCTTTCTGCTCTTCTTTCAGCTGAGAGGTTTTTGGAGCTTCCTCGTGCATGGTAGTTATATATGACGAACCACCACAGGATGTCAAAATCTTCATGACCACACTACTGTAGTTCCCCTCCTGTCCGCAAAGTCGTGAGGGCTGTGTGTCTTGAGGAAAGGAATATTAGAGGTATCTTTAAGTGGCTTCTACAATGTACATGTATTACTAATAATATATGCCCTCTTGTTGAAAATAAGAGATACATACATATAGATACTTTCAAATACTCAGTAGAGCGATATATTTATGTGCTTGCCGTAAAATTTCACTTGGCTTTGGTTTACGGCCTCCTCGACTTTCCGTCTGCTATTCTCAGAACAAAGTGGTGTGACTGGAGCGTTTTTACTCTTTGGAGCTTCCAAAAGAAACTGCTGCGGCACCTCATGAGCCGCGCTACGAGCCGCAGCACTACCAAGCGGACTAGAAGTGTCTTCTCTACGCCCACCTCTTTCTTCGTCGAGACGGCCGTTAAGAACCACACTTACGACACTTCGATGCGTCTCCAAACAATGCTCCTCATAGCGGTCTTCGGGGACTGCAGATGATGTTTAAAGGTTTCTCCCTAAAATTCATCCCTGAGTTCGTGCATCGTGCGTCTACATCAGTGCTTAGGTGTAACTACAGAGCGCTCCTGGATGAAGGATCCTGGCGCATTTGTTCTCTTCTAGCAATCCTACGAATCATTTCCATTTTCGTTTTCTCAGCTGAAAGCTTGCTCGAGCTAGCTCACTTTCCAAATACGATGCAAGGACGAGGAGAGCAGATGAATTGGCATTGTAAGAGATGTTAGTCAACTACAACACCAACAACAACAACAGGCTCATTCGTTGTTTGGCATTGTAAGAGAGGGTTCCATAACTACCATTCGTCTCCAAATCTTCGTTCACAGTCGCACACGCAGGAGTCCCTACTCCTGGATTCCTGATGAAACTCGCATGATGATTGACAATGACATCAACGTCCTCTCCTCCACGAAAAAGTTCAAGTTCTCCTTTTGTATGGCCTTGCTCATTTGTTGTGATGTTGTGGGTCTCGTTGATCATGGTGATGCGCGCTACGTCTACAGCACCATCATCTGTCGCAGTTTCATGATCAGGTCCGGAATCCTCGAGCAGCTCCTCTTCTACTATTTCCCCGTCTGAGAAGATCAAATTCTCAGACAGGAAAGGATCATCATCGCCATGATCTTCCTCATCGTCGTCGTGATCATCTTAGAGCTACCGCGGTCGCATCCCTGAGAGCATCCCTGGCCGAAAATTTTCAAGTAGAAAAAGGGCCAGGGTGGATCAACATGTATGATATTGAGGGGACGCTCCAGCGGTAGCCTTAATCATCAGGCCTGTAATATAGGGGTAAACGCCAGCTGTTGCCTTCCACATGCGCCGCTTTTTCACCGGTTGTAGAATCAGTGTAGGCTTTGTTCTTATTGGCGACCTGGCTGGCGTCATGATACGCAGGATAAGCTTCAACGTCGAGTGCAGGTGCATCTGCATTCAACGCGTCTCTGTGCTCTTCAGGCTCTTGATCTTGGCCTTGGGGTTTGGACGTATCACGGTCCAACTTTCCTTCCACGGGCAAAACTTGGTGCTCCTCGTCTGTAGCGTGATGATCCACCGAAGGTTTCTGTTCTAGTGTGGTCTCTGTGACCCCACGCGAAGGTACTGTGCCTTCTGCGACAGGATCACTACGATCGGAAGCATCAGCACGAGCATTGTTTCCAGCGGAAGAAGCGTCTTCAGCAACATTTTCGACACCAGCAACTTCGGCACCAGGAGTGCACGCAAGTGGATCAGGACATAATGGATCTTTCTTCGGGACCTCGTCATTATCCTCGGTCGTGCACGAAGTCGACAAACTTCGACTTGCATCACGCTTTCCGACCATCTTATGCCCTTCTTCCAACATCTTGTGTTCATCTTAGCATGAATGAACTTGAGAAAAGAGATTAAATTCACATGGCATCCTATTAGTATTGTGTTGCGGTATAATACGAACTCATATCATCTGGTGGTACAACGGGAACCGAGCAATTCTTGGAAAAGTATCTCCATCAAAAACGAATCCTACATGAAAGGGCACCCTGCAAACCCAATGAAATATTCCCAACGTTTAGAAGTTGCAACCTCAAGGGCAAGAAAATTCACACAAAAATGCTACACATCTGAAATCCTGGTGACTGATCCAGAGGAGTTGCAAAAATCACATCATGCTAAGAGGTACTACTGTATGCATGCAAGACGACGGACAGAGGGTGGTAGCTTGATGGATGAGTCATGCTCCTGATTAGGACAGAATCTTTCGTACGTCATGTTTTGTTCCGTCTGGACTGTAGAGCATCGGAGTCCTTTCCAATCTAAATGGAAACTTTGTATGGCGCGCGACGGCGCCTCATCACGCAACAAGTCTGCACTCCCAAAGTAGCAGGTCTACTCCAGAAAGTAACTGCCCACCCGAATGGAACACACGAACCACATTCGCCTAGTACATTTTGCTCAATGCACCATGAAGCAGTGAGGAAACAACTAACGTGTATTATCGTTTGCCCCTTCTGTCTTTTTTCCGGATCTTTTGGATGACGGCATAGCAAGATGTCATGCAAAACCATATGACTAGGTGGAGAAAGCGAAAAATCAGGTAAAAAAGACCTAAAAATGAAGATATGTCGGTGTCCTTATATATAATAAATCTACTATAATTCTTGAAATGAGGCCAAGAAATATCTAAATGTTGTACAGTCACCTCTTCAAAGAAAGCATACTCGTCATGTCGTGGACGGACAATAAAAACCAGGAGGAGGCTTATTTCCGTACAACATGTCTGAAGCTCTGTGCCGGCAATCTGTGGTTACCAGGTTGGGTTAATATGTGTCAACTACTACAGCATTTATGTAGAGGAGTGTGTCATTGTTCCTTTTAAGACCGTGTCCCAACATTTATGTAGAGGAGTGTGTCATTGTTCCTTTTAAGACCGTGTCCTCCCATCGCTCCTTACCTCATATATAAAGTGTGCTGTTCCTTCCAATAACGTGTCCTCCCATCCCATCTTACCTCATTTCCACGCTGGCCTGCGGTGCATCGTGGAAGCTGCTGTTCCTGCTGCAGACTGATGTCTCCTAGCAAGTTGTGTATCACTTTTGCTACGGAGCAAGGTTCGAGGACCAGGCGTAACATGAGAAAAGAAAGCAGATCTGGCTGGTTGACGCGACCCTATGGCTCCATCTTGATATCCTCCTCGAGTCCCTATATTAGAAGTGAGGGGCATATATTTAAGATGGAATAAAAAATTTAAGTACTAATGGCAAATACACTGTAACCCCCTGCATCTGCGTCATCTCACCCTCTTTACCAGGTACGCCGGTTAGAGTACGGGGGTTAATAGGTCGTGTAGAAGTACGAGTAGGCGTACTATCACTACTAGTACTTGGAGTTCTTATTCCAGAGTAAGTTATATTTAGGATGGAATAAGAAATTTAAGTACTAATAGGCCAGAAAAATTGGTAAGTATTTATTTGGTTTGGCAGCTCGCATGGCATGGAGTGCATGGATCGCATGGAGCTAAAGGGCGCGCTTCTTGCGTCCCTTATGGATCTGCGCTGCATGCACTCCATGCGTGCTAAAAACTGCTCTGGAGTCTGGACGAACCTATTCCCTAATAAAATAAGACTAGGCTGCTAGTATTTTGCTAATTTTACTTTGCAGAAACAGAGTGCGCTACTGTAATTGCAATAACAGCAAATCAAAATCGAATTTTCATATAGTGTTCACTCACTAGTAACTACCAATCGCGAGAATTTCAATCTAAATTTTCCATCTAAGAAGCCATAAGTTGCGGACCTCTTTGAGAAGCAATGTGCCTCTGTGACGGCTGATAACCAAGAACGCCGTTTATTTCCCTCAGCTTCAGCGTAGGAATATCCGCTGACCATCTTGGTAGGCTGTCACGTGTTGCATTGCTTTTGCTGGGGTACTCACCTAGTACGACCCCCATTCGATTTGGAGGCGACAGCGTATGGCTATGGATATTATCGCCATCTGCGGCATCAACGTCGTGGGGAGAGGACGCGTCATTCACCGCGTCATTCACCCCCATTTCCTGTAGCATTTCCTCTAGAGTTATTCGTTGGAGTGCTGGTCCTTGGGATTCTGTTCTCTTGGGAGTGGCTATCGAACTCGAGCCCACTGCATCAAACGCACTGCCCAAATACCTTCTTACGCTCGGCGTCTCGCATAATCCACCTCCAGCCTGACTTCGTACGGTTCCTGTTTCGTACATGCCAACAGATCTCCCGTCCGGACCAGTCAGTGGACTACTATCTGGAGTCATTGTATTCCCAGAAGTACCTCTTCTAGGGGTTTGCATGCTGTACTGTCGCAATCCTTCCACGGCTGAAATAACGGGTCTACCACCAGATCTACCACCAGATCTACCTCTTCTAGGGGTTTGCATGCTGACCAAATTTTCGCTAGGATCCTCAAATCTTACCGTCGATGAGCCACAGCTGTCTCCTACTGTCGGCGTCAGGTCTAAACCTCGTCCTCTGTATTGTCGCAATCCTTCCACGGCTGAAATAACGGGTTGCGTAAACCAATTATTAGTCTTGGTAGATGGTCGTGTTGTTCTAGTTGTGTCCCAGAAATCCTCCAGTTCTACTGCTCCTCTGTCCGCAGTAGAACCGGCTCGATTCATGCAGGCAGGAGAAACAGCAGCTCCATTCGTCCCACGACTGAAAGCTGTTGTTCTTTTGTCGTCCAAGTCTGCGCTTATTTGACGCCAGGTGTCGCCCAAATCTTGAACTTTTTGCTCCAATTTCGTAGTTGGATCGTCAAATGAAGATGAACCTCCGAGTCGTCCCATCTGCGCGCAGAACTCTTGAATAACTTGCTCTTTACTGTCTGTTAAAGGGAACTCTTTACTCTGCGTTTGAAGTAGAGTTTCTGGACCACACACTTGGGTCCTTCGACAAGTAGAACTACTCGGCTCTGTCGTCCTCAATGATGAAGGTTCAGTCAGAGACGACATCTCATGACGGTCTTCTTCTCTCGTGGAAGTAGTATACTTCGACGGATCATAGGGTTCACGCATGTAGCTGCTCCCCTGTGAGTTCTCGTTGTCTGTTAAAGGGAACTCCGAACTTGTCCGAGGTTGAAGTAGAGTCTTTCCAGCGATCTTCACCGTAAATGTACCACAACACAAAGCAATCGCCTCTTCGTCACTGCGTGTTAGTTGTGGTTGTCCCTCCTCCAAGAGGGTGTTAGTTGTGCTTGTCACTCCTTGTTTTTCTTGACCACAATTGCTCCTTTTACTCCTTTCGTGCGCCCTGGACGGAGGTACTCCCAATAGAAGTGGTACTGCTCCTACACCTAGTTGCGCACCAGAGTTTTTAATTTCGGACGAGGCAAATGATGAGCTTTTTCCAGCGGAAGCATCTCTGTCCTGGGAGCAACTCCCTCCGGCAGCTGCATCGCCGTCTCGACTGTCTCCTAAGGGTCTGCAATCTATGGTCCCACACAACATGGCAATAGCACCTGTATCACTTGATGAAAGTGGCGGCTTTAGGCTTGCCAATGTCTTATTCGTGAGGGCGTGCTTCGGTGTCGAGGAGGACAGTGGCTCAGAGTTGTTGACACTTACCGGTCTATCCGCGGATTGATTTGGCACATCTTCATGGACAGAGTGATGTAGCCCATCCACGCCAGAGTGATCTGCTCCAGTGACAGCAACAGAATGATCTGGCGCAGTCGAGTTTGTTTGTCGTCGTTCAGCCCAACGTGTACCTTCGTCTGGCATTGGACGTTGCGCGTGCACTATCTGCGGAGGATCTGGTTGGTCACGATCATCGCCTGGTCGAAGTACTGCAGTTGCGGCTACAAAGATCATGGGCAGTAGTTTCAGAATGTTAGACGGACTCGACCACAGTCCCCATCGACGGGCCATGTTTTTAGGGTTCTCGCGGCGTTTCGTCCGGGAGTAGTTGCTTGACGACATTTTGTTCCTCTATTTGGGTTTTGTTTTGAGAGGAGATTCAATCTACGTACTACTAGTAGATTCTTCTTCTTGTTCTTTGACTAGATAACACATGAAAGTCGTAACCTGTTGTGAGGGTGTAAAAATCGCACATATTCGCATTTGTATTCTTTATCGCCACGTTGATAGAATAATATGTTCTCTACATCAGACACCTTCCATTTATATAATGAGATTAAATTCCTGTTGAATCGAATGATTCATTGAGAAACATCGACATCGAAGTCATCGTCTTGATAGTTCTGATCCCTGCTGGATTCATTGTATTCCCTCTTCAAAGATGTTTTCATCTATCTTTTGAGTCCGAGTCCATTTGAAAATTCAGATGAAGGCTCAAAGCTCAAGTTGAGCGAGTTCTTGCGCGCATACGATCGCAGAATCTATTACTTACACAGGGACTCTCAGATGCGGGTGTTGAAACAAACAACCTCCAAGTATTCAAAAACGATACACCAGGAAAGACGCTGTTCTTACGCAGCCATAAGATCTGCGGTCGTTTGCCATCTACAAAGGAATGATGCCAACACGGAGGTACTCATTTTCCCAACTATAGTACGATCTTTCAACAACTACGATAATGATCTTTCAACAACTAGGATTACATAACTCAGTCTTTTTGCCGAGTGATATCCTGTACTACCCCAGTCCAATCAACAGCCCAGTGGAATCAACTCGGTCTCTTTGATCCTGCGGCAGCTTGAAGAAACGCATTCCGGATTTCACTGCTGATGCCAGCTGCACTGCTAGCTGCGGAGTTCACGAAGACGGTCTTGCTTCCCGCACTATGGCCAATCTCCTTCAAGGTATCGAAATACTGGGAGGAATTAGAAGAGCAAGGGCGAGAGAGTGAGAGTGAGTGAGAAAAAAAAGTGCATCACGATTAAGTCTCATCTTTATCGAAGATGAAAGAACCTGTTGGGAAAAAAGGATGCGAAGAAGTGGTCTCCACTATAAAAAATCTTGATATTCTTGTAGCGGGAACTGGGAAAGAAGCGTGCGACGAAACAATGTTACAACACGTCAACGACAGAGTTTTCCATAATGATCAAGACCAACTCGATGACATCTCGGCTCCGCATACCCTCGATCGCCTCTTGGAATGTCCCAACACTATTCTTCATGCCGTCTATGATCGCTTTGCGCTGTCTAGCAATACCTTTGAGTATAATCATTGTGTATTAGAACAAATGTCAAGAGCAATGATCTTCATACCAGCTATCATATGAGCAATAAGATACCAGCTTCTAGTACTTGATGGTATTGTACCTGCTCCTTGATGGTATTTTGCTACTGCGTCGGCTTCAGCCCTTTTCACTGCCATCACCTTGTCCGCATCTGCTTTCTCTGTCATCGCTTGTCGATTCCTTTTGCTCGTCTCGATATCGTTCATCGCCACTCGCACTTTCTGTGCGGGTGTTATATCGGTCACTAGCGTTTTCACAATGATATAGCCGAACTCTCGCATGGTGCCCTGAGGAGATATGGGTGGACAAGAGAGGGTGATGAGATTTGAGGCGAAGGGGAGAGGAGACGACGAATTATCGTGGATGAGAATTTGAATTCAATTGACATATAAGTCTATCATATTTCTCACCTAGACAGTATCTATAAGGTACTACACGCTCGTCCATAATCCTAAGAAAAACTATTCAATCTTCCAAAATTATCTTCTAGAAACTAACACCAGTGAAGCAAGTCTTTTGTTGAAGAAATATAACTCCCATTCATTTACCGTCAGGTTCTGTCTGACTTCGTCAGCGATAGCATCTTTTGCTGCGTGTAGGTAGAGGTCGTCTAGAGTGTGCTTTGGCACTGCAGATCGAACAACGTCGAAAACATAGCTATGCCTCTTAGAGGTGGAAGGAGGTGGGTAATGGATATGCGTTCAAAGGAGTTTGTTATCTGGATGCTGCATCATGCAACTTGCTCTAAAAAATTGTGATAGGAGTCAACAAAAATTCTTCTTGTATCCTTGTTCTGCCCTCAGACAATTTTTATGTTGCTGACTTTCGTCCCTCTCTCAAATGATTTTTTATCTAGCGATGATTATGACATCATCATCATCATGGCTATCCCATTCATCGTACAGGTGCCTTAATAATCTGTTGCTCCGGATGTGCTAGTCGGTAGAATGCTTCATACACTTTGGACACGTCAGCGACGTACTGTATGTCAATCTGCGCATCCACGAAAACATTGTCCTTGGTTTTTGTCTCGACCTGGGTCGTAGTTGTAGAGGGATAAGCGTCGAGATTGAGAATCAATGAGCTTGTTCTAACCGATGTCAAGGATCAAGATCATGATCTCAGTATTTACACATACTTAGGCTTCTCGGATAAAAATGTCGAAGATGAACGCTGCAAGTAGAAGTACCTTGACAGGCAATTGTCGGACTCGTGTTGATATGGCACCTGCCTTCTCGCATACACAAGGACACGGCAATATCATGAGACCCGGCCCTTGTGAATGTTAGAAGATGCTTGTTATGACAGTGCATTCATCTTGTTTCGGGAGAGGTGTTTCTAGACGCTGAAAAAGTAGTAGTCAGCCTTAAGAGTATGCGTATTTGCCGAACTGCTCCACGATTACGACCTCATCCTGAGGTACTGAGTGGCAACAACCCATTTTTTCGAGTCCGCTGCTCCTGCTTTTTGGACTCTACTTCAGGATCTAAAATTCACTTCCTTGTTGTACAACTAAATAGTATAGGAACAAGGGTAAGTTCATTTTTCTTGAAGCAAGGCATATTTTCATTGTTACTCAGGGTAGAGCGCACCTCTGTGTACGCACCTCTGTGTGCGCACCTCTTCGCTCTGCAATAACATCATCACTCGGTGGAGGAATTATCACAAATTGCTCGACTACAACCACAAGCGATGCCATTATTAGGTCACCGTTGTATGTCCAGGAATACTTGTCTACTATACCGTCTTTTCTTAGCCCTGCGAGAACCACAAGCATGTGAGTTTGTGCTATAAATGTACACACAGATGATTTGTGGATGGGCATTAGATCTTCTATCACTAGAAGTGGAATTAGATCTTCTAGAAAAATTCACCATTATTTCAGCAGAGGTCGTGAAATGGTGAATGCATCTTCTTGGTGAGAGTTCTTGGACTCAGCTGCGCGAGGAAAATAGTCACCAATTTTATGTAAGATGAGCGTATGCATGGAGTTTTTTCAGTCTCATGGAGGAACAGGTAGATATCGCGATATTATGAGTAAGGAGACGTTTGTGTTAAAAACTTTATCTTAACTTTATCATAGAAAACTCATTGCGTTTCCAGGAATAGCGTCCTCGATTGTGCATTTTTTACACACTACTACTGCTAGAAGCGGAAAAGTAGTCAGTGCAGCTGCGAACAAGCTCCTTGAGACTATGCAGCACTAAAACTACTCAATCAGCACTCAATGCTTCGAACAAGCTTGTTGGCATTGACCATGCAGCCGCTTGGTATTAGCTATCCGACAACAAGAAGATCGCTTAGTGCTGTTGCAGTTACCCATTGTTCTACAACTGTTCCAAGGTCTAAAATCGACTTTTTGAAGCATTTCAAGATAGCTTTCCCGAAAGACACTGGCAAAATCCCGTCTGAAGTGCTCGTCTGCATTTAATGCCTTTCGCAGTTGATGGCTCAGCTCGATTGGCGTTTAGAGAGGGGAGGGGATCACTAGTTTAGCAGTTGATGGCTCAACTCGATTGGCGTTTAGAGAGGGGGTCATGTCTAGAGACAGTGAAAACAAAAACCGAAAGAAGAAAAGTCAATGACTTGTCAGAATATGGAACCAATGCTCAGTGTATTCATATTCATCTAAAACCCGAAGGATAAAATTTTTGAGCTACTTTCGTAGGGCCGCTTAGGGTTTAGGGCTTACAGAAAGGGGGACATAAAAGGCGTTTAGAGAGGGGATTCTTGCATCCCAAAATTCATAATGCACGGACACGTCGAATTTGAGATATACTGCTGATTGTTGCGTCAGCGTCACTCGATCAGGGTCAAGCGAAGCGCCAGTCAGTCTTGCCTTAAAGGTCTAGGCAATCACTATTCGTGTTTGAGTGGTCGTTCCTCTTCCTTGAGTAGTCCTTTCCCCCTCGGATAATTAGTTTTAGGGGGATTCCACTCGGGAAACAAAGTATCCCACGCACACCTTATAGTGATAACGATAGGGACTGGTTATCCTTAATTGTCAAAGGTCTCTCTTCGATGATGCTGTCCTCTGGCGCGTAGTGACCCTTGAAGACGACGTCAAGTCGTCTCTTCAAAATTCGTCGGAAAATGTCTGATACGGCACCAATTTCATTCACACGGGCTTCTCCTGAGGCATACTCTGTTTGAGTTTCATTTTCTCTATCTGAAGAAGATGTGCAGGAAGAAGATGTGCAGCAAGAAGATGTGCAGCAAGAAGATGTGCAGCAAGAAGATGTGCAGCTAGCTGTAGAAGTACCACTTGACGAGGAAGCTTCTCTTTGTTCCATAGCACCGAAGCCTAGAAAGACTTCTTTGGTATAAAAATGAGGCGGCTTCCCAGGATTGCGACAAGGAAATGAAAGGGGAGGGGATTAGTATCGAGTGAGAAAAACACTCTGCTGATGCGGTCGTCATATGTCTCTGCTATTCTCTGTGCACGTCGCTCATCGACATAAGTGTCTGTGTCAACCTAGCAGCTAAAAACAAGCAATCAAAGACTTCTGCGTATGAATCGCAAGAAGAAATTTTAAATTTACGTATAGCTAAATATCTTCCTCTCCTGCCCTTTTTATTTCATAACCCATGCACATCCACATGCAAGCTAAACCAGTTTCTTGGATACAGGCGCTTTTCTTCGAACATCGCTTCTCGTTTTCGCATATCCTGCAAGAAGCCACCCATTGCGCGGAACCAGGAGTTACAGGGCAATTCGTCGACTCTCAAATAATTCGGATCCCTCAATGCTGGATCTGGACGCTGAAGCGGTTTGATGCGGCGAACTTCGTGAGGACTCCAGCTGAGGGAGTTAGAAATGTCCCTTGAGACGAGGGAGAGGGACGAGACGGAGCGCAGATACCAAATGTAGTTCTGTCTTGTTGTATAAGAACTCAAATGAACAATAACTTTTAGCTACAGAACATAAAAAATCCTACTTGGGAAACGAGCTACGAATTCTTTACAAGAACATACTTAAAGCCAGCTGACTTGATCCTTGTCGAATCTGCATGAGTGTCTTCAGAGAAGTGGATCGATTTTCTTTCATATTCAGAGAAGTGGATATGACATAAGATACCCAGCATCGTTTTGCGAAGCTAAGGCTGCTGCTAATCCGGCTGTGTAGTCTTCGCTTTTATGCACCCCTTCGCCGTCGCGTGCCAGGGGTATGCAATGTGGCGCCGTGAAAAGAATATTCGTGGAAACCGCTTCTATGATTGATAGTACTTGTCGTGAAGATGATGCGGAAGGGGACGAATGACAAGGATTGCGGGAAGGAGACTGAGAAGTGGAGGTCGTTGTCGCGCAGCCACTAGAGATGCCTACACGAGGATTGCCGCAAGAAGACAAGGTCGCCAAACAACCACTAGACGAGATGGCGCAGGGTGTAGTTGTCGACGTACGTGGAAGTTGCATTGGTGGGTGGTGCTGTGGCGATGATGCTGTTCGTTCCAATGGGAGCTCAGCTGACGCTGTGCAAGAACTTGAACTATTAGTCGTTAACATTTGGTTTTGGTTTTGATGGAACCATTTTCTGTGCAAACGATGGAAAAACAAGATGTCTACCAACTTGAGCAGTTTTTCTTCAATGTCGTCACCGGAAAAGGGCTGTTCTCCATACTTTCGTAGCTCCTGGTTCAATTTGCAGTCAAAGAACAACGGGGTAGAGGCCGCTGATGTGGAGGCACCATTTCCATTCATCTTACAAGATGTTGAGGTGTTGTTCCGGTTCCATGATGATGTTGATGTAGGACAACCAATTACCGTTACTCCCATAGTGCTGTCAGCTCCACTTCCACCAACTGCAGATGCCGAACTACTAGGTTCCAATAGGGCGCATAACTCCTCCAATGACGAAAGTATTAACGCTAGTCGAAATCGCTATCCCTGGTTGTTTTGGAGGTTTTCCTTTAATACCCATAAATTGAGAACACCCTTGACTGACTGACATCCAATGGGAAAAAACCGCACAAGGGCGAGCATAGCCCACACGACCAGAACCAGATAGTGATAGTGACCCTGACTCACATTTAGTAGGAGCCTTAAAAATAGTACACAGGAAAGCTTATTTTCGACAGCCGCTAGAGTTTTAGGGTCGTCGCCGAAGACCGTTTCTAGTGTTCGTTGCAACACCGCAGCTTGACTACCGGATAAACGAGCAGCTACGTCGCGCGTGCACGGTCGGACGGTAGAAGAATGTCGGCTCATTTTCTTTCTGGTGTAAAACCTGTTGGTATTCAGAACGTGGGGTTCACTCTAAAAAGTAGTGTAGGGGTTCTGACTGCTCACTGACTCTAAGAAAAAAATCGAAAATGTCATTCAAATACTCATTGCTTACGATCACACATCTAGGAATAAGACTGATCGATTCGAAGTGCCTGATGTCCTTATGTATCTTCCTTCTATGCTGCTGTCCGGTAACTGAGCTCTTACATGATAGAGACGGACACTCATTCAAGGCTTCTTTTTAGACGGAATACATTTCAATTTCTTCTCGAAAAACTCTAACTCGCTCAGTTTACTAGGTGGTATTCTCTCGGACTCTCTCTTTCTATTCTTAAATTTTCTCTCTTGTTGATGAAGTACTAGAAGTACATCGTGTAGTCTTCTAACTTAAAGTTTTAGCAACTCTTCTAACCCTCAATCAATTCGTCTGCAATACCTTGATTATATGGAGGCAGGCGATACTTGCTGTCTGGTATTTCTTTTCCTAGACAATGGTCAGCCACAGAAGGTACATAGCGATCGTTTAGAAGGCGGGCAACAGTTGTTAGCAACATCAGGGTTTACAAAAATTCTCCACATCTTTGTTTTGGTGCTAATCTCAGGAGCCACACCCAAAATTTTGAAGATGAATGATATTGGGTGCTTTAACAATAAAATCTACATTGTAAGAATCGATCTAGGATATTTCTTTTGTTTATTCCTAAACGGAGACAGTGTAAAATCTAAACCAGGGTTGGTGTACCAAGAATCTGTCCATTTCTGTCGCACACTAGTTCTAGGAGAGGATCCCATAGGAGAAAGACTTTACAATCACGTTGATTAAGGCTCACCGTAATTCATCCTTCTAGATCCTAGGTAAAGCTTCCAGATCGTGGCCATCGAATACAGTACTAGATCTACTTCATCTTCATCTTCATATTATACCACGAAGATGATGATTCCGTAGTACAGCTAAATGTTGAATATTGGAGGTGTCCAGAATCTTCCAATGTTGAATATTTTATGGATGTCTCCTCACAGGCCAAGCCTGCCAAGCTATCAAATACCAAAAATAGCGATTTCGTTACCACATATCGATTCCGTTACAAATTCCTTCATCTTCCAGTCCTACCTAAGGTCTATTTTTTTTTTTGTAATGAAAGAGAAAGCTACTAGTACTACTTCTACATCTACGTCTTCTAACTGTCTACCTAGTACAGTAAGTGTTTACTTGGTACAATAAGCTAGGTAACTTCTTCGCCCATCCCATCATCAGCAGTGGCGCTAATCCTCCCAGCTGCACCATCATTATTAGCTGCACCATCATTATTTCCGCCAGAGGAAGTGTCCCTCCTACCAGCAGACGCAGGAGAGGTGCTTCCTGTTATATTTAGAGGAGCTTACCTTAATTCATTTCGGACGAGAGCATCTTTGATATGTTTGTCCCTTGAAAACGTGCCGAAGACTTTGCTCTTAGTAGTAGTAGTGTACCCAGTCTTAGGAAAGATGCGTCTCCAGATGAATTGTGGAGAGCCATAATAGATCTGTTGGAAAGTCGAAGTCGTCCAAAGCTGAGCGTCTGACCAAAGAAATACCAGAGGGTCTTTCGTGGTGATGCTCGTTATTGTTGTACAGCGAAGACAGCGACTGCTGGTGCCGGTGATGACTGTGATTGCTGCCGCAGCAGAGAATTCTGGCTGAGGTTAGAAGGAGGGGTTGATAATGATATGGGGTACAACTTGTATGTATGTCATTTTTCTGGATGGGTTTAGAAGAAGGAGGGTTTTTGAAAGAGACAGTTTTGATATGTGGGTTTAACGTAAATGGACAAGATCAGAACCTGAAGTAATTCAGACGATAGAAAAAAATCTGCTTCATAAACATCTTCCCTTCCGCGTAGCTCTTCTCAACAAGCTCTCTTTCATTGCTGCGAGTGCCTCGGCTTCTTCTAATCGCAGTCTAGCCATTTCCATGTAAATCTCGTCCCGATCGTGCTGAATAGCAAGTGACCGAAGAAATCTAGCCATCTCAACATTTTTCCGCTCTAATTTCCATCCGCGACACACCGTACACGCATCCACGTCGTGGTTGTAGAGAGGGTGTTAGAGAAGAAGGTTAGGGTAGATCATTGTGAATCCTGCACATCGAGCCCCCCGGCACCTAGGGAAAGCAGTAGACACAAGAACAAAGGATGAGAAAGAAGGTGGGGAGCTGCATGGATATTAAGAACATTCTTATCGCATAGTTGTTTTCGTTAAACTTCTGGGGTAAAAATGACTTGTATGTTGGGTCGTAATCGTATCGAGATGACTAATTGTAATTTGTTGTCACTTTATGCGTTGTTGCCATAATGTTTTCCCCTATGTATGTTTGCCAATAGCGCGTTGATATCAAGCACGCCATCTCCACTAGGGTCGTTTTTGGTGCTTCTCTTAGCATGTGGAACCTCAGAGGGTCTGGGTTTCGGCATCATTTCTTCGTCTGGCACTTGTGGAGGCACTCCGACGAAAGTAGCGTTAGGAGCTTTACTTGTAGCTTGACCTTCACCTTCAGCACCTTCACCTGCACCTCCCTTGTCGTCATCTGTCGGTGAATTCGTCTGCTTCAATTTCTCTTCTTCTTTCATTTTTGCCTCCTCATCATGTTGGTCATCCTTCTCCTCTTCAAAATCAGTAATGTCATCGTCCTCCTCTCCGTCTTCTTTACTCATCTTGATCTTTGCATCATCATTACTACTTCTACAAAGAATCTTGTCACAGACACGACCAAGACATGTCTTCTTCTTCTTCTTCTTTCCCCCGTCGTCACTATCTTCGGAATCTTCGTGTGCCAAGATTTTCACCAGAGACCTGTAGTCTATAGCTTGCTCATCATCGTCTTCGTCCTCTATGTGATCGTCCTCGTCGCCAGCGTGCCAGCTACTTCTGTTGCCCAAACACCCTCTTGCTCTAGAACAAGTGCCAAAGCGATGCTCTTCCGATGTTACATCGTCTATCACATCTACTGTGGCCGTCGTGCGCTCTTTCTTTGTTGGTTCTTTCGCTTTTCGAGGCTTTGTCGTTTTGATTTAGAGCATTAAATTTACATCAAGAGTCTGAGGGCTTCATTTTCTGTAAGCTCAGCATCTTTTCATTTTGATCTTCTTCTAAGAAGAAAACGGAGAAAGAAAAAGGTGATCGGTAGACATGAATCATTAACATGAACCTGGCTTAAGCTTTCTCTGTTCCTGGTCCAGTGGTTGTACCAGTTCTGCTACCACTTGTATCTCCGAGGACTCCACCGTCGACGCCTTCTTCTTTACTGTCATCTCTCGTCGCTTCAAACTCAGGCGCACCATCGAAGCACCACTGAAGCGCTTTCTGAAACTCAGGATCCGCGTCTCGCTTGCTTTTCGGCAGCATCTTGAGCAGTTCTGTTTTTCTCAGTTTCTTATGCCCTTTCCCGCGTAGACCCAATATCTGCAGTCCCGTCTCTACGTCCGCGAAGCTTGGTGGGGACATGTCTCTTTCAGGATTTATCAGTTGTCTCGCTGAACTCTCCTCTAACGAGGCGAAAATGCGTTGGAGCTGCTTTTCTCTCGTTGTAGTATTAGACCCCACATCATAAATCCATCTTGCGAATCATCGGTTGTAATTACATGCTTTCCGCTATAAAAAGAAGACACAAGATCATGATGCTTGATTTCTAAGATGGATTTAAAATAATGTGGGTGGAAGCCTTAACTTTAGTAGTACTTTTAGTACGAGTAGAAGTTCCCCTTGCTAATGGAGATGATGGGGAGCTCGTCGAAGAAGATCTGCGTCCTCGTGGTGGCTGCAATGTTGTACTACCTCTAGAAGTTACACCACTGCTACCATATCCACCTCCACCATGACCACCAGAAGGAGAAGACGTATCTCCATCAATACAAGCTCCAATATCTTTATGAAAGGAAAAAGTGTGAGGTTCTAGGTCAGGTCGTTGTGAATCCTTTCCTACTACTTCTTAGATCGTGCCTACTTTCTTCTTCTTGAGTATGAGTACTTACATTTTTTCTTCTCATAATGTTGCTTTTCTCTAGTACCATCTCTGCTAGTCTCTTCTTGCAAGAGTGCGGTAATTTTCCGCTTGAACTCATCCCATTCATCTTGAGGGAATATCTGCACCTTGCTATTCTCGAGCAACGAGCCAGACGTGGCCACGTAATGCGGTCGTAGAGGTAGCTGGTCCAAATTCATGGGTTTGGAGGATCCTGTTAGCGGTGTGAATAGGTCTGCAAGAAGAACTATTTGCTTGTGCTATTGACAACTGTGAACTAAAAAGAGGAAATCTAAATCAAAGTAAGCCTCGTCCCTACCTGTTGGAAAAAATTCTCTAAAATGCATCTGCATTCACTACTAAAATGCGAAGTACATAATTCCAAGAACGAATCTAGTCTTTGAACATCGGCCATAACGATCTCCTCTTCGGTGTTTCTGGTTCACTCCCCGAACTTCGAACTCGTAGTTGTCCACCTTTTGCACCAACTCTTTCAGCTGCGGCAGCTTTCTTTCTTCTCTCCTTCCGTCTCTTTGCTTGTTCTTCCCGTTCCTTCCTCTTCTTCTCTTTTCGCTCAGCTTTTTGCTGGGACAAGAAAAACCGAGTCTTGATCAAACTGACCAAGTTGCGTCGTCGCTCCAAAACGACTCGAAACGAAGGGTTGATGCGGACCTGAGAGTTTAAAAATAGGCTAGGTGTTTAGTAGTAGTAGTGTATCCGCCATTCGTGGGGTATCGAGTTTTGTATAGTAGTTCATCCTTCAGCACCAATGCAAGTGTACAACCTTGTTACTTTTCTACATAAGTATAAGTACCTCATCCTTCAGCACTAAAGGCACCGTTGGTACTCGCTCCGACGCTTCTGACATGCCTCGTCTGTGTTGTGCTCTAAAATTTGCATATGCCATATGCGCGAAGTCCGCTAGTGACCAGTGGCTCCACTCGTGCAGTGTCCTGTCCTCCATACACAGTTGAGAAAAGAGCAGCATCGAAGAGTATTCGTGGCCAGGGAACAGGAGGCAATCTGGGGACACCGAAAGTAAGATGAGATAGAAGTTGCGGAACATTTCAGTTTGAGTACCCTCAAAACATGCGCCGTGACCACCGCAGAAGAGTGTATCACCAGTGAAAAGCGTATGTCGAGGTGGAGGTTTTGTTTTGGAGTCGTCCTTGGGGCTTTGTTCTTTGAATTTTTGTTCATCTGGAGGTGGTGTTGTTTGTTGCGGTGTTGTTTGTTCTTGAGGTTGTGCTTGTTCTGCTAGAGCAGTAGACGAAGCTGCTCCTCCTTCTATAATAGACACACCAGGCTTTTCCTCTTCTTTCCCTAGTGTCGATGCAACATCAGTTCCACTTTGTTCCCCTTTTTTCTCGAAGACTGCTTCTTCCACTCCTTGTACTATACTGTTCTTCTTACTATGATCCGAACCCGAAGTCAACAACATAGAACTACTACTTCTACTTCTACCCAAAGAGCCTGAAGACTCCTCTAACTCCGCTCTTTGTATTGCGCCTGCAGTCGTAGGCAACAGTACAGTTTCATAGCGTTCACTGGCCTCCAGATTTTCTTCGTCTGTCCTGTCTGGGTCGAAGAGTAGGAAACAGCTGTGACCCCTCGTGTGAGCGGGTGTGATGAGACACTGGAACCTCATGTTCTCTCCAATTGCAAGGACGTCCCCATGCTTCACCAAGGGCTTGTTGACGCAGAGTTAGAAGAGGCAGGAGCAGACCATTCAGTTGCAAGAGGGTTGGAAAAACATTTGGTGGGGTGTCTCACAATATGATATTTTTTGGGAGATAGGAAATAACCTTTGAGGGGTCCAACTACGTTGGGGCCTCAGCCATTATTTATAAGTGAACCCTTGTGAAGATCAAATTCAGGTTACCAAATACCGGAAGCATAACCCCTAGTCGCTGGTTCTGTCGCGTATACGTCCAAATCCGGGAATCGCTGCCTGAAATGGCCATTCCCCCATTGGTGGTCCCAATGCTTGTGCGTGGTGAGGATTGCGATGATCGAGAGCTGGCTTCCGTAGAATTCGTGTGAGATCCAGTCTGCCGCTTTTTCACAATGTCCGCCAGCTGACGGGTCTATCAACACTGCTTCAAACAAAGGCCCTTCTAGAGCGTCGAAATTAGAGCTACCGCATTGATGGCATCCTTGGAACATCATCCTTGGGTCTTTTTCATCTTATACTTTTTTATATTAAGTAGAAAAAGACCCAACGCGGAAGGATGATGTTGAGGATGATCATGCAATAGCCTTAACAAAATCTAAGGGTGCGCCGTCATCTGCTTGGCCAGGTAAAAACGGTGGTAAGGCAGAAGCAATGGAAGCGGCGTAGGGAAATGCTCCTGGTGCTGTATGCTTGTGTGGATCTTGATCTTCCTGATCTCTTGGAGATCGAGGTGTTGTAACTTGACTTAGAGCTTCCTTACGTTCATCGCTAAAGGCATCTTGAAAGTGCTCTTACCAGAGTATGACATACCCTTCGTCCAACTCCAAGATGGCTCTCATGATGAATTTTTAGCGAATTATGCCTTAACTGGCGTTCTAGCCCTTTTTCTGATGAAGGTTCCATCTGGTGGTGTCCCTCTACATTGATTGCAACGTCGTTGAGGCCGACTGCTGCTTGATCTCCGGTGTTCAAGGGATTAGAGGTAGGAGGATGAGGAAAAAAAACAAGATTGACTCGTGCACAAAGCGGGCAGTGGTGCAGATTTATGGATAAGGAGTTGCTGAATTAGGCACGAAAAAATCAAAGTAGAGATACCCGTTCTTGCTTCTTACAGCAGACCATTTCATACCACTCCTCTCACCTGCTGCTCCACCTCCAAACCGTTTTGAACTACGCGCACCATGGCCATGGTCCAAATAGCTGTCAAATTTTGCCACCGAGTTGTTGATGATGTTGGTGTTACTCGCACCCAACCGTCTCAACATCATGCCAACATCTATGGGGATAGATTCTAGATCGATCTCCTCCTGGGTTTGATCTGGATTTTTAGAAGTCCTCTTTGTTGCTCCAGTTCCTTCCGTCTGCAGCTCAGCTTCCTCATCGACCTTCGGCAACTGTCCACTGACAGCAGAGGCGGCGCCGAGTGACCGTCTGCCTGTCTTCGTAGGTCTAGCGGCAGAAGGAGCAAGGGATGTTGTCTATTAAAGAGGAAAGAGAGTAGAGGGAGATCATGCCAGTATCCACACTACACGGTCACTGCTTGTACTTCTCAGCTGCAGTAGCGAGACAGAACAAGACCTGCTCATCAACAATCGTATTTCAACAGAAACGTACACGAGTAATCATAACTTTTACTCCCTCTACTTGCTCCTCCCCCCGATGCCGCATCAATCGCATGTGCCACCGATGTACGTAAGTGGTGGGAGATATCTTCGATTTCGGGTTCGCCTTCTTCTCTCGCTAGTAAGTCAGCTAGAGCGTCTACTTCAGTCGAGTCCATCCTAGAAGGGCCTTCAGGACTAGGAGACCCCGGCTCCACCTGCTCTCCTTCAGCTAGAGGTTTCTTTGGGGTATTAGAGACGGACCATCATTATGCATGATGTGCATTCATCAATGCGTCTTAAGTAGTGAACAGTCTCAATCACCGACAAGGCGAACCGTGCGTCAGCATCGTGTCTTTTTGATTGATTGACTGATTGATTGATATGCCTGACAAGAGGTTGGTGTGTGAGAAGTACTTTTTTATACTAGTATTTGATGAGGAGAAACAAGATCGGTTGTAACCTGATGTAGATATTTTTCACCACTTCCGTAACCTTATGTTTCGAAGGGATAAGGCTCGTTGACTCTGCTGCTGTCGATACAGTCGTAATACGGCCATTCGCATTGGATTAGATTGATACAATATCAAAAGCAAATGCTTACCAAACTCAAGAGCATCGTCATGGCGTTTCAAGCAGTCCTCCTATGCTGCTGGCAAGAGAAGACGAAACAGATTCAACGTCATGTCATGTCATGGTGCCTCATTTAAAGCAATGCAAGTCTTTGTATGAGGCCACTCAGTTACGTAGTACCTCCTATGGGCTATGGAGAGCCACGAAACCGATTAGGAATAGATAGAAAACTGCAACCACAGGTTCTTGTCTGCGGTGGCGTTTCAAATGTATCATAATCCCTCTCAGCGGTGAGTAAAAACTGCAAAGGATCCACCATCGGTCCTTCACTATCCCGTCCGAGGCCAAAGGGACCAGGTCCATGAGTGTTAATATGCTGGATCCATTCTGTTTTCCGCTTACTTTTCCGCGCCTGCTTCGCCATATAGGCCTCGACAAAACGATTGAACTTCTCTGGAAATCGCAAGTCGACGACCATGTAACAGTAGTTGTCTTGCCACTGGAATTAGAGAGGCGCTAGAGCAGTGTGATCGACGTTCTTGTAAAGGATTGTACTATCTATTACGTACTTGGAATCTCCTTTGAGTCTACTACTACGACTTCCCGGATTGAACACTACGACTGAAGATCGAGTTTATAATCTCCAAAGAACCCACAAGCCCTTAAATGGGAATGACATGAACCCATCGCCGTCCGGGTATCAGCTCGACCCGCAAGTCCGCACATCTACTATGCCAAGGCTTCTTCCTGGCACCACGTTCCATAAAATACACGTGGATTCGACCAACCCATTTCCACATATACAATCGTTCGACGATGGGGTATGAAGGTGCGAGGGAAGAAGCGGGAGAGGTATATGATAGTGTATTTTGGCGAAGTTTTCAACTAGTTCTTGTTGCAGACTTTCTTGATCAAGGCATCGGTTTTCAAGTCGAAAAGAAAACTTCAGACTCTTCAGATGACTTTGTTATTTTACGAGTTTCCGCTAGCTCTACGACAAGTACGAGCACCCATCACCATAAGATCGGAAAAAACACGTAATGCAAGAGGTGAAACACCTGGGTCAAGACCAGCGCTGGCAATGAGCTCACAGCCAAGCATATCCCAACAACGAGGAAAAGTGGCAGCGACAAGAATGCTGTTGGTGTTGCTAAAAACGTCAGCCAAATCCGCCGAATCAGGTACCATATCTGGTAACAGACGCCTCTTCTTCGTTTCGGTCTAGGTTTTGCCGACGTAGCTTTTGCTGATGCTGTGTTAACGGCTGTCGCTGGTGGAGGTGGCTTTGCTAAAGGCGTGGGGTCTCCCGCCAACGTGGCAGAAGCCGTAGCCGTGGCGCCCTCTTCTGTCATGTTTTGTTTTGGTCTCGGATGTTTACGTAACCATCTTGAGGAATATGCTCTTTTTTTTTGGCGACCGAATGTATAGATACACTCTTTTATGTTGTCGCGGGTATCACTTGGAGTAGACTGTTTTTCTCTCAGACACGCTCATATGAGAGTTCTAGATTCTTTTCTATTCAATTTCTTGGTCAACATCGCCTCTTTATTGAAAACTGTACAGAATGAAACTCAGAAACAGGAATTGTCTTTCCAGTTTGTGCTGGTATTATGCGTTCAACACGCAGATTCGCCCTTTGTCAGGAGGAAGGAATCACTTTGACCCGCTTAGCGAGGTTGCGTCGATGTTGAATGCAGCCTTTTTAAATCATTCTCATTATACAAACGGTTCAAATCGCAAACGCTATCCCGCAATATCCTCAGCCCCAAGCACAATCAGGTGTCCTTTCGCAGGTTGTTGTTTCACCTGTGGTGGTCTAGCAAGGCGGTCAAATATACTCTCCCCTTCTTGCTCAGTGTCGTCACCTTGAGGATGAATGCTATCAACCTCAGCCTCAACATGATCACGTGTACTAGATGTACTAGCTATGTCACCAGTAGAAGGAACAAGTTCCAAAATCTTACACAATTCTCCCATCACCAAATCTGCATCCGCTCTCAACAAGAAGCCACCGCGCTGGACGCACTTCTTGTCGCATGCGGTTGGTTGCGTGGAGACGAGACAGGTTCCAACCTTGTACTGTGGCAATGTATTTGCTGGTGCCACCGAAAGCGAACTTCCTAGGACCAAATGAAGCTTGTCCTGCTCTCCTGGTCCACTAAATGGGTCTGCACCTGCGCATGCAGCTTTTGCCTTGTCTAAATCGCGCAAGGATTCTCCGAAATGCACGATTGTATCTGTTAGGGAAGCCGTAGCACGACCACAGGACTCGCAGTCACGACCAGTAGAGTGGAGTTGTTTGTTGCCTCCTTCGAGAGTGGCTGTTGATGCAGTTGTAGGTCCTGTTTTAAAGCTCAGCATTCAATGGTCACTGACTCTGAAAGAAATGGGCCCCATGCCTCTCCCTTTGCTTTTCCTTCATTTTCCCCCCATCTTTCCTCAAGAGGGATCTCAGTGACCAACCCCAATGACCATTGAAAGCTGAGCCTTAACTGTTGAGCTTGATGCAGTAGTTGTAGGTCCTGTTGCATCAGATGTTGTGGAGTTCGAGTGGGTCGTCTTCACTCGTTTCCTACAGACATCAAAGTTTCTCCTATAGCGCATTCCGCAGTTCCTACATTCTTCTAGAAACACGCAGCCATGAAGTTCGCTCAACAATGCTTCTGGCAAGTTGGCTCGTGTATGCAAACCATCAATGTTTTGCGTTACTACATGCGATACGAAGCCAGTTTGTGCTAGCTTCGTGATTGCGTGATGGGTCAAAGTTGGTTCACATGATTCGAAACGAGGTATAAGCGGTGCCTTAGAGGAAGAAGTAGTAGTACCAGGTGTCGGTGGAGGTTGTTGTTGTTTCTCTTTTTTCTCTGCCAAAGTCCACAATCCTTGAGGTCCACGGAAATCAGGGATTTTCGCATTCGTAGAAATCCCGGCACCTGTGTGAACCACCACTCTCCCTTTGAATTGGCGGAAGAGACGTGCGAGGTAGCGGATCTTGTTGTGAAACATTGATGTACTTGGAATTGGTGGAGATGAAGAAGATGATGAAGATGCTTTCTGAGAGAGAGATGAGGAGACGGTGCAGGAAGGTGTTCTACTTGACGAGATGTCTTTGATGTCTATGCCTTTGTCAACTTGGTCATCGTTTTTCTCTTCTACAAAGCGGACACTGCGCAGTGGCGGATGTTTCTGAACTGGTTGTGTCAGATCGAGTAACGGGAAGTCGAGTTGAGCAGAAGAGACCTTGGAAGTGTCCCTTTCGTACAACGCCGTATTGACCACATTCAAATCTCCAACATCGAGAGGTGTGAGCTCGATTTTATCGTCCATGACCAGACCGCAACCTCCAAACCCTCCACTGCGAGCCGAAGACTTGCTACTGCCTCCACCATTTTCTTTTTCGTAGAGACGGCGTAGAGTGTCGCAAATGCGTTGCAAGTCGTCTTCTGTTGATGTCTCCATGTCTACTGCGGTTTGCGCAGCGTCGTTTTGCGGGATGTCGGGAGAGGAGGAGGACATTTTGCTCAATAAATATTTACAAGATGGAGAACTGTTCATCCAGAGGTTTCTATTTTTGCGAATTTCAATTGTCAACACACTACTAGAGTCACTCCGACTCCGTCGCATTGGGGAGAGGGGCTGGAATTACTTATGCAAGCTGCTCTTTTTTCACCGTAGATTTAGGCACTTTGCATTTTCAGAACCATTTTCTCAAATCTCTCAAACTCAACCCAGGGGAATGTGCTAGCATTATGACTGAGCCATTTGTATCGATGAGGGCGGGAACACAGTGTCAGAAGTGAAAGCAACAGATCGATTCTACCTGCAATGGTATCGATGTGGTTGGTCTTCAGTCGAAGACTGCGATTTTAGGTCGTGCAATTGTATGCATTTATCAACAAGTCATAGGGTGAATATAATTTTGGAAAATATGATCAGGAGTTGTTGTTGTAGAGAAGATTCATTTTTAGTCCTAGTTATTTCTTCTTCCCCCCCTTCTTTTTAACACCACCCTTCTTCTTCGAAGCTCCTCCATCTCTTGCTCCGTTGTACACTTCTGTATTCCGTTTTGCGTTTCTCTTCGCCGTCTTCTGTCTATGGATATCTCGCTGCTTTACCTCTTCCGCCAACTGTCGTTGTCGTTTCTGCTTTCGCGACTCCTTCTTATTATCCTGTTCCAGTGCCATTCGATGCTCCTTCTCCGCTTTCCTTTGCTGGATTTTCTCGCCTTTCGTCTGTCGCCACACCTTCTTCGGTCGGGCAGCGATTTCGGCTCTGTGTTTTTCGAGGTTTTCAGCCTTGGTCAACTCGACATTGGCAAGTCGATATTCGCGTTCGGTTTTCTCCTCTTCGATGACTTCCGTGATGTCATGCTCATAGGAGGTGATTTCCTGATAAACGGATTGAAGAACTTCCAGATCTAGATGACGCTTCGTCATAGAAGATTGTTCGACGGCTGGGAGAGAAGACTGCTGCTGAGCTTCTTGGACTTGGCCTTCTTCTTGCTGGTCGCCTTCTCCATCCACTTCAGCGTCCTTCTGGTTCTGTTTTTTGCCGCCCTTCTTACCCTTTCCCTTACCATTCTTGCCCTTGCCTTTACCACCTCCAGCAGCGTTCTTTTTCGAAGATGAGGATTGGTCGTTAGAAGAAGTTGTTGCTTCCTCCGCTCCTGCAACAGGTGGTCCTGCTTTTTTGTTCTTCCCTTGTTGTTCTTTCGAACACAGTTTGGCTAGTTTTTTCACCCTCTTGTACTCATCTGGTCCGCAATGGAGGGTTACGCTCTGCCCTGTGGTTCCCATTCGCGCAGTTCGTCCGACTCGATGGATGTATCTTGCATCCTCCGAAGGTACTTCGAAGTTGATCACACACTGGACATTCTTCAGATCCAAACCGCGTGCCGCCAAGTCTGTCGCGAGCAAAAATTGGCAATTTTGCCGTTGAAACTTGTTGACGCTGTCGCACCTATCGGTTTGGCTCATGTTACCATGCAGTTCCGCGAATTTCAAGCCGAACAAGCCGAAAATGATCGCCATTCGATGACATTGCCGCTTCGTCTGGAAAAACACGATCACACCTTGCTGGTAAATCGTACGACAAAGGTGCAACAGAGCGGCTTCGCGTAAGTAAGCTTCTGGGATGGCGACGAACTCTTGTTTCAACATGCGAGCCACTTGGTTGACACGATCTGCTTCGATGCGCATTGGCTTTCGAAGGGCGATACTAGCTAAATCTTGGACGTCACGATTCCAAGTGGCGGAAAAGAGCAAGGTCTGACGACCATGCGAGCAACGACGAAGAACTTCTTTGCACCTTGTGGAGTGGAGTCAGGTGGGGTTTTTGTGGAGTTTTTACACCTGTAGACGTCAAGAGGTAGAGTTAAGTTATAAACATACATTCATCTTCCTACAACTAGGAGAAAGGTGGAAATCCAAATCGTTGACCACTCTGTATGCAGGCACAAAGACAGTAGAAGAAGCTACCAAGCAAAAGTAAAAAAAATATACTCATCTCTGAATCCCATCTCCAGCAGGCGATCTGCTTCATCGAATACAACAATTTCCAACATCTCTAGATGGACACTTTGGGTGTTCAGCAAGTGATCCAAGATCCGTCCAGGAGTACAAATTAGGACATCCGGTTGTTGCTTCAGTGCCGTCGCTTGTTCTTGGGCTGAGAAGCCTCCAGCGACTAGAGACGAAGTTACAAGGCAGTACTTGGACATTTTCTGGAGCATGCTGAAACACTGAGTGGCCAATTCTCGTGTCGGGAGAAGGATAAGGGCTTTGGTGGCAATGACGGAAGTTTGGACCTGTAGGGAGTTGGTGGGATAAGAATTGGATTTGATGCACAGTTGGAAGGATGAGGGTGGGGGAAGAGAAGTCTATTTTTCGAGGGGGTGAAGAGGATTTATTGGTTTTTATCAGCAAGTATGATCGAAAGAACCAAAATCATCAGACCACAGCTATTTAGTAGAGCAGATCAGCATCGAAAGAGTACCACAACATAGTCGGTCTTTATACCTTATATCCTCCATTCGCCAGTTTGATTCTTTTTCTGCCAGCTACATGTGGACTCCTGCTGATGCGTTCCAATATCGGTAACAAAAAAGCTGCAGTCTTACCAGAACCTGTCTCGGCCGTTGCTAGCAAATCGTGGCCTCGAATGGCTGGAGGAATACAGTCTCTCTGAATTGCCGTAGCCTCAGTGAAGTCCATCTCTGTCAACGCTCGTAACACTGGCCTAGAGAGTTCGAGATCGCCGAAAAAAGTTGTGTTTTTCGAGATAGGTTTAGGTGCGGGAGCTTTGTTAACTGGTTCCTGTGCTGGTTGTTCTTGAGAAGATGCAGTAGCTGAAGGCGCAGTGGAGGAAGATGATGGAGTCGTGGAGGTTTTGGAAGTAGACTGGGCCTTCGAGGATTCTTCGCTCTTGGTTGCAGCCGTGGTGGATGCTTTACTTTTCTTAATCTTCTTGTTCATCTTGGCGTTCTCTACTTGTTCCTCCTCAGCGCCTTCTCCATCACTTTCGTTCTCTTCCTCTTCATCGTCGTTCTCTTCACCTTCTTCGTCAGAGCCCTCTACTTCTTCTTCATTTTCAGCTCCATCTTCGTCTTCGTCCTTCCGCTGACGCTTCGTAGACTTCTCTGCATTCTTCTTTTCCGACCACTCAGCCCATTCTTTCCGAGCTTCTATGCGTCTCTGAATCTTCTCCGCCAACGAGTCTCCTGCTTCATCCTGCGTTTTCAATACTCCACCGTCAGCATAGTCCCAGCCACGGGAGGAATTCTTTTGAGCACGTTTTCCATCTTCATCATCGTCAGAAGCGTTTTCCTCTCCATCTTGTTCCAGATCTCCAAGGATCATATAATCGTTATTGCTCTTCGACGAACCAAGACCAGCTTTCTTACCACCTTCTCGACCTGCTTTCTTCCCGCTTTTGAAGATATCAAAATCCGCTCCATCATCCATGTCCAAATCCTCATCCTCACCCTCCAGGACTTCTTCTCCACCAGAAAGAAGATCCTCCTCGTCAGGCTCCAAGAAGAGGTCGCGCGGCGCCATTTTCCAATATAATTTTCGTCAGGTGGGAGCTATCAGGAGTCGGAGAATTAGGACCCAAAGGACTTCTGTGTATTCGAAAGACTGAAATAAGCAAGTCAGTAACTCGGTTATTTTGAGTTTTCGCATAGATGAACTACCCAAAGGACTTCCTGCTGATGATCATTTTTCAAGAAGGAGATATTAGGAGTAGGAGAATTATGTAGTACCCAATGGACTTCTGATGTGGATAAAATAGTGTGCAACACGACGATACCCATTTATGCACCAATTCTTTTTAGCGTAGGGCAGTCATCTCCTGTTATAAAGTGGCGGAACGCGGCAATCATTTTTCAAGCACCGTGATGTAGCGGAAAACATCGGAGTCAATAGAGGATCGTAACTCGAAGGAGCTGCTAGGTGCATGAAATGCCTGATCTCTACCGTAGATGTAGATCGCAAGATTAATGATCTCCATATTGTTAGAGGAGTAGACTCTCATGATCTTATTTTTGCAATCGAAACGACGTGAGGAGATCAAAGTTCCAACTCATGGAGAAACTATTTGCTCTGGATCTGGGATCTTGATCCACTACAACGGAGATCAGTGCCTGGATTTTAAGGAACTTCGTCTTTGTCTTTCTATGATCCTTATCAAGTTCATAGAAGATTCTCAACATGGAACAGGCAGTGACATCACGTCGTTTATCGCAAAAACGAGGACGCTAGAAGTACTGGTAGGCGACATACTAGTACTACATCCTAGAAGAAATAGAGCTTAAGATGACAACCAGAGAATGATCTAAGAAACATGACATTGTAGTGAACGTCTGTGCGATGTGAAAGTGAATGGTAATAAATTGAAGAACAAGAATATCATAGTAAGTAAGTACTTTCTTTGAATTGGCTGATTTTGATTGGACTCAACACACTAGATCGAAAAAGAGTTCCAAATAATGGGAATCTATCTTTTACTTTTTGTTCGTTTTCGTCTTTGTGCGTCGTATAGTATCAAAAGTTTAACAATGATGTACATCGATAGATATTGTAACAGTCTGCGGAAGCATCTAAAAAACAAGCAAGAACTAGACTTCTTCGTTGTGCAAAATTTCTACCCCCCCATTTCTTTGAAAGAACATAATGTCAAAAAAAAACCAATTTATTTGTCCAGCATTTTTTTAGCGCGTAGTCAATCGTATCAAAATCAGATCTTTTTCGTTCCACCGGAGAACAAACAATACTAACACCTCTTAGTAATGGTACTTAGCTACGCGTAAGCCTATTCAGAAGAGCAAGAAAAATAACCTTTTCAGAAGAACAGAGCCACGCCTTGCATCTGCGAAGATTTTTCTGTTTTCCGTGATGACGCCATCGCATCTGAATAAAGAGTCGAGGCTGAAGTCGGACACTCCCCCGGATCTTGAGGCGGTGATCGTAATAATGAGGGTAGCTTCTTTCCCAGCGTCCTTGCTGCTGTTGTGGTGCTTACGCGAGCAGGGGTCATTGTCTTGCCTCCTAGCATGAGGTGTGGCGCTGCTGGCACTAGGTTGTTTCCACATCCACTAGAAGTGACACCAGTAGGTTGTGCCATAGTTGTAGGTACCATAGAAGTAGGTACTATGGTGGGTATTGAGGTGGCATTGTGGTGTTGCGGTCGCAGTCCAGGTATCGAAGCAGGATTCGGCAATCCAGGTATCGAAGCGGAACTTGGGTTCAAAGGTAGTAGAGTAGATATTGTACCCGCAACTCCAGCTGTGCCCGTGACTAATTGAGGAGACACCACTCCTCCTGGGGATATTCCCACTAAATTACTGGAAGTCGCAGAACCAGTACTAGAAGTTATTTGTGAAGAAGCAGAAGACACGCCACTACTAGGATTCCCACGTCGAGTCCTCGACGCCGTCGTCAATATAGGCGGTCTTGGTGTATCCGCTCTCGTCCTTTGTTGCTGCGTCCCCAGGTTTCTATTATTCCTCTTGGTAAACTGATGGTGCTGCTCTCTTCTTCTAACGTTGTTTCCTTCTTTCCTGATGAATTCTTTGCCGTTTAGTATTAGTTTGTCATCATCTAGTACCACCTGGGGAACTTGGTCTTCCAAGAAAGAGCGCTTGACCCTGACTCCTGTCGAGCCGGTTCTAGGCGTAGTTAGAGGTTTCCGAGTTGCATTCTTCAGAACATCCTTGACCCATTTCCCCCTTGAAAAGGAGCCAAGGATGGTAGTGAGGGATGTAATTCGGAAACCCTTAACGTAGAGGATCCCGACCCCTGAAGAAGATTTCCAGCCTCCTTTGTATAATTCGATGTCGTTCCCCCTCGAGGAGTCGAAGACCTCCTTCGCAGTTGTGGTCTAGTAGAACTACTGCTGCCACCACGTCTGCTGCTATCGACCCTTCTTCTGTTGTTCAACGGATCATTAGAGATTCAGATTGATTGGATGATGAAGATAAAGATTATATCACAAGTAGAAGTAGTTGTAGTTCGAAAACTCTAGCCATAAATGCACTCGAAGACGACGGTCCTCCACGTCCACCCGTCTTTCCGACCACACTTGTCCTAGTGCTGCTACTGCTTCCGGAAAAAAGGCTTTTCACTAACCCTCTTGGAAAAAACCTCATTTGTGCTGCTTTGTTTACCTGCTTCTCTAGCTCATCTCCAGCTTGCTCGAGGCACACTCGCAGGCCGTTCATTAAACTTACAGCGGCTGGCATCTCGTCCATCTCCTCTACGATCTCTTCTTCAGCCCCCTCAGCCTCCGCACCTTCCTCTACTTCGTCAGCGGGCATTAGACTCCGATTGCTGGGGACGATAGGAAAAATGGGAGATGACGAAGTATACTAGTTTGATCGATGGGTGCGATAGGAATGCGAATGAAACTGAATGGCATCCGGGGTATTAGAAGTAACAGCAAGGGGCAAGAATCTGTACTTGAAGATGTTACTACAACTAAGACTGCCAGGAAATAAAGATACTAGAACTGCTACGTCCAAAGTCGTCAAGCACATAACTCATTATTCTCTTCCCCGACTTCGTGTTCTTCAGGTTCTTCATGTTCGTCCTCGTGCTCTGCTTCGTGCTCCTCATGCTCATCTTCGTGCTCCTCGTGTTCCTCATGTTCGTCCTCATGATCGTGCTCGTGCTCTGCCTCTGCGTCGTTTGATTTAGAGTGGTATACTATAAACTCGTTGTAAAAGGAACAAATCTACATAAGTTTTCACTTCTTCATCTTGATTTCACGGACCACAGGTAGATTCATCCACGATCATAATTGTGAGTACCACACTTTTCATCTTTGTCAACAACATACATGACTATGTATCTATAGGAACATTTAGAGCATATCTTCATGGTTATCTCCCCCTGCGCCATGTATCTATAGGAACATTTAGATCAACATATCTTCATGGTTATGGTTATCAGCCCCTGCGGCATTATCTAGTATAGGAACATTTAGATCATATCTTCATGGTTATCTCCCCCTGCGCCATTATCCTCATGACCGCCACCTCCTCCGCCATGCTCGCCCACAGGCGCGTCGTTGTGATGGTGCTGTCCGGCATCATGATCGGGAGCTGGGAACATCAGACCGCCATGTCCCGGTGCCACGTGAGCAGGCGCCCAAGAGGAGCCGTCAGAAACCGAGGTTCCGAACATGCCACTGCTGAAAACTGCGCCATCCTTTAGGGCGCTCAGAGCGGCGCTTGTGAGAACCATGTATTGTTGTTTTTTCGACCCTGAGTACGCGAGGAAGTGTAGATCTATTGTCCTTGCCGTACTGCTTCTTCGTCCTGCTATTTTTGTTCAGGCTTAATACATTTTGTGGTGGAGCCGACCTAATTAGAAAAAAGACAGACCAGAGGAAGATATAAAAGTGAAAAGGGTAACTATCAACAAGTATCCTAAAGTAATAATACATAGTTTAGCACTGCCTATCAATATTTATTTCTCAAAGCACGCTATCGCTACAGCATTTTTTCACAACAGAACAATGATGCATTTTCTGTTTTCTTTGCTTTATGTAGCAGTAGTTTTCATGGATGCGAAGGTTGCTTGATGCGAGGTTGGGTTCTTACGAAACTCTAAGTTTGTTTTCGAGGACACACATTCGATCTCTCCGATGCATACAGACGAATTTCTAGACGCTCTCTCAGAAGTGTTCTTTCTGCAAGTTGTAACCGACAAGAGCATGAGAAGACGTTTCTGCAACAACTCTCGTTGTAGCTATAATCAATGCAAAACATGCTCGAGCACAAATCGCTATTGTGTAAGTTGCTCTCTCTTCCAAACTTCTACACACCACGCTGAAATTCGATTCGTTTCGCTGTCAGTGTGGCATATCCATAAATATCTAAATTACGTTTCTCGTCCCACAACTAAAATATTTCACTTTGTTCCTTCTTTGATGAAATGAAATATTACATAATCTGGCTACAACTGAAGATGTAAGTCTGCCTAGTCTCGCTAGAAAAAAAACATTACATACAACAACAGTGCCTCATGCTTATTCTCCCTTAGCCTATCCTAGTATTCTCTGGTATAATGATAGAAAATCAGATTTTGATGGACGAAGATGACAAAACATCAACTACTTGGCAATAGCCTGAACTACATGTCGGCAATTTCTAAAGAATATGGCAACTGTAGTACAAATTGAAAAGGAGCCGATCCAGAATGGAAATTCGCAAGAAAAAGCGGTTTATGGTAACTATACACTATAGGCACCTTCAAGTTACGATGGATTGAGTATTTCAAAACCAGTTACTTTCATCATTGCTGAGGAACCAATGAATTTAGTTGTAATAACAGGGGGATATTCTCAAACAGTTCAGTGATGGGGAAAAGCAAGGGGTCGATTACTAAGCTATGTAGTACGTAATGGCCAACCTTCTCTGGCTTCCGCATGCATCAGAATCGCTTCAGCTCTAAATTTCGGAAGAGTCAGGCCATCTGGTTCGAACCTTAGCAGCCGTGCTCTCTGAAATGGAATTCGCGGCGCGCTCGGGTATTAGATACATAGAAAAAATCGCTACAGCATGAGTAACATCAATATCAACAGTAGATCTATTCTTACTAATCAGTAAAATGCAAAACGCTGTTTCAAAATCAAAGAATCTTCAAAGTGATGATGTTGATGGCAGTGACAATACGCCTACTTACATCATAACCTGTGGCCAGCAAAGCAGCAATAGTTGTGCCCTGATCGTGGTTTCGTCTTTTAGATCGTTCTTCGTCGGCCAAGAAACGAACTAAATACTGCTCCAAACCGTACTGAAGTGTTCCATCTTGTTGGCGACGATATTGGTGGTCGTGTGCTGGTTGTTGTCCGTCTCTGCCTCTGTTGTCTGGTTGCAGTTGTAGTCGTCTGATATTTCTGTCCCTGTCGTCGTTCTGCGGTTGTCTGTCCCTCTCCCTGTTTCTTTCGCGATGTGACATAACTTCTCTCCTATTTCTATATGGAAGTTGCAAGAATCTACGATTCAACTCCTGTATTCGAAACAAGTCAGCGTGATTCGCGACAGTATCTTCAGCTTGGTCTACGGGTCCTCTGTCAAACTGCCGTAGGACATCTTCTACTGCTTCTTCACCTGTCATCTGCTGATCCTCATGATCTTCAATCCTATTACGATCAGGGTCGATAGTTGTATCTTCAACAGCATCTACTAGATCTTCTCGTTCTGGAAGAACCAGTACACCTCTACCAGCAACATGTCTTCCATCTTCCTCGTCTCGTCTATTCTCTATTTCGTGTTCTTCTAATTGTTCTGGTTGTATTGCGATTTCGCTTTCATCACATCCATCTGCCGAAACAGTACGCCTGAACTTTCCATCAACACGACCACAACCATGCAGTAGCCCTGACACAGCTTGTACCCTAAGCGCTCCTGGTGGCAATCCCTCTATCTCATCGGTGAGGAGCTTCATTCTAGCTGTGGCATCTACAATCTCGTCTTCCTGATCTTTCCCTTCCTGTCGAACAAGATCATCTGACGAAGCTAGTATAGCTCTTTCCCGTTCAACAACATTTTCATCTGCAGTTCTTGCTTGAGAAGACTCTTTCGTAGCCGTAGGTGGTTCATTCTTCATGAATAATGCTTGCGACTGCTCTTTCGTTTTCGTAGTCGCAACATTCTTCTTATTCAATAAGGGTCTTCCACGTTCTACCCAATTTTGGCGAAACAATTTGCGTGCGAGACGACGAGTACGGATGACAGGATCGTCCTGCTCCATTTTCTTAGAAGTATCTGCGGAACACGATAGCTCGGATGAATCGACCTTTTCAGCAGAATTGGAGTTGTTCTTGGAGTCCGCGTTTCTCATGATCTTCTCGTTTATTCGCGTACTAGCAGTAGTTGCACATGCACTGGTCATCAAGCTTCCACTTCTTCTACTCCCACCACCACCACCACCACCACCTCTCGACACCAACGCAGCGCGTTCTTTTCTCCTCTTGTCCCTGCTCCACTGTGCGTGCCTGATGTCTTCGTCAATTCGATCGAAATCCTCCTTCAGGAAGATGTTCTGCCAAGGACAGAACTCTAATTCGACATCTGCTTGATGTTGTCTCCTCACCTCGATGTCCGGGAAATCGCTGTGGCATTGCTGCACTAATTCATGCGACCCTAGTCGCGCAGCTGCTTCAAGCAATCTCGCCTTCCTTGCTGGACTGTCAGCCTCAAAAGAAGCTGCGATCTCCTGCATCCTGGAGGTGGGGACTCGTTGTAAAGCTCCTGTAGTTGACTTTTTATCCTCAGCCACCTCCAAACCAGCTTGCTGTTTTCCACCACCACCGCCAAACAATCCGCCAAACAAAGTTGGCGCCCTATATTAGCGGTGGGCGTTTGGTGTTCGTTTCTCCCGCTTGTTATGGCTGTCCCCCTTTGTTCAGAGCCATAAGAACAAACGGGGGTAACAAAAGCACCTTTAGCCTACCCTTAAGTATAACTTCCGGGTCCCTTGATCTTGGCATAGTGCGCCTTGATTGCAGGAGTCTGCGAGATCCTACTACACTCAGAACAAACGCTCCGTCCTGGACTCCACTTGCGGTTGGTGTCAAGCCCTCGGCTATCGACGAAGTCAAAGCATAGTCTCCCTCTTGTCCTTATATCGTCCCCTTGTCGTCCACCTGGAGGAGCAGACCTAGATGAACTACAACCAGCCGTAGACGAGACTTGTTCTCCCAGTCGTCCTGACTTCTGATTCTGTCCGACATCAACCTCCTCTAGAGACTGTTCCCACAGAAACTTCAATAAGTCTTTCTCTGATACACGAGCATCTTCAGAAGTATCAACCTGCAAGTATCCGGGAAGGTGATCCTCAGAGAAGCCGCTGAAGATTTCTAGCCCCTCGTCATTCAACTCAGGCACTTGCCATAATGGTAAATTTTCACCATGTTGCTGATGTTTGTTCTTCTTATTCCTGGTCCTCGATGTGCTAGGAGTCGACGAAGAGCTCTCTACTTTGTTCTTCTTGTTCCTGGTCCTCGATGTGCTAGAAGGAGAGCTCTGGTTTGAAGGTGAGGGGGCACTTGTTGTACCGTCGTCCACCTGAGAGGATGTAGTTGTAGCACCAGTTACGTCAGTCTGTTGTGGAAGACCTTGATGTAACAGAGGCAACCCATTCATCGCAGTCGCATCTTCAACATCAGGGCTAGTAGTATCCACCTGCGCAGAGAGACCACCCGAGCTTGACGGTGTGCGGTACAACCCGTTTTTAGTGGCCTGCGTTGCTCTTTTCTTCTCCACAGGCATCCTAGACGAACAAGATGAGATATCCTGTCCAGCCAGGTTAGTTCCACTTCCTCCATAGGCAGGCGTCTTCACCAACTTCTTGTGTCCATCTTGACGAAAACCACCGAGAAAAAACCGCTGTTTTGTGCAGCTAGGGGCTTTCAGTGCTGCGACGCCGACGTCAACGAGGACGGTGACAGGCAGCAAGAGGAAAAGAGCGAGCATCTTGTTGAAAAAGTTCATCATGTTCAGGCTGGATGATGTGGTTTTGGAGACCAGACTATTCACAGGCAAAACCAAAATTTACAATACATTGAAATCTAATCTAACAATGTAATGTCGGTGACGCTACCTAGAAAATTATGCCTACTACTAAGTCCTAACAAACTTGTACTACTTGATGTCTTCAAAAAAAACAGAAATCAAAAAAGCCACACCAACACACTTTGCCACCAAAATCTACTCTTTTCATGTTGTTTCCAGTACTATGCTTGTCTCTGCTCGCAGCTGCAGCAGCTAGGAGAGCTGTTGATCGCGGTCCTCGCACAGAACAAACGAACACCTGTGCTTTCCTGCTACCCCGCTCTGGTGAGTAGGTCCAAAATGATAATGAACATGTTGCTCCTAGTATTACTGTGTAGCACAGCCACTGCCAGGAGGCACCAGCTGCTCTGCCGGCGGCAGGTCAATTGGTGTTCTGCGTGTTCCTCTTGTTCTAGTATGGTTTGTTTTCTTATTTCTTCTGGTATGCTCCCGTGTATCAAGCTCCACTCTGCTTCTATCATGATCTAGATTTTGATATTGTAGCTCGCCATGATCAGAGAGATGCTCACGCTCTTTAGGTTGTCTATAATGAGACTTTGTTCTTGATGCGGTTGCATCTGTCTGCTCATCTTCATAAGAGGCCCACGCGTGATTCTTCTTACGTTTTATTCTACTACTACTTTTCCTTTCTTTATCGTGCTTTGAACTCAGATATAATTGAACCTGTTTTAGCGTTTCCGCCTCTACTCTGTCCACACTATGCAATAGAAAACCTTCGAAATCTATATTCTTGTTTTGTTCGTCACCAGACTTATTATTTCTCTTGGAAGGAGATGGTGATGATGCAGCATCATTAGTTTTGGAAGTTCCGCTGTTTCGTTTTTCGTCAGCAGCTCCAGAAGTGGCGTGTTGCGACCCAGAAACATAGCTACTTCTCGACCCAGAGAGATTGGAAGTATCATCTTCACAGCTACGATTACCTTCTTGTTGAAGTCTAGCAACTTTCCTATCTAGTCGTCGTATTTCCAATTCACAATCAGCTTTCTGCGACTCAAGAGTCTGGATCTCGGCAAGGAGTTGCTGAAACATTCCACTCATTTCTGTGAAGGCCGATGCTTTTTCAGGCCGCTGCCTGGTACAACTAGTAGTAGTAGTTGAAGAAGTTAAATAAGTTTCCGCTCCCCCAACAAGTGGGTCTCGTCCTACGCCGGGACTAACAGCTAGTTGTAACTCGTCAACGAATGCATCCAACGCTCCTCGTTGCGCTTCTGCTTGTGCAGTACTTCTTGGAAAGCTACCATGATCACGAAGAGGCTCATGATCATGTTGAACGAGAAGTACTTCTAGCCTTTCCTCGATTTCCCTCACATGTTTTTCCATTACCTTTGCTTGTTTCCGATAGAAGTCTGCTTCACGTTTCGACCGACCTTCTTCCGCGACGGCGATAAAAGGGTCAAGATCGCCTTGCTCCTCGTTGTCCAAAAGATATTGCTCCTGTAGTTCTTGTTGCTCTAAATCTGATGTATCATGTCCAGTTCTGCTCTCGTCTGGACCTTGGTGAGAAAAGTCCTGGTCGTGTGCTGCTGATCTTCTCCTTCGCGTCCCTTTCCTACTGGTACTAGTAGAAGATGAACTGCAAGTAGTTCTTCTACTCTCGTCTTCGAAAGCTAGCCTAGCGTCAAGTAATTCAGCACGTGCTGTTCGAAGGGCGGCGATTAAACGGTCTTTTTCGAGGATTTGGGTTTCTGCTCTCGCTAGACGTTGCTCCAAAGCGCGGATAGTAGCATCCGACGCAGTTTTCTTATTCGACCGGGCTGGATTGGTATCGTCCTGCATTTGCAAATGGCGGGATTAAGTGAGGTCTTAAAAGCGAGCTATTCTTATTGGAAATAAATCTTACTAATACTAGTGGACTTGTTGCAGGTCGTTGTGACTTAGTTATTCTTGTTGGAAAATCTTACTAGTGGACTTGCTGCAGGTCCTGATAAAATCATACTAGTTGTTCTTGTTGGAAAATCTGACTAGTGGACTCAAACAGGATGAGAATACCACTCCAGCTCGTTCATCGCCTTCGCGGCTCGCTCTTGTCGACATGCGATTGGTATCTTGAGCAGTCCCCTGCCCCTCGTCCGGCTTATTACCATACCTTCTGATGCTGCTCGCTTGGGCATGCATTGCTTTCTCATGCCTCATCTCAGCATCTTCTAGATCAGCAATGAGACTCTCCGCACGTCGGCGCCAATGCGCGGCCTGCCTTTCTCGGTCATCGAGTTTTTCCTTCCAGGAAATTTCCTCCTTCTCTGCACGTTGAGCAAGACGACGTAAGAGAGAAGGCACGACTTCTACTTCTTGCTGCCGTTGATGTACTAGAGGTGTTTCAGCTAGGCGCCTTGTTTCAGCTCTTGGCCCTGATGAACCTGATGAAGCACCTCCCTTGTGGAAATTATCTGCTAGAAACAGCAGCTGCGCCGCCAAGGAAACACCGTCTCCCTCAGGCAATCGGAGGCATAATTGGCCACTGTGTTGAAGAAGCAGCTCGTCTTCAGTGTCAGTTCCTGCTACTGGTTGAGCCGTTCTTGTAGCCGCGTCTTCGACATTTATTCTCGGTTCTTTATCATCTTCTAACGTTTGATCCTGCAACAACCACTGGTGCAAGGCATCCGAGAACTCCTTCAAGGTGATATTCTCCACTTGCTGAGGTATCGCGTTCGCAACACTGGCCCAAAACTCTTCATTCATAGCACCATCTTCGGCCATGATTCGAGTGACGATCTGGTGGTGGTTGGTGGTGCCCATGATTTGATAGCGGGTGATGATCTAGAAGTGGTAGTCGGAGTGAGTCGTGTTGTAATCATCGTGGTTGCCGTCGGTTGAAGTGTGGTGGATATCTTAAAACGAGAGCGAGACAATATTCAAATTCGAATACTCATAGATATTACAACTTTAGACAATGTTCATCAAATTCGAATACTCATACATAGATAAAGATATTACAACTTTCTTAGCCAAATAAAGAAAGTCAAAGTCTTTAAAAATACCTGACGCAGCTTGCCACAGTCAAGAACGTGGCCCTGCTCTCCACTATCTGTTGCACTAGTAACTACAATCGCCAGTCCGGCATCTCGAAATTTTTGCATTCCACTATGGAGTGCAGAAGTAGTTGAATCTTGATCCTCAAGGAGAAGATCCTGCTTATCCACTGATGCCCAATAATGGACAAACAATAACGACTCCTCGTGACACCTGGGGACATTTCTGCCCTGATGTGGTAGGCCGAGCTGCCTTCTGCTCGCGACACCTGGGGATATTTCGCAACGAGCGAACGCTTCAAGCATCGAGGAAATCGACATCTTTTGCGCTGTCTGTTCTTTCTGTTTCTGTAGTTATTACGTACCTGCTTTTCATTAGATTCAGTGTAATGTAACAGCCTATCTCTCTGAGCACAAATGGCTGAAAGAATTTTTCGAGGTAGTTTTTTTCTAACATAGAAGGACGTCGCTAAAGAGTGCATTAATAAGTAGCAATAGCGCTGTCCCTCGCTCTAGATGATCACTCCTTGACACATATCTCTTAATGCCTTTGCTCTTCGTGCCGAACTCAAACTCTCCTCCTGCTTATGTCTCTGTTTATTGTCTATTCTACGTACTACACGTACACCAGAGAGATTCTACGTCACAAAGTACTCCAGTCAAGAAGCACGTCAGTCAGTCAATCGATCAGTTTGCCTCCGCAGGGCACCTTTTTTTTTTTTGTAGTCCAAGAACGCCGGAAGGGTGATCCCAGTTTTATCCAGTTCGCAAACCGGCGGCAGGTGGAGTCCAGTTACCTCCTTATATTACTGCGCACTAATTGCCTACGAACCTGCCGATTTTAAACTGATGAATCCTAGGGGCAAAGGAGGCGATTAATTAATTACTATAAACCTCCACCGGCTGCCAACCGTCCCGCTCTTATGCGCCTGCCTACAAGGCACGAGGGCAGGGCCGCCAACCCTGCTTACTCTTGACTAATGCGCAGTCATCTGACAAGTGAAAATCAAAGAATAGATGACTACTGGCCTAACGCCCTAAGTACAACATGGTCTCCGTTGTTGGGGAAGCACTAGCCTAGTTTTTCTTATCTGCACTGCTTCGCGCTCCATGTCCTTGCGCAATCCTTTCGTTCCTGCATCACGCCCTCCTTCCACAAGAATAATATCGCAGCCCGAGTATATGGCTATACTGACACCACGCACGGAGCGAAAGCTGAGAGCTGAAGCAATAAGAAAAGATGTAGATAACCTCCTACCACCATCTAGTATTTGATCGACTCAACTACCCGCTACCTCGCGCGACTCCCCCGCACGTAATTAAGAATAGTGCGTCTTTGATTCATAGGCTATCTTCACTTAACCTGCCACTTTTTTAATACTTACCCTTTGCATGTAGAAGCCGCCTCGTCTCGCCGCTGCAACTTTCAAAAGAGGGCGGCACTCAACCACCTAACGGGTTATAAGTGAAACAGGACAAGGAAGAATAAAAGAATACATGAGAAACAAGAAAGATGGCGAAGTTGTGCTAAGATGAAAAGGCAAAGCCTTATGAATGCCAAACAGCGAGGGCTACTCTACAAAAACGGGCTTGCTGCGGGAGGTAAGATACAGTATCGGACGCGAGAAAGGAGCTGGGGACTCCTTTCTCGATAATTATCTCGCCTACGGCGAGGACGACTCAAACGAGAACAGAGCAAAAATACTCCACAGAACGAGAGAACGAGCTTGATTTGCAACTCTCAGTACAACTCATCATCACACAAGGACAGAATTTAGGGAAATCTCACGCGACCATCTGCGCCCATGCTTTCTCAACCCGAAGGGAAAAAGTTTGAGCTCCGGCCCTCTCACACTCAACAGAAGCACCTTTTTTTTTCGGCCTCCCCGCAGCTGCGACTGCCGCACCTCTACGTGAAACATTTGCTTTCCGCGTGCAAGTATTGTATGTCCGACAGAACCAAAGCTACTCATGCTCAAGGCACCCCAGCGTTTACGAGCCTGCCACAGTTCTTTTTCTTTACTTTTTTTTCGAGGTCTAGCAGCGTATATATTTTTTTTACATTTATTTTTTTTGATTGTTTTCGCCTCTGTTTTCAACAGTGGCAGACCCCGTTTTTCTTTTTGTCTTTCTTTATTTCTTTTTTTGGGCAGTGGGTGCCTAATCTTGCAGCAGCATACTCTCGTCAGAACCTGGCTATCTTTAAATCACTCGAGGCCGAGCACTTATATTACTATTTCCACTGTATTACTTTTCTTTTTTCTTTTCATCATCACTTTCGTACATCTCTCTTTTATGCACCCTTCATGCATGCCGCAGAATGATATTGTCTAAGAGAAGTACAGGGACTTTTTCATCTCATTACTCGCATATCGGAGAGCCCCCCCATTTTTCTCGACCGCCGCGAGAACTACATCGCGGCTATTTTTCAGCTCATTACTCGCATACTCGAGAGCCCAGCCATCTTCCTTGACCGCCGAGAGAACGACATCGCGGCAATTTTGCATCTCATTACTCACATATCGGAGAGCCCCCCCATTTTTCTCGACCGCCGCGAGAACTACATCGCGGCTATTTTTCAGCTCATTACTCGCACATTGGAGAGCCCAGCCATATTCCTTGACCGCCGAGAGAACGACATCGCGGCAATTTTGCATCTCATTACTCGCATATTGGAGAGCCCCCCCATTTTTCTCGACCGCCGAGAGAACGACATCGCGGCAATTTTGCATCTCATTACTCGCATATCGGAGAGCCCCCCCATTTTTCTCGACCGCCGCGAGAACTACATCGCGGCTATTTTTCAGCTCATTACTCGCATATTGGAGAGCCCAGCCATATTCCTTGACCGCCGAGAGAACGACATCGCGGCAATTTTGCATCTCATTACTCGCATATTGGAGAGCCCCCCCATTTTTCTCGACCGCCGAGAGAACGACATCGCGGCAATTTTGCATCTCATTACTCGCATATCGGAGAGCCCCCCCATTTTTCTCGACCGCCGCGAGAACTACATCGCGGCTATTTTTCAGCTCATTACTCGCATATTCGAGAGCCCAGCCATGTTCCTTGACCGCCGTGAGAACGACATCGCGGCAATTTTGCATCTCATTACTCGCACAATGAAGAGCCCAGCCACCCCCCTCGACCGCGGCGAGAACGACGTCGCGCCTATTTTTCATCTCATTACTCGCATCTCGGAGAGCTATCCCATTATTCTTGACCGCCGCGAGAGCCACATCATGGCTATTTTTCATCTCATTACTCGCATATTGGAGAGCCAGCCCAATTTGCTCGACCGCCGCGCGAACAGCATCGCGGTCGTTTTTCATCTCGTTACTCGCATGCCGAAGGGCCCTGCCGTCCCTTGCGACTGCCATAAGAACGACACTGCGGGTATTTCTCAACCGTTCACTCGCATACTGAAGGCAGTTGTCGGATATTGCGAGCGCCTTAAGAACGAACTCAAGGTCGTCTTTCAGATCCTCTTCCACATACTTAAGCGCACCCGGGACACCCTTAAACATCTCCAAGATGAGCGGCTTTTCGCCGTCAAACTGCTTAATAGCTGGGTGTACCAAATCCCACCGGTGCATGCTCCCGGGCCTCCTCGTCTTGAATTTGCGGATTGCTTGCACCGACGCTTCGGCGATGACTGAAAAGCTGCATGTAGTTGTAAATGATTGTCCCTGGGCAGCGGCCGCATCTTGAAGCGTTCTCCACTGATCTAAAACCTTTTTCCCCGCGTCCTCATCAAGGATTGGATACAGCGTCAACGTCGATGACGAGGGAACAGCATTACGAGAAAGGGAAAGGCGAAGTCTAAGCGAGTCCGCACTTTTAGGGGGGCTCAGCTGCGCAGCCAGTGCCTCGGCAAAGGCTCTCACCGTTATCTCTTCAGAAGGAGCTTCGAAATTAGAGTAGTACATAGTTCGTTGTAGCTGTTGTAGTATTGGCAAAGGCAATCGCGCCAGTAGTAAAGTTAATCATAAGGCAAGTTATATTCGCAGTTGGAATTGACTCGAAAGATCCGAAGCAAGAAATGTAAAAGCAAAGCTGGGACTCATCTTGGCGCTGTTCTTCTTCTACGTCGACAACTTGTTTATGGTAAGGCTTCGGATGCCTGGCCTGTGACTAATGCACGCAATGGCACCCAGACGAGAACGTAGTAAGACTATCAGACAACTTCTCACGTACGTTATAGTAGAAGGCAAAGATTTCTCTTGAAAAGACAGATAAGCGACTGCACTATTCCGAAGAACAATGGCCACTCAGCAACGTCTGTCAATTAAGAGGACTCATCTTCACTAGCCAAGTCGACGTCCAACGGTCCCTAGGAATGCGATCCTGTGAGTTCAGTAGCCAGAGTTTTTGGCGAGCAAGGACTAAGATTCGAGGCTAGACCTCTCCTCCGTCCCCCAGGGCATCCTACAACCTTAGGATCAACGTCTTACATTACTTCTGTTAAATAGTAGAGAGATTAAATACTACGCGAGCAAGCCTTAACCATCTTGAACCGAACTTCTCCAGCCAGGTAACTGCATCTCCATTCCGCGGAACTATCAGCACCACCACCACTACCACCAGATCCTGCATCCGACGCACTACCACTAGACTGACGCGGAGCAGCAGATGATCCTGCACTGGGCGAACTAGACTGCAGACGTCAGCTGTGCGCGACATGTGCGGAAAGTGGACTGAGCAACAAGTGGAACCATAGATGAGCCTTCGTGCCCAACATAGGGGCTCTGCAAGTGGAGGGCGCCTCTGGAGAAGAGCGGCCACGAGTGCCTCTAGTGCTTCTCTTACTGCGATTTGCACACATTCCTGCGCGTTTGTGCAACCCAACGCGTTGAAGAGGCCACGCAATCTTGCTCGTCATCTTGTTCTTCAAGGTGCTAGAATGTTATAGGGGAATTGGGAAAGAAGATCTTCTTGCTCTAAGTACTTGGGGAATGAATTTGATAAAAGTTCAACTTTATTGATTTACTATCAAGTATGATGGGCTATTTATTCTTAGATTGGAATGTTGTTCGTATTTTTGTTTTTCGTTAAGGTCTCAGAGCCTAAGCGTTTCCCGTTTCTTGTCGATTTTCGTTTCAATCTTAAAAAAGTAGTCCAAAGCTGCGAGATGGTGCTTCGAAAGAAGTCATACACAACAATAACCATCAATAAATCCAATCCAAAAAATGTAGACTCAGCATGTCATCCTAGCCAGTGCACCTCTGATCTTTTTTCGTCGTGCAGTGGTCTTGGATCTCATGCATTGGTTTTGATGGTCTTGGAAAAATGCGTTGTCTTTGTCTACTTCTTGGATCTCTTATAAGTCTTTACCACCAGCACAACCATTTTGGATCATCGAGCACTAGTTGTGCATCTTGTAGAGAGATCTTTATTTTGTATTGTCATCTTTGATCAGGATCTTTGACCAGGACCGATGAAAAAGATCATGGCGATGAGCCTCTTTCTCTTACTGCTGCCCGGATTCCGATGCTGCCGACATCTATTTCATCTTCGCCGGAAGCTCAGAATCGAATTCAGACCGAAGTCGTAAGTAGATCGATGACACTGACAGGAAATTTCGTCCTTCGATCAGTTTGAGAAGAGCAATTCGTTCAGTTTGAGGAGGGCAATTCTTTCTGGAATAGAACACGACATGAACAATCTTCGTCACATTGAAGAACTTGTTCTTAAGATGAACTTGTATTACGGAATAACACATAGTTAATATCAGAACAATAGAGATTGAGACTGTAGTACTTGTAGGATATTATTAAAGCTCAGCATTCATTGGCCACTGACTCTGAACGGAAAAGACCCCTCCAATGCTCTCCCCTTTCCCTTCATTTTCCCCCAGTCAATTTCAGTGACCAAGCTCTATGACCAATGAAAGTTGAGCCTTAATATTAACATATTTTTGAAGTAGTAAGTACATGAATTAGAGGGACAGGGAGGCGGGGGTCTTTAGTTACATCATCAACATGAATGAGTGAGAGTTTGAATTTGAATTATTTGAAGGCACAATATTTATAAATGGAATCGTATGAATCAACAATGTTGAACATGAAGAAAGTGAAAGGCCAAGCGTTCTTCTCAGCTAATAGTTCTTGTCGAGCAGTTGTTGATCTTCTAAGTAGTTCTCTTATTTCAGCATGTGGAGGATGGGTATCATGAGGAGACACCAGGTGAGTGACATTATACTTAGAATAGAAGGGATTCACTCTTTTGACTTTGGAAGTTTCAACTTTATCGAACATGTCGTGAAGGAAATGCTATTTTTTGTGAAATACTTAAAACTGCGAATGTTTTTACCTGAAATGACAAGACGAAGAAATGCTGGAGGTAGCACAATGATCATACTTACTTTTTGTGAAATGACTATGACATGTTGAATCGAAGCCGTTTTATCTTAGTGCAGTCGATCGACCTTGCTATGCAAAATTCTTATATAATATATGTTATTCGCCGCGAAGAGTTTTTAACTGCTTGATAGTCCTGGGCTTATGCGTGTTTCAGGCCTCTTCCTTTCGACGCTTTCCCGTGGCGGGCACGCTACCTCAGAAGGAAAGAGGTTTTCAATTTGTTTGCCATTTTTATCAGTCATTGGAAATCAAAAATGTTTACAAGTATGGGACGAATCGACGTCCTCCCACCTTTTACAACCACAGCACCAAAATAAAGTCACTTGAATGAAATCAAAAAGTTTCTTCTTCCTTGTTCTTCGTTTAATTTTTCGAAAATAAAATATAGTCAGAAGTTAGTACTCGCTCTCCCGCAACTAGACGCTGCCGATGAGCCGCTCCTTGAAAGTGCTCTAACACGTGCTACTATCGCTTTCGCGGTCCTGTCAATGTCCTCTTGTGCTATTAGACCAGAACTGCTACACGAAGCTGCCGCACTTCGAGGACGGCTTTTATTCCTCCTCTTTTTTGAAGGCGAGGTCTTATTATACTTGGCCTTCTCCCCCTGTTCGACGTGTGCAACAGCTTGGTTTGTGGTAGTTGTTTCTGTTGTACTTCTTTTAGATGCTGATGCTGCTGCAGTGGCATTAACACCAGGTGGTCCCGGGCCGATGTTTGGATTCTGATTCTGTTCTTGATGTTCTAATATTCCTGTCTTCAACGGATGTTCTATTCTGGTCTTGTTCTTGCTTCCGTCCTCAAGCACTGTAGTCAACTTAGGTCTACTCCTCACCCTCGTTGTTGGTGCAGCACTTTTAGGCCTCATCCTGATCTTCTTCTGTACACCAGTAGACAGGAGGACTGAAGATATGAAACTCGATGCTGAAGAGCATGAACTAGAGCAAGAACCGCCGGCCTGTTCCCGCCTTATGGCAGCTGAGGTCGTGTCCCCGCCAATCTTGTCTAGTAGATTGTCTAGTCTAGGATAGCGGGAAGACGTTGTAGAAGTAGCGGCTGAGGCAGGGTACATCAGGTGCACTGCTGCATCAGTTTGCTGCGCTGCGTCGGAACCGGTTGTGCTTAGAGTTAGACGGCGGGAGGGAGAGGTACATACTAAGTGTCAACATGTGCTAAAAAGTAGATCTTCACCTAAACGAGGAGAAGATTATACAGTGTTCCTGTCCGATAGTATCTCGTATAAGCTATATCGAATTGTGAGTTTCGAGAAGTTCTGCATTCCTTGCCCGACAGTCTGGCTTTTTTTTGAGCATGAAGACGGACGAAAGACGGACTCACGACGATGGTTTTCCTATGCTTGACACGATGAGAGAGGCAAAGAAGCCAGACAAAGAACGCAGACGAAGAAGCGAGTCGATACATTTGATTACCATCATTTTGTTAACTTTCTCTTTGTTTTCGATCCGTCGGCACTTCGTAAACAACTGGCCTCTTTTCTGCTTTTTTAGGCGTTACATCTAAGGCGTAGAGTGACGCAAGACATTTACTCTGCTGATGGTCTAGCATGCGCATGCCCCTGCTTACGGCGTTAAGTTCTGCCTTTTTTTTCATAAGAAACAGAAAGAAAATTTCTGCTATCTTATCAAAAAACTAAAGTCGGCGCCTTCGTTAGTTTTCGTCTACGCTCTGCGTCTCTGCGTCGTGTTTCTCTCTCGAAACGCTTCCCCATGGCCCAGCCCTCTAACGCTCTCCCTCTTTCAGGTCTATGATCTGCTGACGCAGTTGGTAGCCGCAAGACCCGCCAAGGAGTGCGCGACGCCAGCCACCATCCACAAGGGTGGCGATGCCTCTGCGCTGAAACTCGTGCGCAGTTCAGTAAGTATGGGCGAAAATAAATCGCAAGTCCATACTGATAGAGTTGCTCACGGTGCCGGACGTGCTCCGCCGTGATTTTTTGGAGACGAGAAGGATGAAAGTGAAAAGCTTAGCGCTGCTCCTGCTGCGTACCAACCACCCCAAGCCCCTACGCAGCACCCCACGGGTTTGCCTACTTCCGATCCCTCTGCGCCTTCTTCGTCAGAGCTCCCAGCGAGCTCAAGCGGCTGCTGCTGGTAAGTGTCGAACTCTTTGCGTGAGAAGCTACCCCATACGCAACCGAAAAGCTTGAAGGGAATTCGTCACATTCATACCCCGCCGCATTTCCACTCCCGGCAGGTTCTTCTTCCGATACCAACATCGACGGAGAAGCACTCAAGCAAAGAACAAGAACAAACCAACTTCGCGACCAGCGAATCGCCCAAGGCTACCTACCACGACGATGAAAAGCGCTAGCACGAGCAAAGCGCTGGGGAAAAGCCTGCCCCTACGAAGAAAATGGCGAAAGTGCGCAGCCCAATGAAAAAAAACACAAAGCAACCGAAAGCAGCGACGAAGGCTGCCAAAGTACCGAAGAAGGCTGCCAAAACACCGGGGAAAGCTGTCAAAAAAATGATGGCCATGGAAGCGGAGTAGCTTGCTATATAACTTCCCCGCTGTGGCTCGCATCGCTTTCGAAAGCCAACGAGAGACGCACTCTCATCAGTTTCCGACTTTAGAACGCAAGGCGTCACTTCAGTAGAATAAATAAAGCAAACCGATCAAGTTCGAGAATCAAAGCGCGGCAGCCAGGTTGATCGCTGTCATTTTCCATCCATCCAAGGAGAGGCCTTCGAGCAATTATATAGAAAAAGCAGGCAGGCAATACCTACGTACGGAAACAGTAAGCGAGTGCCCCGCTCGGTGATATGTTAGAAAAAGCGCCAGCAAATCCCTGCCAGTCAGCGCTATCTTTTACGAATTGCACGGAGAGCCTCCAGACGGGCCCAGAATGCATGGCGCCGGCCACAGTTGTGACGAACTTCACACACGGCTGAGGATCAAGATCAAAACGAATGCCACAACAAAGCCACGGCACACCGGTGGGCTATCAGCTTCACCAGCCCGCAGCATACCATACGCATGCCACACGCATAAAATAAATTCCAGAAGCATCCAAATGACGCGGCGCCAAATAAGGCTGCACAATCAAAGGGGGAGCCATCCCACATCAGCGCGCGGGATTTGCATCACCTGGCTAACGCGTCTAGAATTGCACGCGTGTCCTCTTGCATTTTTTGCAAGCGACGCCATCGGTGTCGACAGTTCAGCCGATGCACTGCGCGCGACATGAGGGGAGCTAAACCGGACAAAAAAGCAAAACAAAGCCACAAAGGAAGCGCGTTAGAGTTGCGCGCTTCATTGTTATGCCATCGAGGTCGGGCTTGGTCTCTCTTTTGCTCTCTATGCATAGAATGCAAATGCTCCGCGCTTTCTTCTGCTTTCTTGTCATGTCTTTGCTGCAAGTCATGCCATCAGCGTGCTTCTTCCGGGGCAAAAGATGTCGCACATGCGCCGGCGCCAGCTGAACGGGAACGACGACGGAGACACTTGCGGTAAGTTTCTTCTTGGAATTGGAAACCAAAGAAAACAAAACACCAGCCCAGCAGTGCGGCTGGGATCGATGATCTTCACGGGCGCGAGCACTGTCCACGCATGAGCATGAAGCACGGGAACACTTTTGAAAATGGGCACTACTGTGCTACCATCAAGATCATGACGATGGTGATGATGTAAGCCCACCGATCGGGTGGGGCAGGATGCCGTCGCGTGTCATCCCTGCAGCCGTTACCATCAAGAAGATCAACCACAACGCGCCAAGACTTTTGCTGCTTCGTCAGTGTTAACGTATAGGATTCTCACCGCACCGATCTACTTCTAACTCGCGAGCCAGCGAAGTCGTGCCTCTTAAGCACTCGCTTTGCTGATAGCAATCCTAAAACCAGCGGAACCAACCAAGTCGCTCGCTTTGGACTATGCTACTGCTTTAGCCGCTGCGGGATTCAATATATAAGCCACGGCCAAGGGCTCAAAGCGATAAGCGCTGCGCTTGTTTTATGGTAGAAGGCAGAAGCCTTGCAGCAGTGCAGCACTTTGGCCCCCCTTCAGGCTACCCCGTTGCGCGGTTTTTGTATCGTGGAGAAGCATGGACAAGCTCCCCCGCGGCGGTTCGTCTCGCCAATATCTGAAACAGCGCAACCCGCTACCTATGCTCCCAACTCGTTTGGCGCAAGCCAGTCAAAGTGCTGGCCTATCGAATCCAGGTAGTCCGTACGTGCTACAAGTTTGCTCTCTATTAATTCGCTGGCCAAGTCCTCTCCTTTAAGTGTTCCCTCTGTGTGGGGCGCTTTAGCAAGTTCTCTCTCGATCGTGGGGTGGTCGCTGTTTTTGTTTTTCTGATTCGCTCGGCCTCCAGGATTGTTCTGATTCTTGCTGCCAGCAAGCTGCTCAAGGTTTTCACTGCATTGGACAAGCAACACAGTGGCAAGAGCTAGGCTGGGCCTCTCGCGTATTGTATACTGGTCAAAATTTTCGAGCGGGTGCGTTGTCTCAATCTGGTGCGAATCCATTATCTTGCGCGCAAGAGTTTGCAACTTCTTCAAAAATGTCGCGCGCAGCAACTGGCTGCAGCAGCACCAGACCCGTCGGGTTCTGAACGTAGTGGCCTTTCTTCTGCTGAGTAGCAGTTTTCAACTTTTTCAACAGTATACAATATTGCTGATGCTTCGGCTATTGCGTGGCTACTGTATGACTGACCGAAGGCGCGGCGCATATCTCTCACGCGCGTCGCGTGCAGTCAGGTCGCGTCGCCTGGGTTCTTTTCAGTTGATTCGTGCGAAGCCTCCTTGCTCTGACGCGCGCAGCCCTTTGGCGATACTTTCACGCGCGACGCTTGTGTGTCGTCAAAGCAGCGCACTTCTGTAAGCATTCCCTTCAGTTCGGACCCACGTTCTTTGCTGCCAATCGCTGGCCGCTTCCAGAAAGTAGCGGGCAAGTTTCTTCCTTCTTGTCTCTGCAGTATTTCCCTCCTCCCTCTTCTTCCCCTTTTTCCTTAAAGTCATGCACTTTGCCAGTATATCAGACCCTAGCGGTCTTGTTTTCTAGGTCTAGACCTTATACTTACACGAGACCGCCCGAAGTGACTTAATAAACTTAACAGCAGCGCAGGGATGTCGTCATCCCTGCGCTAGCCTGTGATAGTAGAACTATGTATAGAAGACTCATTAGATTTAGATGATCCTTCTTGCAGCTAGAAGTACATGAAACTATGTCAACATCATTGGTAATCATGGCGAGTACTACAACATAAACGCCCACCTCGCAATAAATTCAATTCCTCCGACAGCAAATCGTCTGCATGTTCGCCAAATCCACGCTTCGTAGGTGAAGTCTCTACGTGCCCAATCTTCTCTGCTCCATCTCTATCTCCCTTGTACAGTGCCGTTCGAGGGTTCTTGTCGGACTTCTTGAAATTTCGGGGCGAGTAAGAGCCATCGTAAGGAAGCGGCTTGTAACGACGTGCATACTCGTCGTTGAGGAGGCGCCGCCGACCAGGACCGATTGAACGAAAAATTGGGTGGGAATCTTCAACGTCGATGCCTATGGTGTGGTTGCGCTTGTGGACATTAAAAAGCATATAATCATGCATGAGTTGTGAAATATTCTTATGTAAAATTTGTTTGCAAAGTTGGACTTGTTGTAACAAGTATCCATTTAGTAAGTAGCACTAGATTCCATATCGGATATGCATATATATCTAAACTAAACATTTCGGGCCAAAAAAAAAAACTGCAGCACAGCACGAAAAAAAAGCAAAGCACAGCACGAAAAAAAAGCAAAGCACACCACGAAAAAAAAGCAAAGCACAGCACGAAAAAAAAGCAAAGCACAACAAGAAAAAAATAAAAGCAAAGCACAACACGCGAGAGGAGCAAAGCACAGCACAAAAAAAAAGCACAGCACAACACACGAAAAAAGCAAAGCACAGAACACAAAAAAAGCAAAGCACAACCGACCCGCGAAAGAAGCAAAGCAAACAGAACACACGAAAAAAGCAAAGAGAGCACAACACACCACACGAAAACAACAACGGCAGAAGACAGAAACGACAGCACCCCCCAAGCTCTCAGCCTTCCGCTTCTGACTCATGAGCTTCCAAACCTTCCCAGCTTTCCGAACTTTTCCCAGCTTTTCCCAACTTTTCCAAACTTTTCCAAACTCTCCCCAACTTTTCCCAACTTTTCCCAGCTCTTCCCAACTCTCCCCAACTCTTCCCAACTCTCCCCAACTCTTCCCAACTCTTCCCAACTTTTCCCAACTTTTCCCAACTTTTCCCAACTTTTCCCAACTCTTCCCAACTCTTCCCAGCTCTTCCCAATTCTCCCCAACTCCCCCCAGCTCTTCCCAACTCTCCCCAGCTCTTCCCAACTCTCCCCAGCTTCTCCCAACTTCTCCCAGCTTTTCCCAACTTTTTCGAACTCTTCCAACTTTTCCCAACTTTTCGAGTTTCTTTCCGCTTTCCCTAACTTCTTACAGCTTTCCCCAGCTTCTTCCAGCTTTCCCTAACTCCTCCCAGCTTTCCGCAACTTCTCCCAGCTTTCCGCAACTTCTCCCACCTTCCCCCCACTTTCCCCAGCTTTTTCCAGCTTTTTCCAACTTTTTCCAACTTTTCCCGACTCTTCCCAACTCTTCCCAACTTTTCCCAACTCTTCCCAACTTCTCCCAGCATTTCCCAGCCTTCCCCAGCTTTTCCCAGCTCTCCCCAACTTTTCCAACATTTCCCAACCTTTCAAGTTTCTCCCAGCTTTCCCCAACTCCTTACAGCTTTCCCCAGCTCCTTCCAGCTTTCCCTAACTCCTTCCAGCTTTCCCGAACTCCTTCCAGCTTTCCCCCACTTTCCCCAACTTTCCCCAACTTTTCCCAGCTTTTTCCAACTTTTTCCAACTTTTCCCGACTCTCCCCGACTCTCCCCAGCTCTTCCCAGCTCTTCCCAACTCTTCCCACCTCTTCCCACCTCTTCCCAACTCTTCCCAACTCTCCCCAGCTTTCCCCAACTCCCCCCAGCTTTTCAAGCTTCTTCCAGCTTTCTTTAACTTCTTCCGGCTTTCCCTAACTTCTTCCGGCTTTCCCTAACTTCTTCCGGCTTTCCCTAACTTTTTCCAGCTTTCCCTAACTTCTCACCGCTGGGCTTTCCCAAGCTTCTTCCGGCTTTCCTTAACTTCTTCCAGCTTCCCCCCACTTTTCCCAACTTTTCCCAGCTTTTTCCAACTTTTTCCAACTTTTTCCAGCTTTTTCCCGACTCTTCCCAACTTTTCCCAGCTCTCTCGCCCCAGCTTTTCCCAACTCTCCCCAACTCTCCCCAACTCTTCCCAGCTTTTCCCAACTCTTCCCAACTCCTCCCAACTTTTCCCAGCTCCTCCTAGCTCTTCCAGTTTCTTCCAGCGTCCTTCTAGCTTCTTCCGGCTTCCCCTAACTTCTTCCAGCTTTCCCCAGTCTTCTTACGGCTTTCCCTCGTCTTCTTACGGCTTTCCCGAACTTTTCCCAACTTTTTCCAACTTTTCCCGACTTTTCCCGACTCTTCCCAGCTCTCCCCAACTCTCCCCGACTCTTCCGAGCTTTTCCCTACTTTTCCCAGCTCTCCCCAGCTCTTCCCAACTTTTCCCAGCTTCTCCCAACTTCTCCCAACTTTTCCCAGCTTTTCCCAACTTTTCTCAACTTTTCCCAACTTTTCCCAACTTTTCCCAACTTTTCCCAGCTTTTCCCAGCTTCTCCCAACTTTTCCCAGCTTTTCCCATTCCCAACTTCCCCCAGCTTTTCCCAACTCTTCCCAGCTCCTCCGAACTTTTCCAACTTTTCCCAGCTTCTCCCAACTTTTCCGAGCTTCTCCCAGCTTTTCCTAACTTTTCAAGTTTCTCCCAGCTCTCCCTAACTTCTCACAGCTTTCCCCCAGCTTCTCACAGCTTTCCCCAACTCCTTCCGGCCTTCCTTAACTCCTTCCTGCTTTCCCCCAATTTTCCCAACTTTTCCCAACTTTTTCCACCTTTGTCCAACTTTTTCCAACTTTATCCAGCTTCTCTCAACTTTTTCCAACTCTTTCCAACTTTTCCCAACTTCTCCCAGCCCTTCCCAGCTTCTCCGAACTTTTCCAACTTTTGCTCTTCCCCGCTCTTGCAAGCTTTTCAAGTTTCTTCCAGCTTCCCCTAACTTCTTACAGCTTTCCCCCAGCTTCTTCCAGTTTCCCCCAGCGAACTCCTCCCGGCTTTCCCCAACTTCCCAGCTTTCCCCCAATTTTCCCAACTTTTCCCAACTTTTTCCACCTTTTTCCAACTTTTTCCAACTTTTTCCAGCTTTTTCCAGCTTTTTCCAACTTTTTCCAACTTTTCCCAACTTTTTCCAGCTTTTTCCAACTTTCTCCAGCTTTTTCCAACTTTTCCCACCTTTTTCCAACTTTTCCCACCTCTTTCCAGCTTTCTCCAACACTTCCCAACTCTCCTCAACTTTTCCCGACTCTCCCCAACTCTTCCCAACTCTCCCCAACTCTTCCCAACTTTTCCCAACTTTTCCCAACTTTTCAAGCTCTTCCCGGCTCCCTTTAACTTCTTCCAGCTTTCCCCAGTCTTCCTACGGCTTTCCCTAGTCTTCTTACGGCTTCCCCGAACTTTTCCCAACTTTTCCCAGCTTTTTCCAACTTTTCCCAACTCTTTCCAACTTTTTCCAGCTTTTTCCAACTTTTTCCAGCTTTTCCCAACTCTTCCCAACTCTTCGCAACTCTTCCCAACTCTCCCCAGCTCTCCCCAGCTCTTCCCAACTCTTCCCAACTTCTCCCAACTTCTCCCAGCTTTTCCCAACTCCTCCCAACTCTTCCCAGCTTTTCCCAACTTCCCCGAACTTTTCCCAGGTTTTCCTAACTTTTCAAGCTTCTTCCAGCGCTCCCTAACTTCTTACCGCTGAGCCTTCCCCAGCTTCTTCCAGCTTTCCTCAACTTCTTCCAGCTTTCCCCCACTTTTCCCAACTTTTCCCAGCTTTTTCCAACTCTTCCCAACTTTTCCCAGCTTTTTCCAACTCTTCCCAACTCTCCCCAACTCTTCCCAACTCTTCCCAACTCTTCCCAACTTTTCCCAGCTCTTCCCGGCTTTTCCCAACTTTCCCCAGCTTTTCAAGCTCTTCCCAGCTTCCTTTAACTTCTTCCAGCTTTCCCCAGTCTTCCTACGGCTTTCCCTAGTCTTCTTACGGCTTTCCCGAACTTTTCCCAACTTTTCCCAGCTTTTTCCAACTTTTCCCAACTTTTCCCAACTTTTCCCAACTCTTTCCAACTTTTTCCAGCTTTTCCCAACTCTTCCCAACTCTCCCCAACTCTTCCCAACTCTTCCCAGCTCTTCCCAGCTCTTCCCAACTCTTCCCAACTTCTCCCAGCTTCTCCCAACTCCTCCCAACTCTTCCCAGCTTTTCCCAACTTCCCCGAACTTTTCGCTCCCAGGTTTTCCCAGCTTTTCAAGCTTCTTCCAGCGCTCCCTAACTTCTTACCGCTGAACTTTCCCCAGCTTCTTCCAGCTTTCCTCAACTTCTTCCAGCTTTCCCCCACTTTTCCCAACTTTTCCCAGCTTTTTCCAACTTTTCCCAACTTTTTCCAGTTTTTTCCAGCTTTTTCTAGCTTTTTCCAACTTTTTCCAACTTTTCCCGACTCTTCCCAGCTTTTCCCAACTTAACTTCTTCCAGCTTTCCCTAACTCCTTCCAGCTTCCACCAGTCTTCTCACGGCTTTCCCTAGTCTTCTCACGGCTTTCCCGAACTTTTCCCAACTTTTTCCAACTTTTCCCGACTCTTCCCAACTCTCTCGAACTCTTCCCAACTCTCCCCAACTTCTCCCAGCTTTTCCCAACTTTCCCCAGCTTCTCAAGCTCTCCCCTGCTTTCTTTAGCTTCTTCCAGCTTTCCCTAACTTCTTCCAGCTTTCCCCAGTCTTCCTACAGCTTTCCCTAGTCTTCTTACGGCTCTCCCGGACTTTTCCCAACTTTTCCCAGCTTTTTCCAACTTTCCCCAACTCTTTCCAACTTCTTCCAACTTTTCCCGACTTCTCCCGGCTTTTCCCGACTTTCCCCGACTCTTCCCAACTTCTCCCAACTCTCCCCAACTTTCCCGAACTCTTCCCGGGTTTTCCTAACTTTTCAAGCTTCTTCCAGCGTTCCCTAACTTCTTACCGCTGAGCCTTCCCCAGCTTCTTCCAGCTTTCCTCAACTTCTTCCAGCTTTCCCTCACTTTTCCCAACTTTTCCCAGCTTTTTCCAACTCTTCCCAACTCTCCCCAGCTCTCCCCAGCTCTTCCCAACTTTTCCCAGCTTTTCCCAACTTCTCCCAACTTTCCCCAGCTTTTCAAGCTCTTCCCAGCTTCCTTTAACTTCTTCCAGCTTTCCCCAGTCTTCCCACGGCTTTCCCTAGTCTTCTTACGGCTTTCCCGAACTTTTCCCAACTTTTCCCAGCTTTTTCCAACTTTTCCCAACTTTTCCCAACTCTTTCCAACTTTTTCCAGCTTTTCCCGACTTCTCCCGACTTTTCCCGACTCTTCCCAACTCTTCCCAGCTCTTCCCAACTTCTCCCAGCTTTTCCCAACTCTTCCCAGCTCTTCCCAACTTTCCCGAACTTTTCCCAGGTTTTCCCAACTTTTCAAGCTTCTTCCGCCGTTCCCTAACTTCTTACCGCTGAGCTTTCCCCAGCTTCTTCCGGCTTTCCTCAACTTCTCGCAGCTTTCCCCCACTTTTCCCAACTTTTCCCAGCTTTTTCCAACTTTTCCCGACTTTTTCCAGCTTTTTCTAGCTTTTTCCAACTTTTCCCAGCTTTTCCCAACTTTTTCCAACTTTTTCCAACTTTTCCCAACTCTTCCCAACTCTTCCCAGCTCTTCCCAACTTTTCCCAACTTTTCCCAACTTTTCCCAGCTTTTCCCAGCTTTTCCCAACTTTCCCCAGCTTTTCCCAACTTAACTTCTTCCAGCTTTCCCTAACTCCTTCCAGCTTCCCCCAGTCTTCTCACGGCTTCCCCGAACTTTTCCCGACTTTTTCCAACTTTTCCCGACTCTTCCCAACTCTCTCGACCTCTTCCCAACTCTTCCCAACTTCTCCCAGCTTTTCCCAACTTTCCCCAGCTTCTCAAGCTCTCCCCAGCTTTCTTCAGCTTCTTCCAGCTTTCCCTAACTTCTTCCAGCTTTCCCCAGTCTTCCTACGGCTTTCCCTAGTCTTCTTACGGCTTTCCCGAACTTTTCCCAACTTTTCCCAGCTTTTTCCAACTTTCCCCAACTCTTTCCAACATTTCCCAACTTTTTCCAACTTTTCCCAACTTTTTCCGACTTCTCCCGGCTTTTCCCGACTCTTCCCAACTTCTCCCAGCTTTTCCCAACTCTCCCCAACTCTCCCCAACTCTTCCCAGCTTTTCCCAGCTTTCCCGAACTTTTCCAACTTTTCAAGTTTCTTCCAGCTTTCCCTAACTTCTTACCGCTGAGCTTTCCCCAGCTCCTTCCAGCTTTCCTCAACTTCTTCCAGCTTTCCCCCACTTTTCTCAACTTTTCCCAGCTTTTTCCAACTTTTCCCAACTTTTTCCAGCTTTCTCCAGCTTTTTCCAACTTCTTCCAACTTTTCCCAGCTTTTCCCAACTTTTCCCGACTCTTCCCAACTTTTCCCGGCTCTCTCTCCCCAACTTTTCCCAACTCTTCCCAACTTAGCTTCTTCCGGCTTTCCCTAACTCCTTCCAGCTCTCCCTAACTTCTTCCAGCTTCCCCGAGTCTCCTTTCGGCTTTCCCTAACTGTAACTCCTTCCAGCTTTCCCGAACTTCTTCCACCTCTTCCTCACTTTCCCCAACTTTTCCCAGCTCTTCCCAGCTTTTCCCTATGGGCCTGCGCCTGTGAACTTAGGAGCCTACGCACCCCACCCCACCCAATCGGCGGGCCTGCATCACCTCCACCCCCATCACCACCAGCATCGGCGCCCGCACTTATGCCCAGCTTATGGGCTTGCAAGCTTATGAGCCTGCGCGCGAGGCTTGGGAATTGGTTAGGCTTGACCTCACGCAGATGCGTTTGAAAGAAAGTGAAGCTAAAACCTTCGCGATAGGGCCGAAGCTTATAGGTCTAGAATTCGAAGCCAAAAAATTGAAAGAAAGGAAGGCGCGGGAAGGGGTTAGCCCTGACTTCACGCAGATGGGCACTAAATCCATTCAAAATCTACACGATAATATAAAACCAAAGCCCCCAGAGCCTGAATTAACAAACTGAAAGAATTGAAAGAGGCACGGGAATTGGTTAGCCCTGAGCCTTAAAGTGTCAAGCTGAAAGCCCACACCTGACAGCCCAAAGCTGAAGGCCCAAAGTCGAAGGGCCAAGGCTGAAAGCTCGGAGCTGAATCGAAAGCCCAGAGAGAGCCGCTTGAAAGCTCGAAGCTGAAAGCAAGGCCAGAGCTGAACTCTGAACAACATACAAAAAAGCAGACGGCCAAGCAACTAAGCGACGGCCGAGAAGTTTGGAAAACCAGACCCACCCGCGCAACGGTAAACCCGTCAGGCGTTTGGGTAGTGCTCCGGATCATTCTGGACAAGGTAAGCACGAAAACCACGACAACCAACAAACGGCAAACAGCTGAAAGCGGTAGAACACCCACGGCACCCGTGTGACCGTAGAAACAGCCGCCAGGCGTTTGGGCGGTGCTCGGGATCATTCTGAACGGGCTAGACGTAGAAACACAAGAACCGAACACCAACACACAAGCAACAGCCCGGGCGCTTTCGCGTTACTTTCAACCGGGGAGCCCGGTGGCGTTTGCGCCACCGCCGCCCCGCACGATGGTTCCCTCTTTCCGCCTCCTACCCGGGGCGCACCTCTCGATAATGTCCTGGGGAGTTATCCATACTAGTACAACATTCAAAGCGAATATAAACAAGTTGTTCTACAGTATAAAAGTCAATATCTTCTGTGAACACATGAGCAAAGCCAATCGTGTGTCAAGTTCGTACCTGTCAAATCTGCACGATGTCTCCCTTTAGCCGTGACATAGCCGAAACAGGACGTCTCTTTATGCCCATAGAAAGTACCCTTCCCGTCCCAAGCGTATCTGTTTAATGCTTAATATCATAGATACGTTTGAGCATGTAGTTCTTCTTTACCCTAAACTCTATGAGCAAGGTTCTTCATCTTTACCCTGCTCTATGAGCAAGGTTCTATTTTGTTACTTTTGCTACTCTTTGAGTTTGAGTTCCCATCATTCATCTACCTCCTAGCATTCAAAATTATAGCATCCTTGAATACGGCGGCGCCAAATTCTTCTCTGCCCTTCTCAGGAGTTTTTGTCTTTGCAGCTCAGGATTTTTCTCGAACTGTTCCTGTATGAAAGCAGCTTTCGCTTGGTCTTTAGAGATCCATTCCTTGTTCGCGAAATACGTGGCCGAAACTGCGTTTGCGAGGTGACCTGGTGATCGACGTCGAGGAGGTCGAGGAGGAGCAACATTTTTTGAAAAATATACGTAATTATGACGAGTAGTATATACTTGTTCCCGACGAGCAATATGATCTGAAACAGGAGTAACTGACGGAAAGAACATGCGGTGAGGGACTTACCAGCTGCTCCTATGAACATCGAACGAGTACCAAAAGTCTTGAAATTAGCACACATAAAGAAGTCCCTCGGTACCATAGCTATGATCGCAAGCGTAATTCACAGCACAGCGGAGGGTTGGCACATCTTCCAACCGCATCATCTCCATCGTGGCCGCTGTATAACGGACAGGGTCCTGCGCAAGCGCACGATCGTGCCACATCTTGTAGTCTTACTTTGAGGTTCTTGTTCTGGTCTGTACTTTTTTTCGCCCTTTTCTGTAAGAATTTGGTGACGAGCGGGCTTCTAGTAGTCATCACTAGAATTATAATCGTTCTTGTTCTATCCTGATGGCGAGATGTGAGGCAAACTAAGGGTCATTAAGGATGTGAGGCAAGCTAAGGGCTGTAAGTTGTGAAATATGATCGAGACCACGAACGGGAATGAAGATGTTATGGTCAGTGCTGAGACCGATATGAGGACACAGATCTGAAGATAACAAGACCGACTCGTCCGGCAGCAATTGCTAGATTGCCACTAGAGCTAGACAGATCCAGACGATTCTACCGATTCCTGCTGACCCTGTTTACCACGACAGACTCAGGAGATTGGAAACACTGGAAAATCTACGAAAGTCTTCCACGGGGATATAGTCTACAGACTGGGGAGATTGAAAATTCTACGAAAGTCTTCCACGCTCTTCCTTTCACCGACCGTCGATCATGATTCAATACCCTCGCTTACGGGCGGTTTCAGCTTCAGGATCGATTCTGTCACTATTTTTACGACATACACTCAGGTAGAGCCACACTCTTTTCGCAGCAATTCGATCGTCGATGTTCGGAATGATGCAAGTCACGCGTCGCGCCCTATGTTTTTGCCGAATCTTCTAAAGTATGTACTTCATCGTATTTTTTGCAGTACAAAAATTATGGGTATCCGTCAATACATGGAAGATGTTGCAGGAAATTTGTAAAGCAAGCCCAGCCGTCTAGAAAAATGTAGGAGCGCGACATGATGTGGATACATAGCTGCAGCTGCTCATCCGGCAACTGGTAAGTAGTATGATGTGTGTGACCCAATGACAAAATACCAATAAAAAGTAGGTAGTGGCACTGTTGATATATTCTCAAAAAATAAAAAGGTAGTTGGTAGAGATAGTGATAGCCGCATCAAATTCGACCATAATAAATCATCTTTGACTAATATTAGGTCGCCCGGTGATTGCATTGTTCCGCCAACAGCCTTGAAATCTCAGCAGTCTGAGAAGTGGCGCAGCTCGGGTGGTAGAAGTTGTGTCCTGCTTCTCTCCTCGGCAGATAGTAAAAGTACATTTGCTCGTAGGGGACCATCAGGTCCTCCGACCAGTCATCCATTGTCATCGGGGTTGCTGCATGTCGTGGAGGCTGATGCTCTTGATGGTTGCTGATGTTGTCGATTATCTGAGCATGTCTTTGTCTCTGCGGTTGGCCGAACCACCACGAAGACCAAGTATTTTTGTCCTCTCTATTAGAGGTTGCCGAATTGCATTCCTCAGAACATCCTGGACCTATTTCCCCCTTGAAAAGGAGCCAAGGATGGTAGTGAGGGATGTAATTCGGAAGCCCTTAACTCTAGATCCTGGCGAGATAGAGACTACAGCATCTTCTCCAGCAGTTTTTGTTGCCTCGCATCCTTGTTGTCGATCAGAAGAACCACCTCCGCTTTCAGAGATCCTTTCTTTGGCTGCTCCACCTCCGACTTCATCGTTGGTTAGATGAAAGCAACCAGGACGCGGCGGCCGCGACACGATTTTTTCATGGGCTGCTGGAGTTATTGACGCGAAGTCCTGCGCTGTGAAACTCGATGGTCGACGGGGTTTACTGGGTAGTTGACTGTGCTCTTTGCCATAGTGGTCTTCTTGGTTTGTAGGTAGGGGAGGGGCAGGCGAACCTGAGGAAGATGAACAAGACGCTATTAAAAAACCACCTTCAAGATTCAAATTATCCTGTTTTTGTTCACGACATTGCTTTTCATTTTCTTGTTGCTGTTCTTGAAGATGTTCTGACTCATTTTTGCCCACTTGTTTTTCAGCGTCTACTCCTACTTCCTCTTTCATCACACCATCTACGAGGAAGGCCGCAGCTCTTTCTGCCAGGCTATCTTGTTTCTTGGCACGTTCCTCTACGCGCTTTCTACTAGCCTCGCTGGATATCAACTGATCTTCGAGGACCTGTCTGCCTTTTCGCACTCGCGCTATATCTAGTGCGATTCGGAGCTCCCGCATATGTGTGTCCGGGAAAAGCTTGTCTTGGGAAGAGGTTAGAGCTTGAAAAGGGTGTTTGCTTCATGATCTTTATGTACAACTACACAGAACTAGAAGTAGCAGGATGAATTTGTAAAAAAGCTGTCTTGTCTGTCGAGGCCAGACTGTCACGACTGTCCTAATCTAAGCTCGATTATTCATCTAAAGGTGACGAGGATCAGCCTTAAGCGCATTTTCAACAGCAGTTTCCTTGAGCTACTCAACCCAGCATTGAGGCTGGCAGTGTACCGACACCGAGCAAAACCATTGCTGTAATCCGGGTGTTGCTCACGGTATTGACTCAACAACACCGCAGCTCGTCGAAAATCCTCGGTGTCTAGATTTGAAAGTGCCCAGAGGACATCGTCGGCAAAGGTGGGTTGCTGTTGCGCTTGCTGAGTTAGCCTTCCTGTTGATGTAGTTCTTGAACAACTTCTAGGTGTCTGCTGTCGTTGTCGTTCATCCTCGAGCTTGCTCCCACTGCTCGTAGTTGTAGTTCCGAGCCCATCGCAGGAGGACCTGTCAGTTGGCTGCATATCTGAGGAGCGAGACCTCGCCAACAAGTCCTGTCCTCTAGACAAAGCCAAGGAGTTGTCCCGCCCAGTAGCCGCAGCGCTCGCTGATGAAAGACACGAATGCCTTGCTCTTACCTGCTGTTCTGGTGGAGAGCCGCAGCCCTTATTTGATTCCTTATTCGCCGATGCTGCTGATTCGGCTTGTTGCTCTTTGCTCGAAGAGGAAGACGCAGTCGTTTGTCGTGATGAAAAGGCTGGCTTTCTTGAAGGGGGTGTGGTTTCGACGGACTCTACTGAAGGATATTCTGGTAGCGTGGGAGACACTGATGCAGACGCCGCATCCTTCACGTCTAAAGCTTGCTCTTCTACTCCTATTAGAGGTATAGGGAATCTATCTCAGGAGTCGTCTGGTTCTCCATTTTCTTCTCGTTTTCTTCTTCCAGATGACTTGGGAGATGAATTCCCTACACCCATAATCCTACTTCATCTACCTCCTCGACCTCGATCAAATGCCTCAAGCAATCAGTCTGCTCACGATATTTCCTCAACGCTCGCATAGCCCGCCCAACATCAGCAAACCATTGGAAGCGGAAGAGCCGCTTGATCACCTGTTGAGTTGTATCTCAGGGTTCTCCTGTAATTGATCATCGTCCTCTGCGTTCGTTACTGTCCCATCATCTTCATCAGCTAGTTTGTGTACACGAGAAAGTAGAAGCGCAGCTTCCTCGAACGTGAAAGAGTCGACTTCGGAAAGTGAAGGCTGAGAGCTACCTGGTGGGAGGTTGGCGCCGGTGGGACTAGTCTTGCGTCCCTTGCAATCTAGGAGTAATTCCGGTAAGTGTTTTTCATCACCTAGTTGTATCTCCTCCTCCTTGCTCTTCCACTTCCTTGTGGTGGAAGATCTACTTATTTTATTTGAGGCAGAAGTACTTCTAGCAGATGTTGATGAAGAAGAACTTCTACCCACACGACGACACTCACCATCCGCCCCTCTGCCCTCGAACGCTGCATCGAAAGAAGATTCCCGCATTTCTACAATTCTAGGAAAGGCAGCGCTCAGAAGACCAATCAAGTTGGTCAGTTGCTTGTCCTGGGCTAGATCTAAAGGATCGACCACTACTTCGGCTTGTTCTGCAGCACGACACGTTTCTTTTGACGGTGGTAGTGATTTCCCTGTTGTAGTAGCACCTGAAGAGATGTTGTTCCTATGGCAAGTTCTTGTGATTTCGCGAATTTGTGTTCGCGTCTGATTCGCGTTCGAAGTTCTACTCGCATTTCGTCCGGCGTCGGCTAATGATCCTGTAAAAACCTCTCCACAGGTTACTATTACAGTGCTGCAATCTTCCCCTACGCCGTCTCTTATCGCTAATGGACCTCCAGCGCATCAAGAGCGCAAGGGGCAAGAATCTGTACTTGAAGATGTTACTACAACTAAGACTGACAGGAAAAGATACTAGAACTGCCACGTCCAAAGTCGTCAAGCACATAACTCATTATTCTCTTCCCCGACTTCGTGTTCTTCAGGTTCTTCATGTTCGTCCTCGTGCTCTGCTTCGTGCTCCTCATGCTCATCTTCGTGCTCCTCGTGTTCCTCATGTTCGTCCTCATGCTCTGCCTCTGCGTCGTTTGATTTAGAGTGGTATACTATAAACTCGTTGTAAAAGGAACAAATCTACATAAGTTTTCACTTCTTCATCTTGATTTCACGGACCACAGGTAGACTCATCCACGATCATAATTGTGAGTACCACAATTTTCATCTTTGTCAACAACATACATGACTATGTATCTATAGGAACATTTAGATCAACATATCTTCATGGTTATCTCCCCCTGCGCCATGATCTATAGGAACATTTAGATCAACATATCTTCATGGTTATCAGCCCCTGCGGCATTATCTAGTATAGGAACATTTAGATCGTATCTTCATGGTTATCTCCCCCTGCGCCATTATCCTCATGACCGCCACCTCCTCCGCCATGCTCGCCCACAGGCGCGTCGTTGTGATGGTGCTGTCCGGCATCATGATCGGGAGCTGGGAACATCAGACCGCCATGTCCCGGTGCCACGTGAGCAGGCGCCCAAGAGGAGCCGTCAGAAACCGAGGTTCCGAACATGCCACTGCTGAAAACTGCGCCATCCTTTAGGGCGCTCAGAGCGGCGCTTGTGAGAACCATGTACTGTTGTTTTTTCGACCCTGAGTTACAATTACAAATTTTTCGATTAGTTCGACGCACCAGCAGCGGTGGGCGCAGAGAAAGCAAACATTTCACACTCAACACAAAGAGAAAGCTATAGAAAGACTGAAAAAGGAAGTGTAGATCTATTGATGACCTTGCTATGTACTCGTTTCTTGTTCGTCCTGCTATTTTTGTTCAGGCTTAATACATAGTTTAGCACTGCCTATCAATATATATTTCTCGAAGCACGCTATCGCGACAGCATTTTTTCACAACAGAACAATGATGCATTTTCTGTTTGCTTTGCTTTATAGCAGTAGTTTTCATGGATGCGAAGGTTGCTTGATGCGAGGTTGGGTTCTTACGAAACTCTAAGTTTGTTTTCGAGGACACACATTCGATCTCTCCGATGCATACAGACGAATTTCTAGACACTCTCTCAGAAGAACTGTTCTTTCTGCAAGTTGTAACCGATAGAAGAAAGACTCTACACACCACGTTGAAATTCGATTCGTTTCGCTGTCAGTCTGGCATATCCATAAATATCTAAATTACGTTTCTCGTCCCACAACTACAAAATTTCACTTTGTTCCTTCTTTGCTGAAATGAAATATTACATAATCTGGCTACAACTGAAGATGTAAGTCTGCCTAGTCTCGCTAGAAGAAAAAAATTACATACAACAACACTGCCTCATGCTTATTCTCCCTTAGCCTTACCTAGTATTCTCTGGTATAATTGATCGAAAATCAGATTTTGATGGACGAAGATGACAAAATATCAACTACTTGGCAATAGCCTGAAATACATGTCGGCAATTTCTAAAGAGTATGGCAACTGTAGTACAAATTGAAAAGGAGCAGATCCAGAATGGAAATTCGCAAGAAAGAGCGGTTTATGGTAACTATAATAATATCCGAGACCGGACTGGATCTCAGCTCACTCGCCAAAGGCCAAACTTTTGACCAAAGGCCAAACTTTTAAAAAATCTCAAATCTTTTACCAAAGCCCAAACTTTTGAAAAATCCCAAATTTTTTGCCAAAGCCCAAACTTTTGCAAAACCTCAAACTTTTGGCCAAAGCCCAAACTTTTGCAAAACCCCAAACTTTTCCCAAAAGCCCAAACTTTTCGCCAAGCCCCAAACTTTTGCCAAATGCCCAAACCTTTCCCAAGTCCCAAACTTTGCCCAAAAGCTCAAACTTTTCCCAAGTCCTAAACTTTGCCCAAAAGCTCAAACTTTTGCCAAAGCCGAGCCCAAACCTTGCCCAAAAGCTCAGCTTAAAAAAAAACCCTTTCCAAAGCCGAGCCCAAACGCTGCCCAAACGGCAGCCACGGCCACGGCACCAAGCAGCCACGGCACCAAGCAGCCACGGCACCAAGACAGCCACGGCCACGGCCACAGCCAGCCACGGCCACAGTCAGCCACAGCCACAGCCACAGCCACGGCCACGGCCACAGCCACGGCCACGGCCACGGCCACGGCCACGGCCACGGCCACGGCCACGGCCACGGCCACGGCCACGGCCACGGCCACGGCCACGGCCACGGCCACGGCCACGGCCACGGCCACGGCCACGGCCACGGCCACGGCCACGGCCACGGCCACGGCCACGGCCACGGCCACGGCCACGGCCACGGCCACGGCCACGGCCACGGCCACGGCCACGGCCACGGCCACGGCCACGGCCACGGCCACGGCCACGGCCACGGCCACGGCCACGGCCACGGCCACGGCCACGGCCACGGCCACGGCCACGGCCACGGCCACGGCCACGGCCACGGCCACGGCCACGGCCACGGCCACGGCCACGGCCACGGCCACGGCCACGGCCACGGCCACGGCCACGGCCACGGCCACGGCCACGGCCACGGCCACGGCCACGGCCACGGCCACGGCCACGGCCACGGCCACGGCCACGGCCACGGCCACGGCCACGGCCACGGCCACGGCCACGGCCACGGCCACGGCCACGGCCACGGCCACGGCCACGGCCACGGCCACGGCCACGGCCACGGCCACGGCCACGGCCACGGCCACGGCCACGGCCACGGCCACGGCCACGGCCACGGCCACGGCCACGGCCACGGCCACGGCCACGGCCACGGCCACGGCCACGGCCACGGCCACGGCCACGGCCACGGCCACGGCCACGGCCACGGCCACGGCCACGGCCACGGCCACGGCCACGGCCACGGCCACGGCCACGGCCACGGCCACGGCCACGGCCACGGCCACGGCCACGGCCACGGCCACGGCCACGGCCACGGCCACGGCCACGGCCACGGCCACGGCCACGGCCACGGCCACGGCCACGGCCACGGCCACGGCCACGGCCACGGCCACGGCCACGGCCACGGCCACGGCCACGGCCACGGCCACGGCCACGGCCACGGCCACGGCCACGGCCACGGCCACGGCCACGGCCACGGCCACGGCCACGGCCACGGCCACGGCCACGGCCACGGCCACGGCCACGGCCACGGCCACGGCCACGGCCACGGCCACGGCCACGGCCACGGCCACGGCCACGGCCACGGCCACGGCCACGGCCACGGCCACGGCCACGGCCACGGCCACGGCCACGGCCACGGCCACGGCCACGGCCACGGCCACGGCCACGGCCACGGCCACGGCCACGGCCACGGCCACGGCCACGGCCACGGCCACGGCCACGGCCACGGCCACGGCCACGGCCACGGCCACGGCCACGGCCACGGCCACGGCCACGGCCACGGCCACGGCCACGGCCACGGCCACGGCCACGGCCACGGCCACGGCCACGGCCACGGCCACGGCCACGGCCACGGCCACGGCCACGGCCACGGCCACGGCCACGGCCACGGCCACGGCCACGGCCACGGCCACGGCCACGGCCACGGCCACGGCCACGGCCACGGCCACGGCCACGGCCACGGCCACGGCCACGGCCACGGCCACGGCCACGGCCACGGCCACGGCCACGGCCACGGCCACGGCCACGGCCACGGCCACGGCCACGGCCACGGCCACGGCCACGGCCACGGCCACGGCCACGGCCACGGCCACGGCCACGGCCACGGCCACGGCCACGGCCACGGCCACGGCCACGGCCACGGCCACGGCCACGGCCACGGCCACGGCCACGGCCACGGCCACGGCCACGGCCACGGCCACGGCCACGGCCACGGCCACGGCCACGGCCACGGCCACGGCCACGGCCACGGCCACGGCCACGGCCACGGCCACGGCCACGGCCACGGCCACGGCCACGGCCACGGCCACGGCCACGGCCACGGCCACGGCCACGGCCACGGCCACGGCCACGGCCACGGCCACGGCCACGGCCACGGCCACGGCCACGGCCACGGCCACGGCCACGGCCACGGCCACGGCCACGGCCACGGCCACGGCCACGGCCACGGCCACGGCCACGGCCACGGCCACGGCCACGGCCACGGCCACGGCCACGGCCACGGCCACGGCCACGGCCACGGCCACGGCCACGGCCACGGCCACGGCCACGGCCACGGCCACGGCCACGGCCACGGCCACGGCCACGGCCACGGCCACGGCCACGGCCACGGCCACGGCCACGGCCACGGCCACGGCCACGGCCACGGCCACGGCCACGGCCACGGCCACGGCCACGGCCACGGCCACGGCCACGGCCACGGCCACGGCCACGGCCACGGCCACGGCCACGGCCACGGCCACGGCCACGGCCACGGCCACGGCCACGGCCACGGCCACGGCCACGGCCACGGCCACGGCCACGGCCACGGCCACGGCCACGGCCACGGCCACGGCCACGGCCACGGCCACGGCCACGGCCACGGCCACGGCCACGGCCACGGCCACGGCCACGGCCACGGCCACGGCCACGGCCACGGCCACGGCCACGGCCACGGCCACGGCCACGGCCACGGCCACGGCCACGGCCACGGCCACGGCCACGGCCACGGCCACGGCCACGGCCACGGCCACGGCCACGGCCACGGCCACGGCCACGGCCACGGCCACGGCCACGGCCACGGCCACGGCCACGGCCACGGCCACGGCCACGGCCACGGCCACGGCCACGGCCACGGCCACGGCCACGGCCACGGCCACGGCCACGGCCACGGCCACGGCCACGGCCACGGCCACGGCCACGGCCACGGCCACGGCCACGGCCACGGCCACGGCCACGGCCACGGCCACGGCCACGGCCACGGCCACGGCCACGGCCACGGCCACGGCCACGGCCACGGCCACGGCCACGGCCACGGCCACGGCCACGGCCACGGCCACGGCCACGGCCACGGCCACGGCCACGGCCACGGCCACGGCCACGGCCACGGCCACGGCCACGGCCACGGCCACGGCCACGGCCACGGCCACGGCCACGGCCACGGCCACGGCCACGGCCACGGCCACGGCCACGGCCACGGCCACGGCCACGGCCACGGCCACGGCCACGGCCACGGCCACGGCCACGGCCACGGCCACGGCCACGGCCACGGCCACGGCCACGGCCACGGCCACGGCCACGGCCACGGCCACGGCCACGGCCACGGCCACGGCCACGGCCACGGCCACGGCCACGGCCACGGCCACGGCCACGGCCACGGCCACGGCCACGGCCACGGCCACGGCCACGGCCACGGCCACGGCCACGGCCACGGCCACGGCCACGGCCACGGCCACGGCCACGGCCACGGCCACGGCCACGGCCACGGCCACGGCCACGGCCACGGCCACGGCCACGGCCACGGCCACGGCCACGGCCACGGCCACGGCCNCACCACCACACCCACACACCACCACACCCACGGGTGGGCTTTTCTACCCACAGCCCCACTCAGTTCCACCCGCGTACGGGTTTGCCCGCCCACAAACGTGCCGGGCGTGCTTGTTTCAAAGGCCTAACGACATGGCCGGCGACTTGTACACTATAGGCACCTTCAAGTTACGATGGATTGAGTATTTCAAAACAAAAAGCAAGGGGTCGATTACTAAGCTATGTAGTACGTAAGGGTCAACCTTCTCTGGCTTCCGCATGCATCAGAATCGCTTCAGCTCTAAACTTCGGAAGAGTCAGGCCATCTGGTTCGAACCTTAGCAGTCGTGCTCTCTGAAATGGAATTCGCGGCGCGCTCGGTTATTAGATACATAGAAAAAATCGCTAGAGCATGAGTAACATCAGTTTCAATATCAGTATGGAGTAACACTATGCCAAAAGCGTTTTTTTTTGCGTTTTTTGTACATTATTCGTCTCAGAATGAAAATTTTTCATTTTGAGACGAATAGTGCCCACCTGATCCCTGGGCTTTATGTGCGTTTTTTGGCCAGAAAACCACTTTTCTATGTTCGCTTCTGGCATAGTGTTACTCCATAAATATCAGTAGATATATACTTACTAATCAGCAATAAAATGCAAAACGCTGTTTCAAAAGCACAGATTCTTCAAAGTGATGATGTTGATGACAGTGACAATACGCCCACTAGTGCTACATCATAACCTGTGGCCAGCAAAGCAGCAATAGTTGTGCCCTGATCGTGGTTTCGTCTTTTAGATCGTTCTTCGTCGGCCAAGAAACGAACTAAATACTGCTCCAAACCGTACTGAAGTGTGCCATCTTGTTGGCGACGATATTGGTGGTCGTGTGCTGGTTGTTGTCCGTCTCTGCCTCTGTTGTCTGGTTGCAGTTGTAGTCGTCTGATATTTCTGTCCCTGTCGTCGTTCTGCGGTTGTCTGTCCCTCTCCCTGTTTCTTTCGCGATGTGACATAAGTTCCCTCCTATTTTTATATGGAAGTTCTTGCAAGAATCTACGATTCAACTCCTGCATTCGAAACAAGTCAGCGTGATTCGCGACAGTATCTTCAGCTTGGTCTACGGGTCCTCTGTCAAACTGCCGTAGGACATCTTCTACTGCTTCTTCACCTGTCATCTGCTGATCCTCATGATCTTCAATCCTATTACGATCAGGGTCGATAGTTGTATCTTCAACAGCATCTACTAGATCTTCTCTTTCTGGAAGAACCAGTACACCTCTACCAGCAACATGTCTTCCATCTTCCTCGTCTCGTCTATTCTCTATTTCGTGTTCTTCTAATTGTTCTGGTTGTATTGCGTCCTCCTCCGTACTATCATCCAACCCGGTGTGTCCTTCTTCACCACGCGTTCTCCGTAATATGTCTATTAGAGCTCCTCAGAGCTACCTTCATTTCTTCCCGCCTTCATTTCTTCAGGATCCTACGAAGGAAACCGAAGAAATTTTGAAGTCCTTGGAAATGACTTGCGTCGAGCCTTAATCTTAAAATGTTGTCCTCGTTGTGAAAAAGTTCAAGGCCTTCATCACCCACAGCAGAAAGGCCTTCTCCTGCGTCAGCTTCTGGCACGAACAAGTTGATATGGAGATCATGGTTGTGAAGGTCATCGACACGTTCCTCATCGCCGTAGTTCCAGACGTCCTCATCCGTGTTTCTTCGACTTAGAAGAGTTTGACTGCTCACGAAGTTCGATAGTATCTATTGCGCTTTTGATTCAATTACAGAGAGGATAAGTAAGTTAATAGGTTTGACGAACTCGAATTTGTTGGTATTGCGCTTTATCTTATTCATGTAGATATTGAAAGCGGAAGGTTGCCACCTAATCATTTATTCATATTTCCCGAAAAGTACAACAATTACACCGATTCCTCTCGGTGTGTCGATGAAAGCCTTAACAGTCCAAGTAAGCCATCCCCTGCAAGAGTGCTGACGTATTCTTGCCTACCGGCAATGAAATTTCTAGGTGTTGCATGCCACATGTTATCGGCGTTCCTTGCTGACGCTCCACGAGCAACCAACAAGGAGACCACATCCACATACAGCTGCCGACTAGCATGATGCAATGCAGTAAGACCCCAGATATTCCGAGCATGTACATCAGCTCCAAAATCTAGGAGTTTTTCCACCATGCCCGCATGACCACAGAAGGCGGCTACAGCTAATGGTGGCGCATCTGCAAGCTCATCGATATCTGGACGCCAAGTGTCTATAGAAAAGGACAGTGGTTGCTGTTGGTGTAGTTGAACTTGATCTCCAACTCCATGCCCATCTCCAATTATTTCTACTTGTTCTTTCATGTAGTCCATCACAGCGTTTGAAGAACTTTCTTGTAGAAGGGTTTGGAAATGACCTCTGCCTGTTTTTCTACTGCTACTACTTTTTAGATCAGTACTGTCGTGGAGGTAACCTGCCGAGTCCGATGAAGACTGTTGTAGCTCATCTTCTTTCTTCGCCACTCGAAGCATAGCTGCTACTGCTTTCACATTGTTGTTCAACAACGAAAGTAGAAAAAGAGCCTGAGCACGTGGACCGCTGATCTTGTTCTCATCTTCAGAAAACGCTTCCTCTAAAATGTCCCGTAGCACATCGTCACGCGCCAAATGCACGGCTGTAAGCAGTCTTGTCCGTAGCGGCTGACCCGGCTGTAAATCAGCGTGTTCCTGTACCACCGCTAATAGCGGCTTGCCTTGATGCAGAGTGTAAGCTCCCTCTCTTGGTGGGAAGAAAACACTCTTCTTCTTCAATTTCGGTCGTGATGAGGGTGGAGTGGTGCCGCGGCTTTGTGGCGAGGCGAGTGATGAGGCACCTGCGCCGTCGGTTTTCCCCGCGATTATATCTTCACGCGTTTCTGAAGAAAGCGTTTGTTCTAGTGATGGTTGTGTTGTAATACTTGCAGCTTTGTTGCCCACCTTCTTCCATGGTGTATCTGTGCTATTGATCTGCGTCGCCACCTTTCTACTTGATCTACCTTCTTGAGCGTCTAGTGCAACTGGTGTAGCGTCTACAACTACTGGTGTAGTTTCTGTTCTCTTTCTGAGGTCTTCTGTTCCGGTACCATCGTCATCACTGTCCTGCAGGCGTATTTCAAACAGGTTCAAAATCGGCTCGTAGCCTGACAGTGGCGACATCGACATTTGCGGAGATAACATCAAAGGAGGCACAACTTCTGTGTAGGGAGTATCCTGTGATGCGCAGGAGGACGACGGCGAAGCAGAGGGCGGTGAAGAGCCACCAGCTGTAGGTGTAGCTGTAGCTCCATCAGGAACATCCTGACCATAATGATGTTGACCTGAAGCAAAGCCAGATGACAGGACTAAGCGTTGTCCTGGCAGTAAATTGCCCAGCTTTTCTAGTCGTGGCCGCACATCGTCGACACAGATGTCATAGTCGACAACCTCAGCTGTCAAGGCTTTCCCGCTCATCAGATGTGCTGTCAGTGTCACAGGTGCCGCAGTCGTTGTACCTCTAGTCGTGGGGGAAGTGACGAAGGACCTTTTTCTCTTAACAAGTGCAGTGGGGGAAGGAGCAGTTGACCGTGGAGGCGTTGTACTTGACGTTTTCGTTGTTGTTGACAGTTCTGTTGTCTTCATCAAGTTCAAAGCAGTAGGGGACGCAGTGCTAGAGGCAGTCAGAGAAGTTGTCGGCAGCGTGACAGATGGGGGCGCTGCTACTCGGTATTTGTTTGATCCAGCGCTCATCGTATACCATGACGCATTTGACGACACGACTGCATCATGAACGTAATCCACAACATCTTCGAAAGGGTCTCTTGATGTTGATGAACTAGTACTACATATTTTTCTTGTAAAAATTCTCTCCTGCGGAGGACGAAGGTGAATAGAAGGGGTAGTTGTTGTACTTCTTGATGTTGGTCTCCTGCTAGCATCTCCACGTCCACCAAGAACATCGTTATCAAACGAAGGAGCCGACGACGAAATACTAGAATCTGCTGATGCTTCTGATTGTGATGTTGAAGTACTAGAAAACGTCGAAGAAGAAGATGCATCATGATCATCAGACGATGACCGCAGAGATGCGGACGAACTGCCCGTGGCCCAGCGCAGGATTCCAGGCGTCGGAGGACTACGAAGTCCATCTATTGGACGGACCAAACAACCGGCAAAAAAGAGAACGAGGGACAACGACATTTTGGATGTTCAGAGTACTTATGTTTTTGACTAATTTACAAGTGGTAGTAGAATCAATGTAAAACACGGCAAGAAAGTAAATGTAAAACACGACGAACAGGCTAATTCAAGACAACTCGAGCTAAGTTTTTACAAGAAACGCAATCGACAAGCTGGAGGTCGATACGAATAGGAGCGAGTGAAGAAAAATATTCATCCTTCAACAAAATTGCAAACAGAAACTCCTTATATTATCGGTGGAGCACACCTAACTAGGAAACAAAAAAACCAAAAGAGTCAAGTAATCCAAATATCTAAAGAAGAACTATAGTGGCCACAGAAACTCCTTATATTAGATACTTCTAATTTCGTCTTCTGGATTTCACTGCGATCATGATGAGGCTTTAGCGCTGATCAGAGGCTAGTCGTTTCAGCTTTACAATTATGTGCGCATGAAAACGTAAACGACAGATGATTGTCCAGGAGACGGCTTCAGAGAGTTTTTGAAGATGATTTCTTGTATGCTGTACTTGGAGGCTTCTGCAAGCGATTCCAACTCTGACGTCAACCGAACACGACAGCTCTTCTGGTCAGAACAAAATAGCGCTTTAGATAGCTTTTACGTGACACACCTTATTAGGGGCCTCCTTAGCTCGCCCTATAAATTCCAGTTCTTAACTCAGAAAATGAATCAGTAGTATTACTCGCTCGCTAAAAACCCTCTCCTTGAGCATATCGATCTCCATAATAAAATATACGATCCAGAGCCTCAGAATCCGAAGGTTCACGGGGAATTCGCTTCCCTACTAACAACGGACCTCGTCTTTGATGTTGGATTAAAGTCTCTGTCTCTATACGCCCATATCGATTTACTTCGCCACCCAAACCTTGTGAAGATCTAGTACCAGAAATTCCTAGATAACCGGAACCCGTAGTAGAATTCTTGGAATAATTTCTATCTAGCTCCGTCATTGCCTGAAATTTAGTTCGAGAACGCGAGTTTGTTGATGATGATGGTGCTGCAGTTCCTGCTGACGGTGGTGGACTGCTGTTAGCAGTACTGAAAAAATCTTCCACATCAGCATCTTGATTATCGCGCTGACTTCTTCGTTTCTGTGGAGACGCAGAATGACTTCTATTCGGTTTTAAACTAGGACGTACTTTCCCTACTCTAGAGCTGGAAGACGCAGAGAGTGATTGTGTCGTCGCCAGTAACCTGGCGTTTCCACCACCATCTGCTTGCTGTGATCCAGCATAATTTTCGTCTTCCTGATGTCTGCCAAAAACAGGTGAACTCATTCTGCCTCCACCCGTAGAGGTTGTCGTAGACGGCCTAGTCCTTCTTTGACTACTATGAGCGACGCTTCTATGACGTTGAGCTTGTTGCTGTTGGGTGGTATTCCTTGGTGACTTGTTGTAGTTAGCAGAAGTGGGTGACCTAGTTGTACTAGTAGGCAAAGTAGGAGCTCTACTTCTTGTCATACCACCACGTGGCGACTTACTCGGCGACTTACTCGGTGATCTTGACCTACTCGACGCTGACCCACCCGCAGCCTCCTTCAACAGGAGGTAGTCGTTGCCGACTTTGAAGCGCAATCTACTTTTCGCTACTGTAGTACAGAATTCTTTCTCAAATGCGGCTTTCAAAGCAGGATTTACACCCTCCTCTGAAATACGCGTGTAGATCTCGCGATCCGGTCTTGGAAAGCGGCTGTACGTCTGACCCATTGGATATTAGAGTGGGAAAGCTGTTTTTGGATACACGACAACGAACTTCTATTACTTGTTCAACGGACTGCAACGAACATCCGTCAAAATCGACCGGGTAATATTAATCGTAAGACTCGACTGTCACAACAATATTTGGCCCTAATTGGATGCCGATGTGTCGTATACGTTTCCGTCTTTCCGGTCAGCCATAATCGACATGGGAGTCCATCCTGTAGATCCCAAACTAGCTGTCCTCTTCATCTTAACGCCAGTTTTTCACTATCCCTTGTGGAGTGATTTGCCCTCTTCCGCTCTGGTTTCCCCTTTTAATCACGGGGCACTTGACTCAGTATACTATAGTCCACACGCGATAGTGAGAAACTAGCCTTAATCATCGCCGCTAACGCTTTCCTGCCTGTAATAGTCGGGGGCTTCAGACTCGCTTCTGTGCGTATGTTAGACTACCTAAATTAGTAAAGAGATGAGTTACAGTTTGGGGATCCTTCACATTGAGCCAACTCCTAGGAGGTCAACTCCTAGGAGGTCAACTCCTAGGAGCTCAAATCCGAGGTCAAGAAAGCAACATTTCGACAAAGCATTTTTACGGGGGACTCAAAGAAAGAGAGCAGAGCATCCACATCCTGTACTTTCTTAAGTATGGCTTCACGCGACAGGAAAGCAGGATAGGACTGCTTGGTTCTTGGGTCGAGGGTGTCGAACGTCCTCTTCCTATTCGCCTCATCCAGTATTCCCGCATCCACGTAAATGCACACATTACGCCTCCCAGGCAATGCGTTCACAAAGTCTGTGCCTGCAGCATAGATTTAGATATGAACATTGTATTTTGTTTATCTAGGCCGAGCATCCTGGCAGGTTTGCCCCCCTTGAAATGCAGATGGGTGGAAGGATAGTTGTAAGGATGGAAAAAACATCACCCATAATAGAGGAGATTGGCATCAGCTGTCTCCGCAGCTAGCAGGATCTCGTGACGACCATCGCGTCCGACTGGATTTCCACGAAGGTCTAGGCAACGAAGGACGTTGTTGTTGCGGAGCTGTTGGGTTGAGGAGAAGTGGAAGAATTCTATATCGGGAATTGATTCTCTGAAGGTCTTTATGATGCACCAAAGGAACAGGTTAGTGGTTGTAGATGACCGCTGAAGGGCAGCGTCTGCTCTCAAAGTCATGATGAGATCGCAATTCTCATGCTTACAACTAACAGACACTACGACTATCCACAACAACTCCGAAGATCTCTAGAAGTACCGCCATCCCTAGCCACGCCGCTCCATGCCCATCAATTCTGTTCTCCGCTAAGATCAAAACTTGCAGAGCCATGTCTTGCTGGATCAAGGCGTAAGAGAGAAATTTCATCCCCTCAGATTCGTCAATAAAGTTCCCACGAAGGTTCAGCTTTTCTAGCCGATCTCTTGCTGGGCCATGGCTTACTTTAGAGGTTGCAGAATCAAGAATTACACACGTCAGAACATGAACTTGTTCCTTGTCTAAATCGTGGTACAACTACACCTAAGAACATTCTAAGAACATTATTTTTTCTACTGTCAAGGATGTAATGTTGGAGAAGGAGAATGTCGTGATTTGGAAACCCATAATTACTGCTTTTCGCCCAGCATGGGTGCGAGAGAACTTGTCCTTAACCAATCCGAATGAGCGGGCCAAGTAGTAGCAAGATATATTCTTCAACAGATTGTTCTCGCAAGAGAGGACCTGAAAGGGAGTGAATGTCTGTACTTGGTTTTTCTGGCAGAATAGGATCATCCGAGGTATGTTTATAGTGTGCGAGCAGTCTGAATGTATGTCATTCACTCATGAATGATTTCTGAAAATGTCAAAAATGCTCTTATATATATTTTTACATTCTTCAAGCAGACACCTTAGTACCTTCAAATGTTTTGGCGGCGTTTTATCGTAGTCTGATCCCAAGATCTGTCGCAGAGAATTGTCCGTCAGTCTGCAATTATGCAAGTACAGCTCTCGTAATGCCGTATTATGTCTACGATGGCAGGCGAATTCTCGGTAGAAAGTGTTGCTGAAGAGCAAACCACTGAGATCTAGAGCTGTCATGGACTGAACATTTTCCTTGACCTTGCGCAATATCTCACGCGCAATCCCGTTTAGACGAAGTTGGGACTCATCTGGGTCTTCTTCTTCGTAGTTAATCTTAAGTTCTCCTTCGTCTTGGGGTTCCTGGAGGTAGTCTTGGCCGTTATCTTCGTTGTAGGTATCACCATATCCTTCTTCGATAGGAAGATAGTGGATGTCGGTCATCTTGGCGAGTCGAGCTTCTCAAGATTTCTTGCGCGTCATTAGTTGGACAGTGCGAGCTGAGGGTGCGATGACGAAGGCATGTGCATTGTTGTAATTATTTCTAAGATTTAGTATGGGCTGAGAATGTGGTGGTGCCTCTGTTTGAGGAAGCGCATGACTAATATTTCTTCCGTCTTTCTTCTTGGGGTTCCCTTTTGGGGAAGTGAGGTCGTGGAAGACGCTATTTTTTGGGGTGCCCTTTTGGGGTATTGTGCGAAGTCGGATATTTTCAGTGTTTTTTAAGATTAGTCACCAGATCTTTCTGCTTGCTTCTTAATTCCGGATGAATGTGACATTCGGCATTGTATGCTCCTCGACAGTGTTGTCAGCCTGTAGTCGTTGTAGTTTCTTTTTCTTCGAAAATTTCCATCAAGTTAATCTTAGGTTTCTCAGACTGTTCATCTTCGTTACGACGTCATAGTTGTTACGCATGCGTCTGCAATGGTTTTTTTCGTTCTGGACATGATAAGGAAGTATAGACTACTTACTCTTGGGTCATAATTTACAGCTCGTTGTTTACTTGAAAATCAGTAGAATCTATTCTAGTGTAACATCTTCAACATATTCATAGTGTAGGACGAGTATGAGTAACTTTGCATGCATGCTACAGAATCTGGTCTGAATATTCGACCTGAACAGTTCATCTTAGGGATTAGCATGCGTCCTCAGTAGTTTTGCCAACGTCTAGAAAGATCTTGTCAGTCCTGCGATCGTCTCGATCTCTTTGCAGTCGCTGGCACAAATCGGCTCTACATTGCAGTTTCCGCCACACTGCTGACCACAGAAAACTTAGAAAATTTTCTGTAAGAATAACTTGCATGAGTACTACTTCGTCGTGGCAACATCTTTTGATCTTATTACATTTAGAGTAGCGTAGTATAATTGATCCTGATCATCCAACGTGAGGATATAAATTCTATATGGATCATGATTTACATCCATGCAGGAAATCCTTGATCATTCTTCTTGTCTAGTACTCCTCTTAACAGAATATGATACATCCGTGGCCATAAAAAGTAGTAACATCAGCTCCCGAGGTCCAAATCCAGTAGCACATACCATATAACCTGGTGGGCAATTCGGTAGCAGAGCTATCGCAGACGTAGGAGCATCCTCCGCATGCGCCTTCACAGCAGCTGGTCTGAAGGACATGGCGGCAACCCCACATGTCGTACAAAAAGCTCCAGAGACCGACGATTATTTTAGGTTAGAAGAGGTTAAACAAATGATCTACTTCATTCAGCTGTACAGCATCCACCTTGCTTATTCACTGATGATAGTGGTCGAAGGGCCAGCCTAAATGATGAAGGCAATTGCTGCAGACGCAGCCGCTAGCGCTACTAACCATTAAGTCATAGATGAAGAACGTCGATCAGCCTAAATAGAAAATATTCTTCACAAGAACTACATTGGAAAGACAGCCGTCATAAAGAAAGCCAACCAAGTAGATGCAACGACAAGCAGTTCCGGTGAGAGCTTGGTAGAGATCTGAAGCAGCTTCGAGTGCAGCAGCTGTACTAGGCAGCACTGACTCCCAGCTTCGGCCCGTAGTAGGGAAAGGTAAAGGAGGATCGCGGTTTGGCTCTTCGCGGCCTGGAAGATCAGGTGATCGAGGATTTGCTTCCTATGCGCTGAAGATGTCCACCTTAAAAGACTATAGAATTTGAAATTGAGGTACTTTTTAGAACGAGTTGTAACGAATACTTAATTTAGAAAAGCAAGCATCATACATTCAATACATACAATAGAACAGTTTATAAGGGTTCCCAACATGGCTGGGCTGGGCACGCTGGGCACACTGGGTCGCTGGGCGACCCAAATGTGCCAGATCTTCCGAATTCTGCGCCCAGCGTCACGCTGGGCGTCTTCAATTGCGGGGCGCCCTTCGGGCGCCCGCTTGAGAACCCCGCCAGTAGTGCTAGTCTAGCGTAGGCCAAGGCTGACGACGCTGGCGAGTTTACCGTTGTGCACAAGAGCGGCGCAGCATTGCACGCATCGACCAGCGCAGTGGCAGTGCAGCGCGACGGAGTGCAAGCCTGAACAGAGCAGGCGCCGCGCAGCCCGCTGCTGCGCAAACTGGCGCAGCACTGCCCTGAACCTTGAAGGCGGCGCGCCGCCTTTCTTTGTCCTCGCGGGACGCGGTGCACCGCGTCCCCGCGGCGCAAGCACATACATCGGCCGCGCAGGCTCGGCATACCCAATGTGTGGCCCTCAAGTCCGCTAAGCGCTATCCAAGCGCCCGCCCAGCGTGCCCAGCGTTGCCGCCCAGCGTGCCCCGCGTTGCCGCCCAGCGTGCCCAGCGAGGCCGCCCAGCCACCCAGCGTAGCCCAGCGTGCCCAGCCGCCCAGCGTCTATAAACTACTCTAATACAAGTTGTTCAACATTTTTACCGAGTCCCACTTTATTTTCTGTTTGGGAGGCTTCTCCTTGGGGTAGAATTTGAATCTGCACAAACATTTTGGCGACAGGAGGTAGCCGCTCAGCCCTGATCTCCGCGTCTCCTGCATTTCGTAGTGCTTCATTCTCCTGATCCATTTCCGTCAACAAACGTTCCACGAGTTGGTCCGCCGACTGCTTCTTCTTCAGTTGCCTAGCCCGCATCAAGGCTTCCGCTCTACGATTGGAGCCGCCAGGGTCCTTTCCAGTGAGACCGAATTGTCGTGGTTCTTAGACGAAGGACAAGGTGTTTCTTGTGCTAGACTTGTAGTTGTTTCTTTGTTCTTCGAGATCAGTAGATTGGGATGCACAGTAAACCTTGATGTGATCTTCATCAATCTCGTTGACTTCTTACAACCGCAATATGAAACCATAAAATTGATCAGCCAATGCTTCTTTCTGTGCACGTTGGGAAGCCAATATATTGCCCAAACCCTGATTTGCCATGGGGACTTCCGCATTGAGCTCTATCTTCTTATTTTCATGAGCAACATAGGTTATGTACTGCCTCAAGTCGAGTGTCGTTTCTCCCATCAAAAAGTCTGCACTGGGGATTAGAAGCAAGAGGAGGTGCGTAGTTCTTATGTACTCGGTCGTTTAGCAAGAGGAAGAGCGTTCTTATGTAGTACTCGGTCGTTTAGCAAGAGGAGGTGCGTCTGCGTTCTTATGTAAGTACAACTAGGTGTAGTGTAAACCGAACACTCTTCAAAAAGCAACATCAACATAACAAAAACCGCGAATTGAAGAGTCCGATCTGCAATTCCGCCTCCAGTGGAAAACCATCTCGCACCCACACGTTTGAAAAAACAAAGCGCCAATTATACTCCGCGAACCCCGTGGAGAGGAAATGGGTATCCGTAGTTTGGGTCTTAGGCTGGTTTCCACGGAAATTAGATGAGCTCCAGCTCACCGTGAGCTGTAAAAATATAATTCCTCCATCATCTTGAGTAGGTTGATAGTACATCATCGATGACCGTCCCCTTTCCCCTTGAAAAGCCTCTCTCCTAGGATGACTTCTCTGAAGATGGTCGCGAGCAGCATCCTGGGCCCATTTTTTTCTCATGAGACAGGAGCAACTCTTCAGAATGCACCAGAAAAGGATGGATTCGGATAAAGCCTTAAGAAAATTAAGACTGTCAAAAGTTCCTTTGACGGTTAAGTCAGCGGAGTCAGTAGGTTCCCCGCGTTCTTGCTCCAAAACCATCATCGTGATGTCGCTGAGAGTCCAGACGACGACACGAATCTCGACTTCGGAAGCGGGAGGGGGTGGAGATTAGACATAGACACTACGAGCTAGTAACTGCTAAGTAAGGAAGGATAGAGTGACGAACAACGATGATGTGTAGTACAACGGTATACAGATTTTCTACTGTTTCAGTTTTTACTATACTTTTGTACTTAAATCGTTTCAGTCTCTTAATGTAACGTCGCTGGCGGCACAACGCTAGCCCTTTCTGTATCGATCATCTCTAACCACATCTCTAACACCCCACCTCGTCTCTGGGTGCCATCTAGAGACCACAGAGAGCGGCGCTCTATTGGAACTTGACCGGTTCCATCTTGATTCAACTTCTGCCACTCAGGACTAGCCCATCGTTCCTGGAGGTCTATGACAGTACTGCCTATGAAACTGTTCTCATCAATAGCATTGCCACCAGCACGCTGGTTCTTTCCGCCAGTTCCCTTTTTAGAGCTGCTACCGCGTTAGCATGCCTGACGAGTAAACCCTTAAATTGATGTTGATCTTCCCTTTTCACAAATAGAAAATAACAGGGTCAATAAGGAGCAGAATGAGCATGCCTGGGCCTGGGCGGAAGCCTTAACATTTGCTAGTAAATAAGCCGCCGCCAACTTCTGTTGTTGCGATCCCGCTGTCCCAGCCACTGTGTCTTGCCATGCTTGGGCTAGAGGCACATTGGAATAGCTCGAATATAGCCCAATTTCCACCTGTCCTTCGACAGGGAATGTGACATCATGTTCTTCCAATCTGTAGAACATCACACCAGTGCGGCCCAAGTCAGCTGCGTTATGCTCCTGGATATTTAGAGCTACCGCCTTCGCATCCCTGACAGAGACAGCGTTCCTTCGCATCCCTGACAGAGACAGCGTTCCTTCGCATCCCTGACAGAGACAGCGTTCCTTCGCATCCCTGACAGAGACAGCGTTCCTTCGCATCATTGACAGAGACACCGTTCCGGGACTCATGTGGATAAATCTAAATCTACAGTACTTCTCGCCTTAAGATATCCGTTTGCAATGGTTCGTATTTTTTCACAGTAGACCCAAATCTAAAGAACAAGTGCGGCCTCAGTCCTGTCCCAACGCTAGTTGCTCGCACAACGTAGATCCGAACTCTGATGCTGGGTGGCACGTCTTTGGCCATCAACTGCCGTAAACTCTGAGACTCAAATAATGCAGGAACTGCATTTGGGTATAATCGGTGGGGTCGCATGTCTTTGTACAATATCCTGGCAGACATCAAAACGTGGCCAACAGGCCGTTCTCCACGAAACAAGCTGACTCGTTTCCAGCGACTATGGTTTGCGTGACCAGCAGAGTCCTTCATGATTTCTTCTTCTAGGCCACCTGGTAAACGTCGCCTCGCCAATCCCTGAGCTGCAGCCTGACTGCCAGCTCGTGTACGACTTTCTTGACGGCTAGCAAGAGCCATTTGCGAGGTAGCCCCCTGAAGGTGCAAAGCGCGAGAACGCATAGGTCGGAAACTCATGCGACGCATGGAGAGGTAAACTTCGGGCCAATTCACACTGGCTGCTTGCATTTTGGTGCGGGAGAATGAAACACTAGGGGGTCAGAAACTTTTAGCAAGTGTATTTACTTAGCAACTAGTGAGGCGTTGGAGGGGCTTTGACTAGTGAGTCGAAAACTACTACATGATAGAAGCTCTTCACTTGTTCAGCTCTTCAATTTGATAGACATCAAGTAGTAGTACTTAGTTATTCTTGAATCTTCACCTCAGTTCTTCAAATCAAGTACTTACTTACGAGCCAAATCAAATTCAAGTTATTCCGGCAAAATCATAACAATTGATTTGCGATCTGATGCGTGCCGTCCAGCTTGAATTTCTGGGTTTCCATGATAGTGGCTTCTCTCTGCATATAATCCGCCACTACCGTTTGCTGATTCACATCCTTAGTCCGGAAAACCAAAGTCAAAGGCCGCATCGTCTTAAATAATGCGCCAAGACGGTCAGCAAACAGTTTGGGATTAGATGCATCTCGTGGTGAAAAAATAAAAATTTGTTACCCTTCATCTACAACTACTCGTGTCAATTGTATTTCGCTTGAATTGAAAAATTAAAATCCTCTACCAACATGACATCTTCAGGAGTGCGAAAAGAGAGAGAGTAAAAACATACTTGTCCTCTGTTTTTGATAGCCATAATGTAATTCAGAAATTCCACATTATGCCCATTTACGTCCACCAGCTGCGCACCAGGTTGAACCCCTTGCGCGGTCCACCATTCGGCGTGGTGGGCGTCTTTCAAGACCCGAACTGGATGATCCTTGTCTGGAACGAAGAAAAGACCTAACTTCTCAAAGCATTTGGCCTTTTTTCCTGCTCTCTCTGTCAATTGCTTCAGCTCCAATCCCTTTTTCGCTGCTTTATTCAATTTTGATTCGTTTTCCTTCTTGAAGATCACCACCATCTCATCCCTGCGGATGCGTCGTCGCTCGATGTATATCGGACGAATATCCGCTGTCATCAAGGAGACGAGCTTGAGCAAAGGGTCGCAGGCGGCGGGAATTAGAGGACGAGGAAACTGTCTGTGGCCGCATAAATAATGCACAAGTTCTAGACGATAGATTTTTAGTGGATTAATCAATCTTTATATTTATAAGTATTAAAAACCTCATTGTAACAGAAATCAATTACGCTCGAATGTGGCCGCATATAAATGCTGAGGAAACAAGAACTCTCCAGCTGGTTCATCTTCAGTTAGATGAAACGACACTGGTTCATTTCATTCAGAAACTTCTCTGATTCAACATCATTTAGAAGAGAACTACTTCGATGTATCGAACATTCCCTTCTCCGTACAACTAGTAATCAACCAACTAGCACTTCCTGCCTCGAACTACAACTGGTCCAAGGACACTATAATTACTGACTAGTTAAACTATTTTCATGTTGGTCTGGCGTCCACAACTTATTCAAATTCCCAGTCGGATTGATTTCCCCAGCGTCCGTCCCAATGCCCATAAAGAAGTCGCCGATCCGCAATTTACAGTGACTCCAGAAGGCTTTGTATTTAGAGCTTTCCCATGCAGCATAGCTCTACATACTCATCTTGAAGCGCATCTTTAATAACCATATTCCCCTTCTTAGAACCTCCTCAGAGATTAAGATGCTTGTTAAGTTTAAGATGAACAACATGATGATTAATACGAGTAACAGGCCTTAACATACTTGGAAGTCGCAAAACCTGCTATTCTTGGAGGCCAGGCTTCGTCATCCACAAGTTTTAGACCAAACAGCATTTCAACACTGGGGTCCATGTCAGCTGTGTCACTGTCTTCCGCATCCGCGTCACTCCTTCCCTTCTTTTTCAGTTGCTTTGGGTTAGACGAAAAAGAGTTTGAGTTTGTACTTGACTGACAGTGCTTATCAGACACCGCAAAGTAGCAGTACTCGGGTACTTTTCTGAAAGCAGTAATTCTGATTATCTAGTAGTAGAAGAAGCTGCTCATAGTCTGTCTTTCTTTCTCCGCAGCCGCAGCGACGTCTTTGCGTTCTTGACTTTGTTCTGCCAATGTCGTAGAGCTCACAACATTCCCCGACTTGTCCCTATTTAAGAAACCAGGAGCAACCAGTTCCAAGCGCCGATATTCTTTTTTGAGCTCTTCATAGTGTGCGAGATGCTTCTCGAGGGCTTTCTTGTGTTCTGGCAGTATGACATCTTTCCTGTCGATTTCGGCTTGCATTTGGGCTCCTACGTTTTCGGCGGCAGCGATCTGGCCGGGAGTTAGATGAGTCAAGATTGAGGAGATGATGGTGGTGGTCATCGTCATGTCATGGCATGCTACTTCTTATACCTCCACGTGGTCAAATCATTTTGATAGAGGGGATTGAAAACTCAAAACAAACACAAAGCACTAGATTTTTAAAAATCTTCACTATGTATAATTTCTGCAACTAGCAACGTGACGTTCAAAACGCTTGAAAATCTCACTCATAACTTCAACTTCGCCATCAATTGCATTCGGAACTGCGTAGAACCTGTCATATCCCTCTGCATTCTCGCATCCATCAAGTCTTCTTCGAGTGTCTTTGCCTGTCTTATTAGAAGCGCTCACCCTAACACATTATTACATCTTGAGAACAACAAGCAGCCTGTAGTTCTCCTTTTGTTCCCCTTTTCCTCTTGAGGACAATGACCACAAGACTCTTGAGCTTGAGGGTCGTGCTTCAGAAGAAGATGAATATGAGCAGTGACGAGTCTTAATCTTTCTTCAGCCTGCAGCACCACGACTAGTTGCTCCTTCTGGGCCATCACAGCTTTGAGCTCTTTACGAGCTGCAGCAGTGTTCGCTGATGCTAGTTGACGACGCTTAGTTGGTTGTTAGAGGGTGAACAACCTGGATGTGAGTAGATTGAGCAGCATTGTCATTGTTTATTTTTTTTCACACTTGTTTGCCATAATCCAGTTTCTTCAGCAGAGTGTTCATGTCCTTCAGCTGCGACATCTTATCCCGCAAATCTTGCTCTATCTTGCGCTCTTCAGGACTGGCCATAGCGGATTGTTCTATGGATTTTAGCCGCATGTTAATTTGCCTCTGTTCGTTCTCGAGGTCGTCGACTTCTTTCCTCAACTCTTCTAATTTCCCCTCTTGCACGTCGGATAGACGACCCCATTTGCTACCGTATTGCCGCAAGCGATCGCGCTCTTGCTGGGCAAGGGGAAGTCGGAGAAGAATCTCACGCTTGCGCTCTAGTAGGGCGTCCGTTTCATCTCTTCTGACACCAGGGTCGCCGCCGCCACGAGATAAAGCGTCTAGAATGCGCTTGATGTCAGCGGCTCTGGCTTCCATTTTACCGGCTGGAGTTAGAGGAGAATGATCTATAGGCGATCGTTGGCTGCAAAGTCGTTAGCACGAGCTCTGGAGGCTGTGGCTGTACCACTACCAGAGGTAGCCGCGCCCGCTTCTAATACTAGCACGACTAGTACACGACTAAATAAGACTGAAGAGAATCAAAACCTTGTTCGTCCATAACTTCTGTTGCAATTCCTGTGCTTGTTTCTCTTGGCCTGGACTAGCTAGACCACCCGCCTGTCTTTGTATTTCCTGTTGTAACGTCTCGAATTGTTTGGCGACGATAGCAAAATCGCCTTCTATGATCTTCAGTTCCGCGGTTAGATCGTCATACTGTTGTTGGTTAGGATCCAGTGGACCACCTCCCTGGTTATTTAGTCCACTACCACCCGCCCCTGCTCCGTCTCCACCTTAGACCTCTCCCCAATTAATTCATCCCCGTGGAAAGCCCTCAAGAAGCGTATGCGTCACTATAAAGAACAACCAGTAGTATTTAGTAATTGCAGTGAAGTAAGAACATCGTCACTAATATTGCAGCGTCACTATAATTCCCCTTGTATTGGAATTGGGGCGGCGCATACGGTTGATGAGGGATCGATCCCAATAGAGATGGATTAGGGGAAGCCTTAATGATCTCCAGCTTCATCCTCGTCAGTGCCTGTAACTGTTTGGCGTGCTGGTCCTATCGTAGGAAAAGCTACTCTAGCTTGTTGATTCTGTCCACCTCCTCCTGCTTCCATATTTTGCTTCGTATTAGAGCTACCGCGGCTTATGATCCCTGAGACCACCCGGCGTGGCCGACCCTTTTTGCCCCTGAAAAAGAGGCCAAGGATGGCGTTGAGGATGCTCATGGTTGCCTTGGTTGCCTTAATTATAGCAGCTGCTTCTCTTTCACACTGAGCAGCCTGTTGCTCGAGTTCAGCGGCTCGCTTTTGCTGTGCTGGTTTTGGCTGGCCTCCTTGCTGGATGACAACCTGCTCCAATTGTTTGTACTCCTGTAGACACTGGGCATATTGCTGCTCAAGTTTCTGAAGCTGGGCCGCGGGATCCGCGTCCCCACCTTTCGCGCCTTTGCCCTTCGTGCCTTTGCCTTTTCCCTTCTTGCCTTTGCCTTTTGGAGAACCTTTTTGTCGAGGCGTTTCTGGGTGAATTAGAGTTGTATTAATTTTGATGAGTGAGGGGTGGTCCTGTTTTTGCTGGGCGTATTTGGCAATCAATTAGTAGATCAAGCAGCTGCATCCTCCAACAGATCGCCCAGGAGGTCAAAAGCACTATAATAGAATAACTTATAGGGGTGCCAGATCCGGGATGGGATGGATCGGATGGATCGGATGGATCGGATGGATCGGATGGATCGGATGGACTTTCCACCGTTTCAAGTAGGATCGGAAGAATCAGGGGGGTCCATCCGATCCATCCAAGTCCATCCTACATCCGTTCTATAAACTACTCTACTATAACTACAACTGTCTCAGCATAACTGTTTCCCATCGGGACCCGCTACTGCCAAAGCTTCTTCCAACACAACTAATTCCTGTCGACCCGTGATAGCTTGTTGTTCCAAGTTCGCTGCTAACTGTTGCAGTTGTCCTGCCTGTGCCTGTTGCTCCGCAGTAGGTTGTCCGCCTTGTTCTTGCACGACGACTCGTTCGAGCTCCTGGAAGGCTTGGGTACATTTTGTGAATTGCTGTTCTAGATCCTGAAGTCCAGTATTAATCTCTTGAATCCTAACCCGAATTGCGGCTGGGTCTTGTGGAGCGCCAGGAGCCATTTGGTGCGAGCCTTCGATCAGCTTCTGCTTCGTCTCGCTTATCTCGATGTTGGCATCTTGTTCAGGCCTCAAACTTGTCGTAAAAACTTTACTTTCCTTGAAGACATAATTGTTCTTGTTCCCAACTCCGAGACCACCGCGACTAATCTTTTCTGCAGATGAAGCCACCGCGTCCTCGATCGCCAACGCTGGCCGCGCAACAACTCCACCCCGCCTAGTTGTACCGTCCTCTTCCCAATCATCTTCCGCATCTTTTACTTTAGCAAGAAACCGAAATCTTGCTATCGGATCTATTTTTCTGCGGAATACAAACCCTCTATATGCTCGAGTGTCTGGCAGCACCGTCTTCGTCTCCAACGCCTGCTCGTGCGCAAGATCCTGCTCTTCTTGTCCTCGCTCCTGCCACAAGAGGGCTTCGTCGTAACCCCTTCGTAGAGACATTTGCTCGTTTATCATGGCTTCTTCGGTTTTGGCTTGGAGATGATTTTTCGTACCATCTGTCGTGCAGGCCGTGCCCCCCATGATGGTGTCTTCGTCCCTTCCGAAATTATCTTGTTCGTCTTGATCTTTCTGCTGTGCTTCATCATCTCTTCTATGCAATCCTTCCAAAAATAGTGATCGTCTTCTCTTCGTTGTTCCCGTACTGGTGGTGTAGCTTCCACCTTTTGGTTTCACATCAAACAAATCACCGGCGAAAGGATGGAACATCTTGTAGTTTCTCCGGAAAGATGATCCCGATGAATCCTTGTCTTAGAAGGAGGTTCAGACCTTGCATTGTCAGAACATTCCTGACTCGTTTCTTAGATAGTGGGGTATGAGTCAGGGATGTTCGTGCAAGATGCAAGAATCTGGCAGCCCGTAATTGTCCCCAATTCGAAGCAAACCCCCTTCTTTCTTGTTCCGGCTTCGACTACGACTCGTTCTCCGCTTATTGTCACCATTTTGAGGAACTCTACTTCTCAATTTCATCCCACTTGCATCATCGTAAGGGTCGTTAGGGTCTTGGCTGAAGTATCTTTTCCCATTGTTTCGCCAAAATGGGATAGCGTTTCTTCGTTTTTCCGGAGAACTATCACTATCTGATCTACGAGAGTTGTAACCAGCAGAGTGATTCTCTAAAAATCGGCCTCTAGAGTTTGTAGAAGATCCCCCACCGAGAAACAATCCAAGCCACGACGAGCTAGATCTTTTATTCGCAGTCCTCGAGGACGTCTCCAACCTATTGACTTGATTCTTACTAGCTTTTAGAACCCAGGGATCAGGTCGTTGGCGTTTACCTTTAGCAGAATATTAGAGCTCAAAACGATTCACTTCTTCCCTTCGTGTCTTCAGAATCCTAGGAAGGAAACAGAAGAAAAAGAAAATGACCATCGGAAATGAATTGTGTCGAGCCTTAAGAATAGAGACTTCTCTCCGAAGCCTTTGCAGACAAGAACTGCTCCGCACCAGCATACAGCTTAGCGCCACTAGCGAGTTCGAATCGGTTTCGTATGTGCTGCTCAACTTTCGCAGAAGGAATGTCTCGATTCGTCAAGTCGATCTCTAGCTGTGTCTGGTCGTCAGGAATAGAGTGGTCTACTAGGAGGCTTGGAGGGTTCTCTATTGAAGATGTTGTAGAAGTTCTGGTAGCGATGGCACTTTCGGGTTGAAAGAAAGGACTTCTTCTACGATGATCGTCCCGATTAGACACAAGCTCGTGGTCAAGTGTAATACTTGTACTACTCGTTGTAGTTTCCCCTCGAAAAGCATCTTCCCAGTTCTTGCGCAGGCTCTGCATGCGATTGCGGTCTTTTGGGAACGAAGACGTCGTGGAGGAGGTTGTAGAAGAACGTAATTTGCTGTTTGTCATGTTGCTCATAGCGGAATCGCCAAACATTGAATTTGTAGAGGAAGGTCCTCCTACTCCTGCCCTTCTCGAAGACTGAGGCTGTTGCTGTACCCGTGGATCCATCTGTTCAAAAAAGTTGTCAGAGCGGTTCCGCCTTTCCAGATATTGTTCTGGGTAATTTTCAAATGCGACATAATCTTCAACAAGCTCTGTCTTAAACGGTGAAGTTGACGATGATGATCCTCCCCAGGTATAGTTTTCCATTTTTGCAGCTTTCTTCATTATACCGGAACCGGGTTTATTGTTCCAAGTAGTAGAGGTACTATTCCCCCTGATTTTATAGAAGTTGTTCTTGATTTTGGAGAACAGATTCCAATTTTTTGCGAATGATCGCACTCGTTTCGTAGGACTGCTAGCAGAGAAGTTGGACCTAGAGCAGGGGTCATCTTCAGCATCCTCTAGTTCGTCTCCCTGATCGGTGTCATCCTCGCCAGACAAAAACACGATATCTTGTTCTGTAGAATCCATGACACGAATAGGTGAAGTCACTTCTGGCGCTGGAAAGACCGTGTCTGGATTATTTGTCGGTGTATCATCATCATCATCTTTGTCCCACCTGTCTGCATATTCATCACTACTATCTTGTAGTACAGATCCACCACCATGGTCGTCGATTTGTTCGGAACTTTCATCGGTACTACCCTCTTCGTCATCCGCCTCAAGTAGGTCTACGTGAGGCAAATTCTCTACATTGCCCAGCAGTTCTGCTCCGACACTATCGCTCTTAGCGTCATCGGGTGAATCTTTAGTTCCAGCAATGTCATCTGCGTCCCCATCATCTCCGGAGGGCAGTTGCGATGGCTTCGCAGGTTGTGGAGTGAGGCGTGGTTGTGCAGGTTTTCCTTCTTGTTTGCTTGATTTTCTAGCGTTTGGTATTGATTCGTTGAAAATCAGATTAACTTCTTTGGCATCTGCCTCACCAGCTTCAGCACTGGCAGCAGCATCTTTATCGGCAGCACCATTCTCAGTAGCTGTTTTCCTTTTCCGTACAACTACCTGTTGCTTTTTGCCCTTTTCCTTCGTCCCATCAGGAACACGCTTGCCAAAAACCGTTGACGCTTTCGAAGTCTCCCGACTCCATTTGCTTGATGCTAGAGTAGAAAAGGGCGAAACGTTCGACAACATGTCATCTAGGTCGTCGGTCATGCGTTCGCGGTCACCCTGAGGGAGCAAAAACGCCTCTCGGAACGACTCCCACTTTTCCTCCTTCGTGAGCTTGTTTGAGGACTTGAATCTTTGCTGAGGACGACGGACGGACGTAGTACGTCTGCGAGGATCCTTGAGTTGCTTTCTTCTAAGTGAAACGACGCGTTCTTTTTGTGTCTTTTTCTCAGTTGTCCTACTTGTACTCTGACTCTCTATCATCCTCTTCCTCGCCGCATCATCTTCTTGATCATCTGTATCAGCTGATTCCGATCCTGAGGAAGAAGCCTGAGAGGAGGATAAGCCAGCTCCAGCACTGTGTCCACTAGTACCTTCCCCGATCCCTGACTCAGACGCTTCAGACGCAGAAGAATTATCCTCGGACTCAGTTTGTTCTGCACGACTACCTCCAGCTTCTGATGCGGATGAAGTATCCTCACTGTGGTCCTCATCGGTGTTGTCGACATCGTCGCTGCCAGATGGAAGTCCATCAGAGGAGGACGGGTTCCCACCTCGGTTCTCCCACCTCGGTTCTCCCTTCTCCTCGTTCCCACTGGAGGGATCCGATGCATGTCGGTCCTCAGTATAGAAAAGATGTGGCCGCATCGCCGAGGAGGGTCGCGGACTGCGCCGGACTTTGACTCTACTCCTACTAGTACAGCTAGTAGATGCTGCTGGAAGTAGATCGCCATCGCCCGCTTGTTCGAGTACTTCTTCATCAGGTATGCGATCCATTAGCAGCTCATCTTCATCTTCCTCTTCCGCGTTTTCGTCGTTTTTCAAGGAGTCTTTACTAGGACTTTTGGACTTGACTTCCAACCCCAGTGCTGCACTTCCGCCAACACCCACTATCGCATCGATTTCAATCTGCTTCAGTAAATAATCTCCCAAAAGAACATGTCTGTTTTTGATGCCTCCAGATGATGACCGCCGCAGTGGTTTATCCAGCATTAGCACATCTCTCGGGACCGGCAAGAACCCATCTCTTAGCACATCATCTCTCGGCTTTTTTCAAGGACAAAAGATGATGTTGGAGATGGGTCGTCGTTATCCGTAAAAGCAAGTACTGAGGTAAAGGCGGTGGCGGCGGACGCGCAAAAGTAAACTTCTCGTCAGTAGAGTCCGAAGGAGGTGCTTCCGAGACTTGATCCGAAGAATAGAAACTAGAATCCTCTCCAGACGATGTAGCCGCATCCTTTGTTCTCATCGGATCATCCTCGTCCCATAGAGTGTCGAATATAAAAGGCTGGCGCTGTTTTTGTTGTTGTGCGCCACCATCGACGTCTCCGATCATAGGAGCGTTCGTGCCTTGTCCAGCATCTTCATTTTTTACAGCATGAGTTGTGAGCTCTTGAATCATTCCAGTTTCAATGAAATCCACGACCTTTTCGTATTGCACTATACATTCGTCATCACCTTGATGGAAGAGGTGATCGTTGTCCTCGTTTTCATCATCCTGAAGATCCTCGTCAGGGTCCACACTAGAGGATGTGTCATCAGTATCGTCAGCTCTGCTTGAAGGCAACAGTCTCTCGTCCCGCACTTCTCCCGAGGTTGCTGTATTTTTCGACAGTGTGAAAATCCTTTCAAATGCATCCTTTATTGCGGCAGTCTTTTCGATGTCACTGGTGTGACTCCCTCGATCTTTGTGATCCTCGCTGTCACTGTCATTCCCCTGGACGTCGACGTCGTCATCTGCTCTATGCCTTCCCTCTTTCTTTTTCCTCCCAACTTTCCTCTTAGTGCCTCCTTTTCCCTTTCCTTTCTTCTTGCCGGATGCTGCAGACTCGCTTCCCGAACCCTTCTTACTTCTACTAGTAGCACTGAGCGATCCAAGTGTACCAGTTTTGCTCTTACGACCCGTAACAGTAGTGCTTGTATGAAAGAACAGCAGGAAGAGAGGAGAACGAAATGATACAGAAGATACAGCAGAGAAGAGAAAACGTCTGCTAAGACAAGTACTTAGACAGGCGTCGTCGTCGTCGTCGTGGAGCTCTTCTATTTTTGACATTATACTTCTAGGAGTCAATACGAAAACTATTCAGAAGATTCAAGTTGCAGCACTCAAGAAGGAAAACGAGTCGAAAACGAACCACGACTTTTCATAGGTATCACCCCCCGTGGACAGCGTTAGTAGAGCGGAAATGGAATTGCCCATACTCCCTGCGGTGGTCGTCGTCATCCCTCCTAGTGTCGTAGCCATCGTTGAGGAAGCATCCAGGCTTAGAGGTAGGTTCTTGGTGTTCGTTTATGTATCCCGTTCGCTATGCCTGTCGCCCTTAGCAGAGGCAAAACAAACGGTAACAAGGACACCTTTAACCTACCCTTAATAGGCCCATTTCCTTCTTCATGATTTTCTTTTTCACTTTCTGTAATTTCGTGAGATTGTCTAGGGCCTTTCTCCCCGCTGCGGTTTTGTTAGTCGATTCCAGTAACTCCGCAAGTCGGACTTGGGCATTAATCAGTTCTTGCTCTAGAACTTGCCTCTGTCGTTCCCCATCCATTTTCGCGAACCGGACGAAGTCTTTGGGCGGCTTGAAGTGAAATTTTATGGCGCCATGGAAATTAGCGCGGCTCAAAGTTTGTTATGCTCCATCTTGAGGCGCATCCTGAGCGGCATTTTTTTCCTTATAGGATGAAGGCTTCAGGAAGCTTCTGGAGATGGATTAGGGGAAGCCTTAAGTAAAGCATCGCCAACCATATTATCGTCCTCGAAATCGCTCTCGTCCATGTCCACAGCTAGGTCTCCCCGACCTTCCTCTCCTTCTTCATTGGTATTAGAACCCTCTCCTTCTTCATCTTGAGTAAAGATCTTGAGCAGAGTTCCTTGTTCTTTCTGTGTTCCTTCCTTGTTCTTTCTGTTTGACGTGTAAAAAAAATTAGATGTCTTTAACAAGAGGACGAAGCCAAATAACAGCTCTGCTCCTAAGTTTTGCTTCTCATTCTCTGGCGCCAAGAAGAATTCAGGCAACAAGTAGCCTTAACAGTATCAGAGTAATCGTCGGGATTCTCCAGCAAAGGTTTGCCATCAGGTCCATACTTCCTCTCTCTTTCGATGCCTTTTTTCGTCAGATACTTTTTCTTGGCTCTCTCGATCTTTTTCTGTTCTAAAGCGCGTTGCTTTCGCTGTTTCCTACGATTATCCCCCGTTAGAGCTCCTCATCACGTAGTTGTTGATTCATATCCTGTAGTTAAGCTCCACCTAGCGGAAAACGAGAAGGTCTTCTAGTACTACGACGATGAATGATCATGATACTGTGAGCGGCCTTAAGTCCGATTCAGACACAGGCAAGCCATCAGATCCGTCTTCTGCTCGTCCATGCTGTTCGTGGTACATCGTCGACGCTTCTACATGCTTCAGAACCGTATGCGGAAAGTCGCACCAGGGTAACAATTGGACTAGATTGATCGCTCCAGCACCGACGAAACCTAGCTTTTGCCTGTCGAACAAATGTTAGAGTCTAACTCCTCGCCAATTCACTTCGTCTTGCTTGCGTGATTCGCATTTGTTCTCCCAGTCTATCCTAGTAGGGCACAAGAGAGAAACAAATGACCACGACTACTAAAAACAACTTCTGAAACGTTGTAAGTATTGAGCAATAAATTAAAATAAGTTTGTGACATCAACTGATCATGATGAGCCTTAAAATTGAATTTCGGCAATGGGACACCAGATTGGATCGACCGGAAGCTCGGCGTACATAGAATGCACCTCTAGCAGGCCAAAATTGGTACAGCGACAAGGTTCTGTCGTAGTCCACCGTGGATTCGCGTTCTCGATGCCGGGAGCTAGAACCTTAGAAGAGCGGTTCGTTTCGGTAACGTTGTAATGTGGAGATGCCGCTCTTCTAAGGTTCTAGCTGCCAAGTTCGTTGTAATGTGGAGATAAGAACAATGGCCATGTATGTGGCCACTTTTCGACTCTGTCGATTTGCTGCACTAAAAAACCACAGACCAGCGGGGTGTAACAATTATTACGAACTCAGGACCAGCTCGGCTTTTTCGTGCCATCAGCATCAGCAAAGACCTGAGCCGACAAAAGCAAAAAATTGGAAACACAGCAACGGAGCTAGAACCTTAGAAGAGCCAGGTTCGTTGTAATGTGGAGATAAGAACAATGACCACAGTCAAACTTAAGATTCCTTTAGAGGTCATAAAGTGTTGCGGTCCACTCGTCGGTTCCCAATCCACACGGACTGTGTGCCCACCTCCTTCATAGCCACCCACTTCTGAGAAGATAGGCATTCGAATCACTAACGTCGGAGACTCTAACAACTGTGCTGGTGACGAGGCTAAGTTATCTAAGACACCTCCGCCACCGGACGAGGAGTTGCCACCTGTGTTAGAGCTCACCCTAATCTAGAAGTGAATCCATCTTGAAGACAATTGCGGGACCGATTTCAACTTGAAAGCCACGTCTCCAGGATGCTTCCGAAGATGGATTTTAGGCTTAGTACAGGTGAAGCCGTAATAATTGTGTGCCCATCTCCACCCCCTCCGAACTGGGGAACAATTCTTGCACTATTGGCGTCTTGGCTCCTTGTGATTGGCGGGACATCGTTGATGCTTCTGATCGAAAACTGCAAAACGCAAGGTTTCCTTGCTGGTGTAAGCATCAGAGGTTTCACCATCGGCGCGTCGCTTTTTCGTACCAATTCAGCGGAAATAAGAATGTCTCCAGCCCAAGTTTGATTATTGATCCCACCATAGAGTTCTAGCCATCTAGGCCGCACTGTCGCGATCGTTCCCGGCTGTGAAAAATTGGTCACGCGAAAAAGGCAGCGACCAATCAGTAATCTTTGCTGATTGTTCAGCATGTATTTTTGTTTCTCCCGCAAATTGTCATGACCAAAAAACGCATCCGCCATGACGTAGTACAGCTTTCTCCCAGCATGAGCTGCCTGTTCGAGCAAAAACGCTTTTGGCTGATGCACCAGTCTCGCGAGATCCGCTGTCGTGCTGGTTGTATCGAGTTGATCGTAGACTGTAATCAACAATGGTTCAGCTGCCATGCGATTGTTATGCCGACTTTGATTAGAACGCCAAACGCTTTTTTACTTTTCCCTTTGTAGTTCTTCTGCATCCTAAGAAGCAAACTAACCGAGTAAAATTATCTATGACCGCTGGAAATGAATTGCATCGAGCCTTAATCTTCGGCAATTCCACTTCCAAGGTGATCTTTTGGC